ATTATGGCCTCCTGCTTTGGCACCTCCCGCCTGACATGGTCCTGCCCCTGACGGCTTACTCCCTGGTCCTGGCCGTTATGCTGTGGCGTGGCTTGGCCAGGGGCGGGAGTACCTGCTGGGGCGCCCTGCTCTTCACGCTTTCAGATGCCGTGCTGGCCTGGAACCTCTTCGTCCATCCCCTGCCCCATGCCCACCTGGTGGTCATGGCCACTTACTATGCGGCCCAGGTCCTCATCGCCCTGTCGGCCTTCCAGAGCCCCAGGCTCAAGTCCAACTGACCAGGGGCTGAGGCAGGCAGATGTCCACCCCCCTCCTCCCTCAAGGACCTGGGCCCCCAAGATCAGTGAGGCCAGAGAAACACCCTTGGGGGTGAGAGCCAGTCCCCCAGACTCCCATCTGCCGGTGCCAGTCTATCTGGAGACACAACTGTTTCTGGCCCTGATCTATTTTTCTGTTGCCTAAGTAAAGTGGGTGTTGCAATGGTGACATCTCCATTATTTGGGGAGGGGTGGGAAGGGAGGGGTGATCACAATAACAGCAAGTGGTTCGTTTTCCTTTTTTTTTTCCTCCCACAAAATTTACCATTTTAACCACTTTTAAGTGTATGACTTAGTGACCTTAAGTACATTCACAGTGTTGTGCATTGAACACTTGCTGTGAGATCTACCCTTGGAACACGTTTTCACATGTACAACGCAATGTTTTTAACTATACCCACAGCAGACTCCTGTGGACCAGTCCTGGTGCCCAGGACTTAGGGGATATGGAATAACCAACCGCCCCCCACCCCAGGCCCTTTGATGGTGGTGGGGATTCATTATGCTCATTGTACAGATGAGGATTTTACAGATTTGAGGCCAGGAGGAGACAGCTTGGTCAATGTATTAGTTTCCTGTGGCTGCTGTCACAAATTACCATAAACTGGGTGACTTAAAACAACAGATTTAATCTCTCACAGTTCTGGAGGCCAAAAGTCCAAAATCATGGTGTTGGTAGGGGTGCCCTCCCTCCAAAGCTCTAGGGGAGGGTCCTTCCTGCCTCTTCCAGCTCCTGGTGGCCCCGGCCACATTCACATGGTGTTCTCCCTCTGTGAGTCTGTCCTCTCCTGAGGACACCAGTTGTTGGATTTAGGGCCCACCCTAAATCCAGGATGATCTCATCTCAAGATCCCTAATTACATTTCCAAAGACCCTATTCCTAACTAACATCACATCCATAGGCGCTGGGGCTCAGGACTTGGGCATCTCTCTTTGGGGGCACAGTTCAGCTGACGACAGTCACATACAGCACCAGGAGAGGAGAGGGTTGAGATGAGGAAACTCAAGAAGAGACTTGGAGGAAGGGGTAGGTAGCAACACGGTGGGAATAGAGTACTAAATAAGAAAGAACCTGGGTATGGCCCTCATCCTGGCTGTGACCTTGATAGCCCACTGCTCCTCTCTGGGCCTCAGGTTCTACATGTGAGGACAGAAAGCAGTCAGAGCTGCTCTCCAAACCCTGCTCAATTTCTACAGACATGATGTGCTTTTAGGGACTCTTACAGCAGAGAGGAGACTTCTACATTCATGATGTGATTTTTAGGGATTCTTAGAGCAGAGAGGAGACTTCTGCATCCATGATGTACTTTTGGGGACTCTTATAGCAGAGAGGAAACATCTACATTCATGATGTGATTTTTAGGGACTCTTACAGCAGAGAGAGGACTTCTACAAACATGATATGCTTTTAGGGACTCTTATAGCAGAGAGGGAACTTATACACCCATGATGTGGTTTTTTAGGGACTCATATCAGAGAGGAGACTTATCCATGATGTGTTTTTAGGGACCTCCAGAGCCCACCGTTGGTTTCTAGTCCCTGCCTCACCTTCAGGCCAGGATCCCCACTCACCATAGAGGAAGGCCTCAGGCCAGAGGAGGCAGGTGTTCTGGGTGGGGGTGCCCTGCTCTTCACAATCTCAGATGCCACGTTGGCCTGGGATGCCTTCCTTCAGCCCCACACCCACTTGGTGGTCATGACCACCTCTTACACTGCCAAGGTCCTCATCACTCTGTCAGCCGTTGAGGGTGGGAGACTCATGACGGACTAACTGGTGGGTAAATGAAGTGAGCACCCTCTCCCTTCCTAAAGGGCCCCGCAGAACAACCTTCCACCCCAGGGAAACGTGCTAAAGGAGCAATATTTCCAGCCTCCATCTGTCTAAAGCCCATATTCTGTTTTGTTAAATTGAGATACAGTTGATATAAAACATTGTGTACCTTTAAGGTGTACTGGTGTTGATTTGATACATTGATACGTCACAGTATGATTCTTACCCTGGTAACGTTAGCTAACATCTCTATGGCATCACGTAACACCTATTTTTTTTTTTGTGGTGGGACCAATTAAGATCTAGTCTTTCAGCAACTTTGAAATTTATGATACAGCATTGTTGTCTGTAATCACTGTACTGTGACCATGTTCTGTTTGAAGGCATTTATATCCAATTCCTGAAAACGATGTTATGATCGCAGCTTTATTGAGATACTCTTCATATACCACCAACTGCCCACTCAAAGTGTGCATGTGGTTTTTAGTATTTTCACAGTTTTGCAGCTATCACCACCATCAGTCTTAGAGCATTTTCATCACCCCCAGAAGAGACCCCGTGCCTTTTACAAATCACCCATCCCCTCCAGCCCAAGGAAACCACTAGCATAATTCACTTTTTTTTTTTTTTTTTTGCTGCGCCGCGTGGCTTGCAGGATCCCCGACCAGGGATTGAAGCCGTGCCCTCGGCAGTGAAAGTGCAGGGTCCTAACCACTGGACTGCAAGAGAATTCCCCATAATTCATCTCTAAATGTTGGTGTTTCCAATCATTTGGGTTGTTTTCAGTGTTTTTTTTCTTTTAATTTTTTAAAAATTGAAGTATAGTGGATTTACAATGTGTTAATTTCTGCTGTACAGCAAAGTGATTCAGTGATACATATACAAACATTATTTTTTAAATATTCTTTTTCATTATGGTTTATCCTAGGATACTGAATATAGTTCTCCAGGGACTTCCCTGGTGGTCCAGTGGTTAAGACTCCTCACTTACAATGCAGGGGGCGTGAGTTCCATCCCTGGTTGGGGAACCAAGATCCCCCATGCCCTGTGATGTGGCCAAATAACAGAAACAAACAAACAAAAAACCCGTCAAATATAGTTCTCTGTGCTGTACAATAGGACCTTGTTGTTTATCCTTCTGTGTTTCATGATGATAAACAATTACTACTCTGCACTCAATTCCAGTGTGGGGCTTCCTCCCCTCACCAACAAGCCAATCTCCAACACCAGCTGGGCGTCCTACAAGTCAACTCAGTTCTGACGCTATCCCACAGGTTAAGGACTCAGTCCTACAAGACTGCCACCTTTTACCCCCCACCCCCACTTCAGATTCCGGTGACAAGCCCAGGTTGTTAACCTGTGCTTCTGACCAACTGGCTATAAATCAGAGGTTCCCAAGACCCGCCTCCTCGGGTTGGATTAATTTGCTAGAGCAGCTCACAGAACTCAGAAAAACGTTTTGCTTACTAGAACACTGGTTTATTACAGAATGTAACTCAGGAACAGCCAGATGGAAGCACAGGCACAGGGCAAGGTGTGGGGAGAGGGCACGGAGTTTCCATGCCCTATCCAGAAAATGTTCCTCTCCCCAATCTCCACGTGTTCACCAACCTCGCAGGCTAACTATAGATTGAGACTAGGCTGGGACCAGGTGGCCTGACCCCTACTTCAAGGTCACTCCCTCCAGTCCCATTTCCACCTGGCGCTCTGGCCACACAGAAATCCCCCCAGATTATCCCCATCCCTCTCCTCCCTCTTAGCCCTGACATGGGCTCTCCCCTCTGCCTGTGATGACTTCCCAATGCAGTTCTTCACTTGACCAAACCCTGCTCTTGTACGAAGACTCAGCCCCAATGTCACCTCCCACTAAGGGACAGATGCTTCCTCGGTGCTCTCACCATTGTAGCCCACTTCATGTCACTCTGCGGTTACCTTCCCAGTCTGCCTCCTCACCACAGTGTAAGCTTGGCCGGAGCTGGAAGAGGCTGTTTGCCCTTGGAGTCCCCGGTGTTGTTTGAGCCTGTAGTCCTGCCTGTAGGAAGCCATAGGTGTTGGGAAAACACCTGCAGGCAGGCAGGGAATTGCTTCAAGATGGTGAATGAACACGGCTTCAGTTCTTGAACCACACAAGGAGAGGAAAGCGTGGAGCAGAGAGACTGATGTCCACTGAGCAGCAAAAACAGTGAGAAACTCCTGGGAAGATTGAAGGGGATTGTGAGCTGGTGGTGGAGGGGTGGACAGGGTTGGCAGCTGGAGCGGGCTAGAAAGAGGATAGCCACGGAGTCTGTAAAAAGAAAGTTTGGCCCCTCCTGGGGGCAGGCCCCACAGAACTGAAAACATACAATGTTTTCGTACATACAACTGAAAACATACAATTCAAGCAACATTATTTTTAACAGCCAAATAGGTGGAAACCCAAATGTCCATCAGCTGGTGAATGGAGAAACAAATTGTCATCTATCCATAGAGTGGAATATTATTCAGCCACGAAAAGGAATGGAATATGGACTTTGGATGATTATCATTGTGTTCATCAATGGTAACGTGTACATTTTGGGGATGTTGACAGTGGGGGAGGTTATGCATGATGGGGGCAGAGGGTGTATGGGAAATCCCTGTACCTTCTACTCAGTTTTGCTGTGAACCTAAAAGTTGTGGTGAAAATAACTATGTCATGGGCCAGCAAACGTTACCTGTAAAGGTCCAGGTAGTAACTTAGATCAGAGCTGGGAGCAAAGAAGGTGAGTGGACTCTAAATCCCATCAGGCCATGGGGTCATGACTTCATGAGCTGCAGTGACACAGAGAGTCCAAGTGCTCATGGGAGTTGTAGTTTAAGGGGGCATGTCTATTTGGGGACAACAGATAATGAGGGACGAAGAGGTATTTTGATTTAGGGGAAGGAAGGGATGAGCTATTTCTCAGAGAACTGGCCTGACTGGTGAGGAGTGGGGAGTTGGAAAGCCCCCCTGGACGGAGCCTACTGATTCCTCTTGTCCCCTCCACCCAGCCCCGGACCCTGTCACCATCACCTCCTGTATCAGCACTTTGGGGGGGGCCATGGAGTCACCCTCACCTAGTCCTGCCCCCTGGGAGGCTATGAGGCCTTTGAGTTGGAGGTGGGCGGGCAGCAGGACTCCAGGACAGCTCCTCTTGTGGGAGAGACGTGTGGGTGTCGGGACTTAGGCCGGCTCAGTCCTACTCAGCCACCATCACGACCGTCTGGGATGGAATGAGGGCCCAGTCTGCCTCCGTGACCTGCCACACCGAGAGCACAGGTGAGCAGAGCCCCACGGGGACAGAGAGCTATTGATACAATGACATTCTCTCCAGACCCCTTCACACCCTGTTGTGAGACAGTCTCACCAACCTATGGAGTCCTTTTTGTTTGTGTTTTATTTCCTGCTTTCTTTTAAACAGCTCTGTTGAGTTGTAATTCCTATAACATACAACAGTTCACCCATTGAAAGTGTACAGCTCACTGACTTCTAGTATATTTGCAGTATTTGCAACCATTATTACCATCAATTTTAGAATATTTTCGTTAACCCATAAAGAAAAGTCATCTCCTTAAGCCATCACCCCCTAATTTCCCCAATCCCCCACCAACCAGCCATTGGCAATCTCTAATCTGCTTCTGTCTCCATAGATGTGCCTCTTTTAGAGCTTTCCTAAAAATACAATCACACAGTATGTGGTCCTCTTTGACTGGCTTCTCTCACTTAGTATAATGTTTTTAAGGTTCATCCACTGTTCTAGTGTGTATCAGTGCTTCATTACTTTTTATTGCCAAAATAAGATTTCATTGTGTGGATAGACCACATTTTGTTTATCCATCTGTTTGATGGATCTGTTGGGCCATTTCTACTTTTTGGCTATTCTGAGTAATGCTCTGAACATTCGTGTGCAGGTTTCCATGTGGACGTATGTCTTCATTTTTCTTGGGTGTATACCCAGGAGTGGAATTGTTAGATCATATGGTAAGTCCGTGTTTAATCTTTTGAAGAACTGCCAAATTTTTTTCCAACACTGCCGCACCATTTTTCACCCACCAGTGGGATATTTGAAGAAGTTTGAACCTCACACTCAGGAGATCTTTGATCATGTACCATTGACCGTGGTCATGGGCCTCCCTGGGCCCTGTCAACCATTTCCTAGGAATGAAAGCCTCTTATGAGGTGGGGTCTCTGATCTGGAGACACTGGAGTTCGGTGTACTGATAAATGGATGCTCTTCCAAACTGGGCTCAGTGGGTCCCAGTGTCCAGGATTCTCTGGTTTAGCAAGAAGGGTCTCTGAGAAGACAGGTCCTCTTGGATCCTGGACTGGATCACTCTTTCTGATGGGGAGGGGAGGCTGCCCTGGGCATTGTCAGGTGCTGTAAGCAGCATCCCCGGCCTCCAGCCACTAGATGCCAGTGGCACCACCATCGCAGCTGTAGCAACCAGAAGTGTCTCCAGACATTGCCCGATGTCACCTGGAGGGCAAAATCGTCCTCTCTGAGAACGACTAGTCTAGGCCAACTTGGGGAAGAGTCACTCTCTAACAACCAGGTCACTTGAGAAAGTGATGCCTTTGGATCAGGCTCCTCGGGAAGTGAGGACCTAAGGGGAAGAGGTTGGGTGGGAGGTAGGGCTCTATCCAGAAGCTTTCTCCTTTCCCTTCTCTGCCCTCGAATCTACCCTCTAGACCCTCTGATCACAGTCTGGGTGAGGACAGAGGTAGGGGAGATGGGACAGCAGGAGAGCAGACCTAGGCTCTCACAGCCCACCACGCCTCCTTCCCCCAGGGGCCATCGTGGGAGCCACAGTCAGTCCCCTTCTGTTTCTCATCCTGGTGGGCCTGCTGGTTTTCTTCCTGAAGAGGAGGTGAGACTTGGCGCAGGGCTTATCGGGTGCCAGGCGGGAGGGGGCCTGGGGAAAGATGGGGATCCGTGGTTCTGGCCTCACTCCCCATGTCCTTTTCCCAGGCATAAGAAGAGTGAGAAGAAACCAGCACCCAGGGATCTGGTGTTCAGGTGAGTGGGTTTGGGGAGCATTCAAAAGACTCACTGTCAGGTCAAATCCAGCTGGTCACTGTATAGGTCAGAGGGCAGGGCCAAGGAACCCACCCACACCAGCCTCAGATCCCCACTGCGGCAGGGATCGCAATGCCTTCACCGCTGCCCACTCCCTAAGCAGCCTGGGCCGGTGGCTGTGGAATCTCTTCCAGTCTCAGTTCTGGGACTTCCATTCATTTATCCAAAAAGACATTCACTGAACCCCTGTTAAGTGTCAGGCACTGTTCTAGGTGCCGAGGAAACTGGCTGAAACAAAGATTCCTGCCCTTGTGGAGCTTACATTCTAGCACAAGCAGCCATTAACAAACAAGATGATTAGGAATTCCTTGGCGGTCCACTTGTTAGGACTCCATGCTTCCACTGCAGGGGGCATGGGTTCAATCCCTGGTCGGGGAACTAAGATCCTGCAAGCCGTGCAGCGCGGCCAAAACAAACAAACACACAAAAAACAAAACCAAGATGATAAAGAACGTGATGCTTACTTGGAGACAAATAAAGCAAGAGGTGGAGGCAGGAAGGGTGGAGGAATATTTTAAATAGAGTGTCCAGGAGAGGCCTTACTAAGAAGATGACTGAGACGAAGTCATTTGAGGACAGACCTGAAGCAAGTGAGGGCAAGAGTCCTGTGCCCATCTGGGGAAAAGGCATTCCAGGCAGGGGGATCAGCAAGTGCGATGGCCCCGAGGCAGGCACAGGCTTGGCTCGTTTGGAGAACGTGGTGTGTCTCTGAGACTGAGCAGAGTGGATGAGGCGGGGTGGGGGTGGGGGTGGGGTAGGAAATGAGGTCGGAGAGCTACCAGGTGGGATCAGATCAGGTTGGGCCTTGTAGATGATAGTGGGGACGTTGGTTTTATCCTGAGATGGGAGTTTTTGGAGGTTTTCAATAGACCTGTGACACAGTCTCACATTTTTATGAAGCAAAGGCAAAAGTAGGGAAGCAAAGGAAGACGTCTGTATATAATCCAGATGTCTGTTATGTCTTGGAGCAGCAAACAGTTAGAGGGAATCAGATTCAAGATGCCGTTTGAGTGTTTGAAGAGCAGACCTGGTTAAAGAATGGATGTATGGTGTGGGATTCGGAGAGGGCTCAAGAGTGAACCCAAGGAATTCAGCCTGAGCCCCAGGGAGGCTGGAATGGCCATTACTTGAGACAGAATGACTATGCGGGGTGCAGGTTTGGGGGAAAGTGTCAGGAGCTCAGTGGTGGACACACTGATTTTGGGATGCTTGTCAGACATGTGAGTGAAAACGCTAAATGGGCTGTTGGATACAGAGTTCCGTGGTTCAGAAAAACGTTTGTGCAGATGTCTTCATCACTCTGAGTCCCCTTTAGGTTGGGTCAATCATCATCAAATCTCTATGTCAGAATGATCCCCAGGGATCAATAGAGGAGAGATAGACCAGGGAGTTAAGGGATGTTGCGAAACCGGGTGAGACAGCCTGGGTGTAAAAGAAAGAGGCATAAACTGAGGGCGTGGCCATCAGAGGCAGGGGCTTGAGGGAGAGTAAATACGATGATGTCCAGTTTCTCCTTCGCCATAGAATCTGTCCTGGCCAGCGTCCCGCCCCACTCACCCTGTGACCTCTCCCCTCCTTACCCTGTGTCCATTATATGGCATCTGCAACAAATCACTGCACCCATTGGATTCCAAGTCTGGCCCCACCTGTATGCTGAGCATCTTGCCCTCCTCAACCTCAACGTGCGTGTTTGGATGTCCCAGCGATGACCCTCGAGGACACACAGGTGGAGATTCCAGGAGGCAGGTGGGAAAACAGCTCTGAAGCTTGGGAGGGGGAGAAGTAGGGACTGGCAATGGAGATTCAAAAATCACAGATGAATGGATGGAAAGCGAAGCTAAGGAAATGGACAAACCCCATAAGAAGTGTGTGTCCAGTGAGAAAGGGGGGATTGAGGATGGGCTTCTGGGGATGCCCACCTTTTAGGATGGGCAGAGGACAGGGCCCCACCAAGGAGATGGAGAAGCAGCAGTCAGAGAGACGGTGATGGTGCAAACCAGGAGAGGGTGTTCAGGAAGAGGGTGGATCCGGAAGAAAGGAAGGCGCGGTCAAAGGTGCGAAGTGCTGCTGAGCACTGAGAGGTGGCCTTTGGAATTGGTGATAAGGAGGCAAATAAGATAGGGGACTTTGAAAAAAGTCCTTGTTCCCCTGTAGTCGTGGTGGAGACACCAGGCCATGGTGAAGGGTGGGAAGGAAGCAGAGAAAACCGGTCAGTGTGAGAAGTTTGAATGTGAAGGTGTGTTTTCATAGGTCGTCTTATTGTTTAGGTGTGATAAGGCCAATGGATCCAGAGACAGACACCACTGAAAGATAGTTCATTACAATCACAGATCCCAGGAGAGGGATTACCAAGCAAGGCCATGCAGAGAAGCACCAGGGTCAGCTGGGAGGTCGGGGAACACCTGAGGAAGAGGCTTTACTGTGGTTTCTGCAGCAAGAAGTGGGCAATCCAAGGCAAACGGGTTTAGTTTGAATCATTTCAGTGGACTCTGATGCACAGGGCCTGTCCCCTGTTCCTGGCGGGGATTCCAGCAGATGGATCCCCAAAGGGGAGGGGGTGAGGGTGTGGATTTAATCAGCTTCTCAAGAAGGAGAACTGGGGAAATGCCTGGCGGTCCAGTGGTCAAGATTCCAGGCTTTCACTGCTAGGCCCGGGTTCAGTCGCTGGTCGGGTATCTCCCACAAGCCACGCAGCGTGGCCAAATAAATAAACAAAACTGTAAAAACAAACAAACAAAAAAAAATACCAGTCACGCAAAAAAGAAGAAGGTAAACCGACGAACCTCCAACCAGGGTCTCAAAACTGAGTCAAGACTGTATATATAACATTGTATATATAACACTATACTACAAGGGGAAGAGAGACAAAGAGCTGGAGCTGGAGCCACAGGAGGTCAAAGGATTCTTTTTTTAATACAGAAGTAAGATTAGCATGTTTACACACAAAAGGGAAAGAGGAGAGGGGAGAGTTACAGCAGAGAGGGAAGAACCATGGCTAGAGAGGGCCACAGGGAATTGGGGCCCAGAGAAGGGCAGTGGTCCTAAGTGGGAGAAGAAATACCCTTTCCTTTTTTTTGAGTCAAAACAAATTTTGATTGTGGTTAAAAAAAAAAACAAATAACCTCCAAATAACAAATTTACCACCTCAACCATTTTTAAGTGTGCAGTTCAGTGGCATGAAGTCCATTCACGTTGTTGTGCAACCATCAGCACCATCCATCCATAGAACTCTTTTTTTAAAAAACTTTATTTATTTATTTATTTTGGTCACGCCACATGGCTTGTGGGATCTTAGTTCCCCGACCAGAGATTGAACCCACACCCTCAGCAGTGAAATCGCGGAGTCCTAACCACTGGACCGCCAGGGGATTCCCCGTAGAACTCTCTTCATCCTGCAAAACTGAAACTCTGTACACATCAAACACTAACTCCCCATTTCCCCCATCTCCCAGCCCCTGGAAACCACCCTTCTACTTTCTGGTTGTATGAATTTGATGACTGCCTCATATAGGTGGAATCGTATTTGTCCTTTTTGTTTGTTTGTTTGTTTGTTTGTTTTTGTGGTACGCGGGCCTCTTACTCTTGTGGCCTCTCCCGTTGCGGAGCACAGGCTCCGGACGCGCAGGCTCAGCGGCCATGGCTCACGGGCCCAGCCACTCCGCGGCATGTGGGATCTTCCCGGACCGGGGCACGAATCCGTGTCTCCTGCATCGGCAGGTGGACTCTCAACCACTGCGCCACCAGGGAAGCCCGTATTTGTCCTTTTATTTGTCCTCTTGTGACTGGCTCATTTCACTCAGCATAATGCCCTCCAGGTTCATCCATGTTGTTGTATGTGTCAGAATTTCTTTCCTTCCTTAGGAAGAATAATATTCCATTGTATGGTTAGACCAAATCTTCTTTATCCATTCATCTATCAATGGACACTTGGTTTGCTTCCTCTTTTTAGCTACTGTGAATAATGCTGCTATGAACATGGGTGTACAAGTATCTGAGACCTTGCTTTCAATTCTTTTGGATATGTACCTACAAATGGAATTGATGAATCAGAAACAACATCACTAACTTGAAAAGATATCTGCACTCCCATCTTCATAGTAGCATTACCCACAATAGCCAAGATATGGAAACAACCTAAGTGTCTATCGATGGATGACTGAATAAAGAAGGTGTAATATAGGGCTTCCCTGGTGGCGCAGTGGTTAAGAATCCACCTGCCAATGCAGGGGACACGGGTTTGAGCCCTGGTCCAGGAAGATCCCACATACCATGGAGCAACTAAGCCCGTGCGCCACAACTACTGAAGCCCGTGTGCCTAGAGCCTGTGCTCCGCAACAAGAGAAGCCATTGCAATGAGGAGCCCTCGCACCGCAATGAAGAGTAGCCTCCGCTCACTGCAGCTAGAGAAAGCCCACGCACAGCGACAAAAGACCCAACACAGCCGAAATAAATTAATTAATTTTTTTAAGGTGTAATATACATATAGAATGGAAAATTATCCAGCCGTAAAAAAGAATGAAGTAATGCCATTTGTGGCAACATGGATGGACCTTGAGGGCATTATGCTAAGTGAGATAAGTCAGACAGAGAAAGACAAATACTGTATGAGATAACACTTATACAGTAAGTCCCTTACACACAAATGAGTTACGTTCCAAGACTGTGTTCATAAGTCCAACAAAGTTAGTCTAGGTACCCAACTAACACAATTGGCTATATAGTACTGTACTGTAATAGGTTTATGATACTTTTCACACAAATAATACATTAAAACAAGCAAACACAAAAAATAAAACATTTTTAATCTTACAGAACAGTACCTTGAAAAGTCCAGTAGTGCAGTGTAAGAGCTGGCATACAGGGGCTGGCACTGAGTGAACAGGAAAGAAGAGTTACTGACTGGAGGAGGGAGAGGAGGTGGGAGATGGCAGAGCTGAAGGATCCTTGGCCATAGGAGACAGAGGGCAAGCTGCAATGTCACTCACGCCTTGTGTGATTGGACATGCGAACGCACATTCGCGTCTTTGAAAGTTCACAACTTGAAGTTTCGTATGCAGGGGACTTCCTGTGTGTGGACTCTAAAAAAAAAACTCGAGAGAATTCCCTGGGGGTCCAGTGGTTAGGATTCAGTGCTTTCACTTCCAGGGTCCCGGATTCGATCCCTGGTCGGGGAACTAAGATCCCACAAACTGTGCGGCGTGGCCAAAATTTAAAAATTAAAAAAACCTCGAACTCGTAGATACACAGAACAGACTGGTGGTTACCAGAGGCAGAGGGTGAAATGGGTGAAGGTGATCAAAGGTACAAACTTCCAGTTATAAGATAAATAAGTCCTGGGGAGGTAAAAAAAAGAAAACAAAACACAAAATCCTTTTCTTTTATCCCAAGCGCACAAGGTTAAAGGAGGTTATGTGCCCCTCTTCCCCCACAGCTTCCCAGGGGACGTCCTGGCTGAAGACTTTGCCGACCACGTCAGGAAACACGAAGACAGCGGCTGTGGCTTTGCTGAGGAGTACCAGGTCGGGTGAGAACAGAGGGAGCTGAGCTGAGCCCCACGTGTCCACGGAGACCTTTCCACCCCTTTGGGATTGAACAGAAGCAGGGATACATACTTGGTTGGCTCATACAGAAATTCTCAGCCATGATTATCCACCTTCTTGACTCACTGAACTCTTACTGTAGTGTTGGTTGGATGGGTTAATCTTAAAGCAACACCTTGGTTTTCCCCTGACCCCTCCTCTCTCACCTACCTCTCCAGTCCCCATCCTCCTGCCCTTCCTCCAAAATGCCCCCCCGGGGATGGTGCACACACTCGTCCTATTTCTCTCTTTCTTTTTTTAAAAATAAATAAATTTATTTATTTATTTTTGGCTGCGTTCGGTCTTCGTTGCTGTGCGCAGGCCTTTTCTAGTTATGGCTCATGGGCTTAGTTGCTCCGCGGCACATGGGATCTTCCCAAACCAGGGCTCGAATCCGTGTCCGCTGCATTGGCAGGCAGATTCTTAACCACTGCGCCACCAGGGAAGTCCTACTTGTCCTATTTCTGTAGGTGCTACAGAATTCCAGGGTGTAAGGGGTGAGTGGGGTGGCACTTAGGAAGGCGGAGGGAGCAACGCGGGTATCCCTGGGGGAGGGCAGAGAAAATCCAGCATCCGTGCACCCTCCCCTCACTTCGCCCCGAGCAGCCGGCCCTGGAGGACCACAGCCAGTCCCAGATGGTGGCCTCAGCTCCGGAGAACAGCGCCAAGAACCGTTACAGAAACGTGCTGCCCTGTGAGTCACGAGCCTCTGCTGACTTTGTTCTCAGCCGTGACTTAGTCAACATCCCAGGCCTGACCCTTGCCCCTTATTACCCTTGAGGGACAAAGCTCTTGCCCCCGTGAGCTGAGAAACCCCAGGCCGGCCCCTCCCGCCCGAGGTCCCTCAGACCCTCTCCCAGCTCCCCTTGTCTGTGTGCAGCGTGACGTGTGTCGGCGTGACCTCTATCCCTGGGTCTCCCACCCTGCCCCCCGCATCGCTAATGCCGGCCTCTTCCCCTAGATGACTGGTCCCATGTGCCCCTGACGCCCCTCCCTGGGGAGCCGGGCTCTGAGTACCTCAAGGCCAGCTGCATCCCTGTAAGGCTGCGGTTGGGAGCCAGGAGGATGCTGAATGAGCCTCGGAAGACGAGGGCCAGATGAGGCGGGATGTGACCTACCTGTTTTCCTCAACCAGGGTCTCTGGAGCCTCCGGGAGTTCATTGCAGTCCAGGGCCCCCTCCCCCACACTGTGGGCGGCTTCTGGCGCCTGGTGTAGGGGCAGCGGAGCCCCACACTGCTCACGCTGACCAACTGCGTGGAGTCTGCCCAGGTGAGAGGACACCTGGGTCCTGGGTGCTGACCCCTGAGCTCCAGCCCGTGACCCTGCCCCAGACACTGATCCCAGGGTAGACCTTGACTTAGACCTCACTGTTTCCCTCCACCACAGCCCCAACCTTCCTGTCTCCCCCAGTCCACCCATTTGTCCACTTACAGGGTGAAGCTGATCTCAAGGACCTTGTGAAAGAAGAGTCCTCCCGGCTGGGATGAATCTACACCTGGCTGCCTGTGGGTCCTGCCTTGTCACCAGAGCAGGGGGGATTCCCCGGCACTGAATACAAGAGCCACCCTGCAGAGGGGCACCAGGGAAGGTGCTCTGGGGCCTCCTGTACTCTGACCCGCCCCAGTCTTCCCCCAGGTGAAGTGTGAGCATTACTGGCCTCTAGACGCCCAGCCCTGCACCCATGTGACCCTGGTGGGTGAGGAGGTGATGGAGAACTGGACAGTACGAAATCTGAAGCTCTGGCATGTAAGCCCCCATCCCACCCCTTCAGCCCCACCTTGACCCTCAGTTCCTCCCCCGTGATATTCCAGGCAGTCCCCTCCCCAGAGCTCCCCATGAAGTCTAAGCTTCCGCCACTCCCGCAAGGGACCACAATGTGCCCCAGGGATGTCCCCACCGGTCAGAAACCAGCCCCCGGGTCCTGAGCTCCCCCCAACTCCCCTCCGTCTAGATGCAAGAGCAGAAGACTTTATCTGTGCGTCAGTTCCACTATGTGACCTGGCCAGACCATGGCATCCCCCACTCCCCAGACCCCTTGCTGGCCTTCTGGAAGATGCTCCGGCAGTGGCTGGACCAGACCGTGGGGGGAGGCCCCCCCCATTGTACACTGCCCGTGAGGACCAGCCAGAGCCCTCTGTCCGTGAGGAAACCGCCCCCTTGGGGCTCAGAAACCAGGGTTCTCTGGGTCCTTAGGAACTTCTAGAGGAGGTGGAGGAGATGGGGAGGGCAGAAGGTGAAGGGGCGGTGATGCAGGTCAAGAATGATGATAAAGGTGAAGAGATGGGAAAGAAAGAAAAAGAGGTAAAGGAGGAGGCATGCATGGGGAGAAGGAGGGAAGAGGGGTGAAGAGCAGGAGGGAGAGGCAGCCAAAGGTTTTAAGAAACATTTAAAACAGCTCCTTGGGGGCTTCCCTGGTGGTCCAGTGGCTAGGACACAGCACTTTCACTGTCGAGGGCCCAGATCCCACAAGCTTCACAGCGCGGCCAAAAAAAAATTTTTTTTAATGAAAAATAAAATAAAACGGTCATTTTCATGTTTAAAATTTTTTTTTTTTTTTTTTTTTTTTTTTTGATACGCAGGCCTCTCACTGCCGTGGCCTTTTCCGCTGCAGAGCACAGGCTTCGGCCGCGCAGGCTCGGCGGCCATGGCTCACGGGCCCAGCCGCTCCGCGGCATGTGGGATCTTCCCGGACCGGGGCACGAACCCATGTCCCCTGCATCGATAGGTGGACTCTCAACCACTGCGTCACCAGGGAAGCCCTAAAATTTTTTTTTAAATGACAAGCTTGGGAGCTCATCTTCCCGTGTATGAACCCTAGCTCTGTCACTTACTAGCTGAGTGGCCTGGGACAATCGACTTCACCTCACTCAGCCTCCATTGCCCTGTATGTAAAATGGGCACGCTCAACTAATGGTTCCTACCTCTTAGGAGTGGGAGGAGTGAAAAAAGCACGTAAGGCACCTGGAACAGGGCCTAGCAGGTAGAGAGAACACAGAGCATAGTCATTTGTTATTACTTCCTACTTAATGAAGTAACCCCCACTTAACACTGTAGCCTCCAGAATAGTCTCACTGAATACCCTGACCCCTGGGTGCTCCGAACACAGATCCCTCCAGTCAGCTGAGACTCCCCCTCCCGTGGTCTGACCCTTCTTGTCCCCGCCTAGCGCTGGCGTGGGCCGCTCGGGCACCCTCATTGCCCTGGATGTCCTGCTGCGGCAGCTGGAGAGTGAGGGTCTCATGGGGCCCTTCAGCTACATGATGGAGATGTGAGAAAGCCGGCCACATACGGTGCAGACTGAGGTGATGGGGATCCTCGGGCACAGGGTGGGTGGGGTGGGGTGGGGCCCCAGAGGAAAGCAGGCCGAGGCTCAGTAGCGCACCCTCACCTGCCCGTGCTCTGTCCCCAGGCCCAGTATGTGTTCCTGCACCAGTGCATCCTTAGGTTTCTGCAACAGTCATCCCCAGTGCCTGCTGAGAAGGGGCCCACCTATGAGAACCTGCTTTTCGAGAATGTAGCTCCTACAGAGGCCTGAGCTGCGGGAGGGCTGAGACCCCAGCCCATCTAGACTCAAATTCTGCATCCCTACTTCACCCCAGATACCTGGACCCCTGGGACAGCAGAGGGCTGGGGTCCCACACCCCTGGGCCCTGCAGGAAGAGGGGGCTGGCAGCCTAAATTCCTGCTTTCCGGAGGGGGAGAGAGGTCAGGTGGGAGCCCAGATCCTGGATTTCCAGTTCCTTGAAGAAGGAGAGGGATGGGATCTAGGATTTCCTTGTTGCTTTTTGAGGGAGGAAGAGGCTGCAGGGTCTCAAGGAAACAAGCTGATTTCTGAGGAAGAAAGGAAGTAACGAGGGTCCAGAATTGTGGCCACCCAAGGCGCGAGGGCAGGCCAGGCAGGATCCTGCCCGTATTTTACTCCAGAAACTGAATCATCAACCTTCGAGGATCTGAGGTTTCCCTGCACCCCACTGCCTGTACATATTTTTTCTTTTATCCCATAATTTATTAAATCACTATGCTCCCTAGAGACACTTGCCCCATTGGATTTCTGGGTCTGGAAATAATATTGGGGTGGGTTCCTGACGTTTAGGTACTGAGGCCAATGTCCTAGGGAGGAAACTAGAGGGACTCACAATTTGCGCCTGAAAAATGTAGGTTTGGACAGTTGAGTCTCTCCGAGAAGGCTGTAGGTCTAGGGTCTGGGCAGTGTGGACTCGCTTCCCTCGAGCTGGGAGCACGGGGGCTTGCCTTCTGGGCACGGCCTTAGGGGAACTTAGAGGGTGGAGTGAAGTCTGTATCGGATTTGCTGGAGAATTTCACGCATAGTCTCCTGTCTGGATATCTGAATAGCTGGGTCTCCGGAGAGGGTCTTCTGGGTCCTAGAACCCGATATCCTGGAGCCTGGTTCTATGGACAGTCCCGGGGTCTGGGGTGGGGAGAAGGGGTCTGTATGCCCGGTGGCTGGACTAGAAGGCAGAAAATCCTTGGGACCAGGATAAATATCCGTGGGCGCCCTGGTGGTTCCAGGCTGGGGCGGGACGAGGGCCGGGGCGGAGTTCTCCACCTTCCAAATACGCACGCGCACACACACATACACACTCTCAGGCTTTCTCTCACACACATATACACGCTCACACACACGCACACGGGCACATACACACCCCGGGCTGGCTCCGTTCGGCTGAGCCCCCGCCCCACAGCGCTCCGCGATCAGCACCCAGGACAGCGCCAGCCACACGCGTGCCGGGGCGGGGTCCGGGCGGGGCCGGCGCCTCGGTATCTCTCGGGAGGGTCCTGTCTAGCCACCGAGCAGGTAGGAGCCACTGGAACCCCCTCCCTAAGCCCCATCCTCATTTCCATCCCTAGAGAGATGGTGTGTGTATGTGCGCGCGCGCGCGTGTGTGTGGTGGCGGGGACACTGGGAGAGACCAGCAGATGGAGTGGGAGGGCTGGAGCCTGAAATGGGGAGAATGGGATTTAGAGACAGGTGTGGAGACAAAGAGCCAGAGGGAAGGGAGGAGCAGGCAGTGGAAGAGGGTGCGAGATCCCGGTAGACTGAGATCAGACAACAGGCAGAGGCCAGACAACCCAGACGGAGGAGCGGCGAGAAGCCGACGGGGAGACGGACCTCGATGTGGGGTGGAGAGAGGAATGGAGGCCGAGGCGGTCACGAGGACAGGTGTGAAGACAGAGCTCAGGGTGCGCGGAAGAGACAAACAGGCTGAAAAGGATGTGGTGGCCCAGCCAAGGCAGCAGGGCAGCCGCCCGCCCCTCACATTCCCCGCAAGAGTGGGAGAGGGAGGGCAGCCTGAGTCTTCACTCCCAGGGCCAGATGTGGAGGGAGGAGCCAGCCTTGGGCGCGTGGACAGACGCACGGGCAAGGCCGCGTCCTCCCCATCTTCGCTTGTCAGGGGTATCCGGGTCTGAGGTCCCAGGTGGGACGGGGAACCGAACCGGCTTGCGCCTCTGGGACTCGGCTTCTGTGCGTCAGCCCCGCCCGTTGTCCTGGCAACAGGCCGTTGCCGGGGCAACCAGCGCTCCCTTCACCCCGCCCCCGTGGAGCCAGCCGTTGCTCTGGGCAACCCGGTGCGCTGGTTCCCACGCCCGCCCTCGCCCACTTCCGGTTCAGGCCCCGGGGAAGGGCAAGGAAGGGACAGAAGTCAGCGGGATTGGATTCCTGGAGGCCTTGGAGGGAGGGGGCGTCCCTTGGGACGAGACTTGGTCCTGGAATCCACCCCCACCCCTCGCCCTCCGTCGCAGGAAGGCTGAAACAACAACCCCCAGCATGCCTCGCGGCGGTTGGCAGGTTCCCATATGGGACCATACGGCCCAGGGTGCCGATGGGAGTTGGAGTTCTTTGTTGTTCGGATGGCTCGACAGATGCACGGGGTGGGTGTGGGGGGACTAGAGCATTTGGGTGCCTCCGCAGAAAGAACAGTAAGACCCCGCCGCCATGTTCCCGGAGCCCCCAACACCGGGGCCTCCAGCGACCGACACGCCTCCTGACTCGAGTCGCATCAGCCACGGCCCTGGTGAGCGAAACCCGGGGTGGAGTGGAGGGAAAGCCAGGCTAGGATTCCCAGGGGCGGGGTTCGAACGGGTGTATTCAGGCTGGCGGGCTGGAAAATACGGGTGAGATTATAGTCGGCATCCTGGATTGGAATCTAAATGAAATGAAAAAGGAACAGGTTTGTGAGAAAATCAGGAACCAAATCAAGGGGTGTGGAGTGGAATGGAACTGTGGATTGGTGAATTGGAAGGTCCACCTCTCCCTTCTTTTAAAGAGGGAGACTGAGGCCCAGAGAAGGGTTAAGCCTTCTAAAACACAGCGGTTGAGCAAAAAAATTAGAATGGGAGTAGAAGAGGAGGTGGAACTAATCCTAATAGGCAAGAAAATCTAGATGGTGTCAGCCTGCCTTAGGTCTTCAAATAGTTTTATATGTGAGACCAGTTGGAAGGAAAACATGGGAATAAAATGGAATGGAAATGGCTGGAGGGAAAACAAGGCCAGGATTTCAGCTGACACGTGTCATACAGAATGAATCAGCCTGCTTGTCTCTCAGGGCCTCAATGTTTGCTGTTTCCATGTCCTCTGCAGTGCCCCCCTGGGCTCTGGCCACCATCGTGCTGGTCTCAGGCCTCCTCGTCTTCAGCTGCTGTTTCTGTCTCTACCGGAAGCGTTGTCGGAGGCGGATGGGCAAGAAGAGCCAGGCTCAAGCCCAGGTCCACCTTCAGGAAGTGAAGGAGCTGGGCCGGAGTTACATAGACAAGGTGTGGCCTGGCCCAGCCCCTCAGCCCTGCTCCTTCCTGCACCCTTACTCCTCTCAATGGCCCAGCAGCCTCAGTCCCTGCTCCATCCCTCTTACACCCGCTGTGTTTGCTCATCTCCCTTGTGTGTCTAGCCCTAACCTGGACCTGGGGACCTGGAGATAGACCAGACATTCACAAGAACCTCCAGCCTGATGGGGAAGTCACATGCTCATATAGACATTCAAAATACAGGGTGGTATGTGCCACATTAGAGGCAGTACAGGGCATGTGGGAGCACAGAGAAACCACCTGACAGCCTAGGCGGTCTGAGAAGGCTTCCTGGAGGAGGTGACTTCTGTGTTGAGACCCAGAGGAACTCAGAATTAGCTGAGAGCAGAGAGAAGGACATTCTACCTCAAAGGAGGAGCATGTGTTGAGGCCTGGAATCCTGATTCTGAGGGATATTTGGAGAACAAAGAGTCATTCTTCACAATAGCTGGGGTATAGCATACAGATATCCTGTGCTCTAGGGTGAGGTTTCTGGAGAGCTCAGCAGTACCCATGTAATGAAGGTGATTGGGAGCCACAGAAGTTTTGAGTGGGAGAGGCACAAGGTCACATGGGCTTTAGGATGAATCCCCTGGAACCCTTGTGGAGGACAGGTCTGGGGCAAGGAGACAAGGGAGGAGGCTATATGGCAGCCTTGAGAGGTTGAAGCAAACGCGAGTTGGAAGACGTCGTTGGCGTGGAAAGCTACAGGTGCAAGTATCTGAGCACTGGGCCTCTGAATGCAGAGTGGAATGAGGCTCTCCTGGGAGCCAGAGTCCTAGGTTTCCAACCCAGAGCAACCGGCTCTGTGACCTTGGGAAATTCACTGTTTGTCTCTGAGCCTCAAGTTTGTGGACCATAACTAGTATTTCCTTACCTCCCTTTTCAACAAATAGCTGTTAAAATTATTACCCTTAAGGGGTGTCCTTTAGGGCCCTGGTATCCAGTCTTCATCCCTCTCCCCTAAGCCAGTGACTCCAAAGACCATCAGCATCAGAATCAGTTCAGGTACTTGTTGAAATGCAAATTCTGGATCTTGTGCCAGACCTACTGAATCAGAATCTCTGAAGCGAAGGCATTTTGCCACACTACTCAGGGGAATTCTGATTCACATTGCATTTTGAAAATCGGTGGCTTAGGTTAAGAAGTTTTCTGACTTTGTTGTTCTAGTTTAGAATGGCAAATACACACTAAATATGCAATTTTCCCTCCATATTTTCTGTCCAAGATCACTGATCAATGTGGCAATTTGGACAATCATCCCAATACATCCATTAATGTGTGAACTAAAATCTGCATCCATCCTGCAGGCAATGAGACACTGTCAGTGCTTGTTTTTCTAGTCTAGTCATGACAAGCACACTGCATGTGTGTCATCACGTCTATGCCCCACCGGTAGCAGGCATCACTAATAAAACACTGACAAACTTACCACACTGTGTTGCCATGGCTAGTCCCACCTGTGGCAGACATCACTAATCAAACACCGACTCTGCTTAGCTTGCAAGTGTTCAGGTATAGCTGGAGGGATCTGTGAGTCTCCTTTGGCTTCTGCACCTGGGTGGATATCACTATCAGGGGAAGAGTTCACCTGCCCTTGCCCCTGGCTCTCTAAGGTGCAGCCAGAAGTGGAGGAGCTGGAGCCGACACCATCTGGGCCAGGGCAGCAGGTGGCAGAGAAGCATGAACTAGGACGACTACAGTACTCACTGGATTATGATTTCCAGAGTGGCCAGGTGGGTGTGGAGGAGGGGAGATGCTTTGGAGGGGAGGGTCCCAGGGGTTCTAGCCCCTTCTTGGAGGAAGCTCTGGAAGGGAAGCTAAGACTAGGGTCCCCTTATCACTGTACAGCTGCTGGTGGGCATCGTGCAAGCTGAGGGATTGGCAGCCTTGGACCTAGGTGGCTCCTCTGACCCCTACGTGCGGGTTTACCTGCTGCCAGACAAACGGAGGCGGCACGAGACCAGGGTGCATCGGCAGACGCTGAACCCACACTTTGGGGAGAACTTCGCCTTCAAGGTGAGCTCGTGGCCTCAGTGCTTTATGCCCGGCAGCCTGTCCCCAGTCTCTGAAACGCTTGGGACCGATATCTTCGGCTTTTACTGGTGGCAGCTACCAGCTCTGGGGACTATTCCACTGGACCCTGCGTTGTCCCTTTAGGGGGCACTACTGGCCCCTGGACTGCTTCGTTGGTCCTTGGGCTGTCCCATTTGGGGTCCATAGGCACCCCCCCTAACTGTTCCTTGGGATCCTCGCTGCCCCCACTCATCGCCTTCCACCTGGATGTGCTGTGTCCCACTTCCTACTCTCACCGTGTGCTTTCTTTGCGTCCCCCTTCCCCCAGGTCCCCTACGTGGAGCTGGGGGGCAGGGTACTGGTCATGGCAGTATATGACTTCGACCGCTTCTCCCGCAACGACTCCATTGGGGAGGTGCGGGTCCCCATGAGCTCCGTGGACTTGGGGCGGCCAGTGCTGGCCTGGCGGGAGCTGCAGGCGGCTCCTCGGGAGGAGGTGAGCACGCGTGGCCACGCCCCCACATCTGGCCCCGCCCACCTCAACCCCGGGCCAATCAGATCACAGGCCTCCGCGATCCTCTGGGCTCCAGCACTTCCACCTGCTGCAGAAGAGTAGCTCCCAGGTCTATCCTGGTGGATCAACGCCTCCCCTCGGCAGTCCCCCTCGGATTGTACCACCCGGGTCTTAACTCTGGACCATACCATTTCAACACGAGGGGGAGGGAAGAAAAATCGCAGAGGGGTTGGATGCGGAGCCCCGGTTCCGTTGATGAGTCCCTCTCCATCTTTTAGCAGGAGAAACTAGGTGACATCTGCTTCTCCCTCCGCTATGTCCCCACGGCCGGGAAGCTCACCGTCATCGTCCTGGAGGCTAAAAACCTGAAGAAGATGGATGTAGCAGGGCTGTCAGGTGTGTGGGAAGCAAGCAAATGGTGATGATGGGCGGGGGAGGTTCTCTGGCTAAGGTTCTGGCAGTGTCTGGGCCCCGAGGGTCTCATAGGGGAGAGGGGGATCCCGGCTGTCATGGAGGATTTAGATTCTATTTGGGCACAGAGAAAGGGAGACCTGAGGGGTCCATGGGCTGTCTCTGTGTTGTTCCAAAGAAGAGTCTCATGCATTCCCCTCAACCTGATCCCTTTGGACTCACCAGAGTGGTGGGGTTATAAGATTCCTCCTCCCTCTCCCCAGATCCGTATGTCAAGGTCCACCTGCTGCAGGGTGGCAAAAAGGTGCGGAAGAAGAAAACGACCATCAAGAAGAATACTCTGAACCCCTATTACAACGAGGCCTTCAGCTTCGAGGTGCCCTGTGACCAGGTCCAGGTGAGCTCAGACCTGCCCATAGCCCCTGCCAGAGCAGCCCTTACCCCGGAGTCCCAGGCCCTTAGAAACCCCCGTTGCTGAGGGAAGGGAGACTCCTTAGCAACCCTGAGAAGCCAGGTCTTGGGGGTCTGATTGTGTTCTCAATCTCAGTTTCTCCCATGAGGACCAGGAAGCCCCACCCCCAAGCAAGACCAGGGTGCCCGTTGCCCTCAGGAGCTCTGGTTACTGAGAAAAAGAGACTTCCCCACAACCCTAAGGCCCGGCCTCTCCACCCACTTCAAAGTCTTGAAGATTTGCCCCCCTTAGGAGGCTGACCCTAAGGGGCCTCCTAACAACCCCTGAGCAACGGGGTCCTGAGAGTTTATCTCCGCCCCCTCCCCCGGTCCAAGCTCCAGATGAAGCCTTAGCCCAGGGGCCTAGGAAGACCCCTCAGAATGAGGGTTGTGAGGGAGAGGGTCTCCTTAGCAATGAAATCTGAGTCCCTCACATTACCTCCTTACCCCACTCTCTGTCTCTTCTTCCTCCCCTGCCCACCTCAGAAGGTTCAGGTGGAGCTGACTGTGCTGGACTATGACAAGCTGGGCAAGAACGAGGCCATCGGGAGGGTGGCCGTAGGGGCAGCGGCCGGGGGCGCTGGGCTGCGGCACTGGGCAGACATGCTGGCCAACCCCCGGCGGCCCATCGCCCAGTGGCACTCGCTGCGGCCCCCTGACCGAGTGAGGCCACCGCCAGCACCCTGATACCCACCCTCAAGCCCCTGACCCCAGACTCCTGTCCAAAGCCACGTCCATGCCCACCTATAAGCCTTCTCTGAACGCTAACACCCCCCCCACTCTACCCATTCCTGCCTTCTCCCCATCCCCATTATGCCAATCATGATAACCTGCCAACTCCCCCAATATGGCACATGCCCCAAAGCCCCAGGGACCCCTGGGGGAGGAGGAGAGCAGTCTGGTCTCCCGCCATCCCAGGGTCTCGCCCTCTGCTTTGACAATCAGTGATCCCAGCCTACTATCCCCTTGGCTCCCAGTATCCCTTTTCCTGCACAGTATCACCCACTCCTGTCCCCGGTCTGATTCCTGCACCACTCCTGGGACCAAATAAATACTCAGCAACTTTGCTGGCCTGGACCGGTGCTCCTTGATGGAGGTGGGTAGGGGTGAAGACTGGGAACGCAGGAGGGACCCTCCAGGGGTGGGACCACACAAGGGCAGGGATAGGGCTGCCTATCCTGGAAACACACACGGAAACTCACCCACCCACTCATCCATCCATCCTTTCACCCACTCACTCTCCCATTCACTCCATCACTTATTCATTCACTCACCCCTCCAAGCTTCAGCTTCCTCACCTGAAAAAAATCATGATAATACTAACACCTACTGTACATTTGCTGTGAGGAGTCAATGAGAATTCACTTAGTTATTCATGAATTTATCTGCTCCCTCACCCATGATTTACATAGATTTTCATACCCATATTTCCCTCCCTCCCTTTCTTTCTTCCTTGCATCATCCATCCTTTCTATATTCCCTGAGGCCCTCTGTATGCCAGCTTCTGTTGGAAGCTCGGGACCCCCAAATAGATGCAAATCCAGACTTTACTTCCAAGCAACTTATTGTCATCAAGGAAACAAAGTAGATATGCAGCGTCTAGGAATAAAATCCCCAGAGAATGAGAGAAAGGGCAAGATTTCCTCAGGGAGACACAGTAGTTCCAGCTACACCTCATTCTTTTTGCAACAAATTCTTTCTCTCAGTCTGTGTCTAGGAAAGTTGATCATGTTATTGGCTTCTCCCCCATCTCATCCCAGACAGGATTTCAGGTGACGGACAAAGGTCCATGACATTTGGCAAGAGAGCTCTCTGAGCATCAGGTAAAGTGGAAAATGAGCCAACAAGTACTGCCATGTGCTAAGGAAAGGGGCAGAACTTACCCCTGAGCTTCCTGGTAGCCAATGGGAAAAGGGAAATCTGATCAGTTACCTAGGTTGTGAGGTCCATGAAATTTAAAAAGTTCCTCCAAAGGAATGCAATAATTTCTCATGTGTGAGTGAGTGGGGGGCATCTTTATAACGACAGTACTATGTATATGTTATTACTATTACTGCTACTACTTTTGATAATAATCCTCACAGCAACCTCATTAAATAGACACGATTATTATTCCCAGTTGACAAATGAGGAAACTGTGCTTCAGGGAATTAACATGACCTGCTCGGGATCATACATCCAGGAAGTCCTTCTCTAAATCCTGGGGTTGAATCTGTTCTGAGTTAGATGATGACATTGGGATCCCTGGGTCTATGTCTCCACAAGTAAGCAGACAAATGAGAAGTATAAAACCATTACAAGTGGCGACCAAACTGGGAAGGAAACCAGTAAGGGCTCAGATCATTTAAAAAGGGTTGTCAGGGACAGCTTCTCTGAAGAAGTAGTGTTTAGCCTGTGATATGAATGACAAGAAGGCATGAGGCTTCCAAAGATGAAGGGGAAATACGATGGAATATGATCCAGTCACAAAAAGGAATGAAGTAACTGATTCATGCTATAGCATAGATGAACCTTGAAAACACGATTTTAACCAGACATAAAAGGCCACATATTGTATGATTCCAACTATATGAAGTATCTAGAATAGGCAAATCCACAGAGAAGAAAAAAGTAGACTAGTGGTTTTCAGGGACTAGGGAGAGGGATAAATGAGGAGGGACTGATTAATGAGTATGGGGTCTCCTTATGGCATGATGAGCAATTTCTGGAACTAGATAGTGGTGATGGTTGCACAATACGGTGAATGTACTAAACATCATTAATTGTAAGCTTCGTATTGTGTGTATTTTAACACACACACACAAAGATGAGGGGGAAGAGAATTCCATACAGAAGGAACCCCAAGTTCCTTGCAAAGGCCCTGGGGGCAAGAACAGGCTTGATGTATTCTCAAAAGAGCCAGGAGGCCAGTGTGGCTGGAGAGGAGCATCAGGGTGGATGTATGGGGGTGGAGGTGGGGACATGACGTAAGAGACACAGCCAAGAGCCAGATCACACAGGAACTAGGAGGTGAAGCTAAGGAACTGGGATTGTATCTACCTGCAGTGAGAAACCTCAGTAGGGTTTTAGAGGGAAGTGGCATGGCTTGGTTCACATTTCAGATTACTCTGGCTCCTCCGTGGAGGAAACGTTGTGGAGAGTGGCGGTGATGAAGATAAAAGACATTAAGCCTCACTGGAGAAAGTCAGGATCTGGGGCTCTAGTGGGCTGAAGCCTGACTCAGGAGGGGCCCAGGTTGGCTGGCCCACTCCTGGAGGGTTGCTGAAAACTCAGCCTTCATTTCCTTCCCACTAACCAGAACTGTCCTCAGCAGGCAGGTGGACCTTCTTTCAACCCACCACACTCCTGCTAGTTGCATGTTACCTTTCCCATTTTACAGAACATGACACTGAGGCAGAGAGGGTGACTGACTTGGCTAAGTTCATGTAGCAGGGTGAGGAGAGGGGACAGAGAACCGAGGCTCCTTGGGTGCTGTGCCCTGGGCTGGGTGCTGGGGATGATCTGGAGATGTGTCTCGCTGGAGTCCCTGCCCTTGTGGAACTCACAGACAGGTTAAGTCACCTGGCCGAGTTCTCTCAGCCAGCAAGTGACAGGACAAGGTGTAAACCCAGCCATGGCTGGCACCAAAAGCCACATTCTCAAGCGTCCTCAACCCCAGATATAAAGTACTGGGAGTCACAGGGTAGACTACAGTGGCCATCTGCTGAAAAAGCAGGAGCAGAAATCAGGAAGATCACTGGCTAAGGTTAGAAGGATTTGGAGTTTTCCAGGGGGAGAAGGGGAGGATGTTAGAAGGAGCAACACAAGCCATAAAGGGACTTCCCTGGTGGTTCAGTAGCTAAGACTCCGCACTCCCAATGCTCCCAAGGCAGGGTGCCCAGGTTCGATCCCTGGTCAGGGAACTAGATCTCACATGCCGCAACTAAAAGATGCCATGTGCTGCAACTAAAAAAAAAAAAAAAAACGATCCTGCGTGCCACAACTAAGACCTGGCTCAGCCAAGTAAATAAATAAATAAATCATAAATAAACAACAACACAAGCCATATAGACCTGGAGACAACAGAGGACTTGGTGTGGTTCCTGAGGTGTGCTGTTACCATCTCTCTGAAGCCCTGTTGTGTAGCTTGCCCCCTTCCATGGTGTAAATACTGTCACTGTGGCTGATTTCAAGCCACCGATGTGAAGTCTGAATATAGAGTTGAGAAGAGATGGCTACTACCACACCATCCTATAGTATTTCCCAGAGTAGAACAAGGGTCCCAAAATTTAAGGCAAAGCCAAAACAAAAACAAAGTCACCAAAACCAACACACCCAGTAATCAAGATAGAAAGTATTTTAATGCAATATTTTTTTTTAAATTTAAAGACAGGATCTGACCCTTCACTTGGACCTCTCTGCCTTATCCTAATCCTGGCGCTTGTTCTAATAAAACTTTATTTACAAAAATAGACAGCCCATGGTCCTAGTTTGCCAACTTCATTTTTTAAACTATCGCATGAAAATAGCATTTCCTTCTTACAGGTACAATAGCTGTAAATAACCTTAAGACCATCAATAATTGTAAAATATAATAAAGTAGGAAGTGATGAGTTTTGAGTATGATTACTTTTATTTTAATGTATTTTATTGGAATTTAATTTTTAGTAAAAAGTTTAATTTTTAGTAATGATTGTGTGTAAAACCAGGTCATAAAATTCCTGAAAATGTAGCAACTGGAGCCAGTGCTAGCTGGCCTCAGTACTTCGCTGTGTTTTTCTCACCTGGAGAGAAGCCCTGTGTGATAGAGCCAGGGTGTGAGGGGAAATGGGGCCACAGAGGTCTATAGTTTATGGTCTAAGCCACCTCAGTTTAATTTGGGTTGATCAAGATTCTGTTCCGTTCTAAATTTGAATCGGCCCAGGCCTCCAGCTTCCAGAAATTTGGATCGCCCCCAGCTCCGCCCCAGCCTCTTCCGGCCCGGCCCCTTCCCCTTCAGCGCCGTCGTCATGACAACCGCGTCCTCTCGCCCACCGCTCCCGCAAACCCTTAGCGCTCCCATTGGCTAAAAGTTTGCAACGGGCAGGTCTCCCTCGCTCTCATTGGTCAGTTGATGGCGGTGGTGCCAGCCCGCACACTCCTATTGGCCGACTGATTGAAAAGGGCGGGGACTATGGGCAGCAGTTGTGTAGGGGCCTTCGGATCCCAGCGCCGCACCGAGAGGGGAGGGAGGGGACGTCTCGGGTTATTTAGAAGGATAAAGGTGAGGGGGCTGTGAAAGGGGCGAGAAGTCAGCGGAGGTGAGAGGGGAATGGGTGGGCAATGCAGACACGATATTTGGGGATTCCCGGGTTGTTTGTCCCGCAGGGAGATGACCACACCAGCGGGCTCGGGCACTGGCTTCGGCTCTGTGTCCTGGTGGGGCCTGTCCCCGGCGGTTGACCTGCAGGCTGAGAGTGAGTCGCCCACACAGGACTACAAATCATCCGACACAGCGGCTACTTTCACAGCCTGGCAGACACTAACGTTCTGGCGCTAACGTTCTCTGAGGCTCCAAGGGCGGGGGGCGCCCTCCAGTGGACAGCCTAGATACCTCTGCGAACTACGAGTCCCAGAATGCTTAGAGGCACAGCTCCTTTTAAAACCAAGGCCAGGGCTTTCCTCGTGGCGCAGTGGTTGAAAGTCCGCTTGCCGATGCAGGGGACACGGGTTCGTGCCCCGGTCCGGGAGGATCCCACATGCCGCGGAGCGGCTGGGCCCGTGAGCCATGGCCGCTGAGCCTGCGCGTCCGGAGCCTGTGCTCCGCAACGGGAGAGGCCACAACAGTGAGAAGCCCGCGTACCGCAAAAAAACCCAAAAAAACAAGGCCAGGGGTGCAAGTCCTGCTGGGAGTTGTAGTTCATCGTGCTGGGGGGTGGCTGCAGGGGGCGTTCTCCAGGCCACCAACCCCAGCCCGCTGTCGTCTTGTCAGGTCCTCCTGTGGACCCAGACTCACAGGCCGATACAGAGCACGGGACCCCCGAGCTAAATGTGCTGCTGTTGGGCTCCGTGGATGGGCGACACCTGCTACGGACCCTGACCCGGGCGGCTCTCTGGCCTCGAAGGAGGTTCCGTGTAAGCTGGGATTATGGGGTCCTGGAAGGAGGAGGACGAAGATAAGAGCACAGATTCCTGAGTCCTTGAGGGAGGAGGGAGCTGGGGACCCAGACTCCTAGGTCCTGAGGAGGGAAGGGGCTGGTGTTGGGGACTCCTGGGTTGAAGTGAGAGGAAGAGCCTAAGGATCAAGTCTCCTGAGTAGTGATGGGGAGGAGGGTTCTGAGTGCCCACACTCCTGTGTTTAAAGGAGTGGGGCTGGTGTACAGGTCTCCTGAGTCCTGTGGAAGGAGGGGGCTGAGGTTTCCCGCTCCAGGGTCTCCTAGGGGCCAGGAACACAGGTCTCACAATCATTTTTCCCTGTCCATCCTTCCAGTTTTATGTGCTGGAGAATAATATGGAAGCTGTAGCCCGACACATGCTGATTTTCAGCCTAGCCCTGGAGGATCCTGAGAAGATGGGGTTGCAAGGTCAGCAAATACCCGGCAATCTGGCCCCCAGCTCCTTCCCCCTGCCTGCAGGAATTCTGGCATTTCAAGGGTGCGGTTAAACATTTTGGACATTGTTCCCTATTTCGTCACTTGCTCACTTGTTTGGTAGCCTTAGAGCCTCAGCTTTTCCCACCTTTGAAATGGGGATAAAAGATAATACTTCCTAGAATCATTTAGGGAATTCCAGGAGAAAAGCCACATAAAACTCTCAGAACTGTGCATGACACAGTGTAAGCATTCGAAACCTCTTAGCGAGGGAGAAGCCCAAAAGAGATCAAAGGGCTTCCTGAGAGGTAGTGAGTCCCCCAGATGTGGGGAGGGTTTGGCTGAGCTGAGCTCAGTCCTGCCCAAAGCCTGAGTCCCGAGTCTCCCTTAGTTAGAGGTGTGCACCCCAGGGAATCTGCGTGGAGGAAGCGGCCTTGGAAGTGAGATTATAAGGAGGAGGGGGAGAAGGAGGATTTGGGTGGGAAATGATTATTTCCCAGTAACAAAAACTTCAGTTTAGTGCCTAGAGCAGAGTGTAGACTCAGGCAGGCTGTATTCAAATTCTGACTCTGTTTGCTGTGTGACCTTAGTTGTGGCAGGCGAACTCTTAGTTGCAGCATGCATGTAGGATCTAGTTCCCTGACCAGGGATCGAACCCGGGCCGCCTGCATTGGGAGCGCCGGAGTCTTATCCACTGCGCCACCAGGGAAGTCCCTTTTATAAGATTCTTAACTAAAATGAAAATATTCAACACTTTAACACACATAAATCTTCACCTCCATCTATATCTATATAAAACTTTTCCATTTTTAAGGCAAGGGAAACAAACATGAAATTCAGGATTGGGGTTACCTGCAGGGGGTGGGAAGGAATAGGCGAGGAGCCCTAGGTGGGGTGTAAGTTATTCTTCGTGTTCTAGCTATTCGGGTGGGTAGGGAGTTTGCCTGGGTCCGTTGTGCTGATTACACGACTATGGAATAAGAAGATCACTATAAAGTGGGTATGCGTCATCCGCACGGGTCTCATTTCTGGGCTCACTCCTCTGCCCCCTCCTCTAATTTTCTCCCCCCTCCCCGCAGAGAGGAGCGAGACCTTCCTGGAGGTGTGGGGGAACGCGCTGCTGCGCCCCTCTGTGGCCGCCTTCGTGCGCACCCAGGCCGGCCGCCTGGCTCGCCTCGTCCCGGAGCCCGATCGCCTGGCGGAGCAGCTGCCCTGGCTCAGCCTGGGCGCCCTCAAGGTGCCGCCGCCCGGCCCGCGACCGTCACCGGCGTGGATCCGGGTGGCGGTGGGAAGAATGGGGATAAGCAGTCCAAAAGGGTTTGCGTTGATGGATAGAGCTGAGGGCTCCCCGGCTCCCGCAGTGGGATATGGCCCTGGGGGTGGCTTCTACTCTTAGAGCCTCAGTTTCTTCATCTGAGAAAAAAGAGAATCGTTCCCACGCCCTGGGAGGGAAGGGAGGATCAGGTAAGAGAAGCCGCGGTCCCTGCAGCCGCCTCTCTCTCGTTCTCTCTCCACGCGGGCCTGGTCGTGCAGTTCCGCGAGCGCGACGCCCTGGAGGCCGTGTTTCGTTTCTGGGCCGGAGGGGAGAAGGGGCCCGAGGCTTTCCCCATGAGCCGCCTGTGGGACTCGAGGCTGCGCCACTACCTGGGCTCCCGGTACGACGCCCGGCGCGGTGTCAGCGACTGGGACCTGCACATGAAGCTGCACGATCGCGGGGTGAGGGCTGGGAGGAGGGGCCTGGGGTCTCCAGTCCTGGGTGTGTAGGAGGAGGGGCTGCGGCTTGAGGAAGCAGCGGTTGGGGGCCCCGAATCCTGGGTCTGAAGGAAAAGGGTGCCAGAGGTCCTCAGTGCTGGGTCTTTGGGAGGAGATCCTGGGATCCATATACCAGATTCACTGAGGCCTCTTTGCTTGCATCCCCCCCACTCCAGGCCCGAGTCATCCACACCAGTGAGTTCCGGCGCTGGAGGGAGACAGGAGTCGCCTTTGAACTCAGAGACTCCAGCGCTTATCACGTGCCCAACCGGACCCTGGCGTCCGGTCGCCTCCTGAGCCACGTGCGAGTCCACTCCCTGCCCTGGCTGCTGCTTCTTTTCGGGGGCCCAGGAGTCGGAGTCCCCAACATCGACCTCACCCGTCTCCTCTCTCCCTGATTTCCCAGCGCGGGGAGCGTGTAGCAGCGCGCGGGTACTGGGGGGACATCGTCACAGGGCCCTTCGTGGCCTTCGGCATCGAAGCGGACGACGAGACCCTCCTGAAGACCAGCAACGGTCAGCCTATCAAGGTTTGAGGCTGGAGGTGCTGGGGCTGGAGGCGAGTTCGCGAGGCCCCGCCCCCTATGCGCCCCCTCTCTACTTCCTAGGGCCAGTATGGAAGTGTAAGCTTGCCCATCAGATGCTAGCTCTGGGTGTGGGGGAGTGTGGGGATGGCGTACTCTAAGCCTCTCCCCTGCCATTCCGGCCCCGCGGTCCTAGCCCCGCATCCTGCCACGCCCTTTCTCCCCCAAAGACCGCGGGCGAGATCACGCAGCACAACGTGACGGAGCTGTTCCGAGAGATGGCCGCCTGGGGGCGCCCGAGAGCCACCCAGGGAGACCCCGCGCAGGTGCAAGGCGACGCGGATGGAAGCCCGGAGCCTGGTAAGCGACGGACTCAGCCTTCTTCCTTGAGATGGAATTGGGGCTCGGGTGATCATGTCTGGGAGAGAATGGGACCCGGACCCCCGTCCCGAGCTTCAGGCTCCTGGTGTTTCAAGTCCAAGCATGAACTGGTATGGTATCTAATGCCTGGACAAGTGACCTCCCCTTCCCGACATCCGGTCTATTTTTCTCTCTTCTCTTTGAGCTTCTCTCCCTTTGCTAAATCCTGACACCATCCTTAGCATTCTGAATTCCAGTAGTAGAATTCTCATCCTACCTGCAGAAGTCCAAGAGGCTGAGAACATTTTAACAAGGTTAAGCTGGGTCCCAGCTTAACGCTGGAGAGCCCTCCCCCCCCAATCTGGTCGTGCCTCCTTCCACCCATCCCCTAACTTGGCCCTCCCGGGTGAATGGATGTCTTGTGTGGCCATGGGCCAACCACTCTCTTTTCTTCTCTTGAATCTCAGTTGCCTGGTCTGTAAAATGGGTCTCTGTGTGCCAGGCCAATCCTCCCAGAATTTTCCAGGAATCTGCCTAAGAGGAAGGATGAGAAAGGGCTTGAAGACGGACAAGGCGAGTCATCTCCAAGTTTTGTCTGTTTGCCTAACCCTGCCAGTCTTCCCTTCCCCAGCAGCCCCTGTCCCGGAATCCTTCACTGTCCACTTCCTGTCCCTCGGTTCTGCCCAGACCCTCCACCACAAGAGCTGCTACAAGGGACGGTTCCAGCTTCTCTACGTGGCTTGTGGGTAAGAGTGCCTGGGAGGTTCCCAGATTTTCCTCCCCCAACCCCTCCTCCCTCAGACCCAGGAATCCAAGTCTCCAGACCCTCCTTAATCAGTGTCTAGGTCCCCAGCCCGCCTCTTCCCTCAGGACCTAAAAGTCTGAGCCTCAGCCCTCCCCTTTTTCTCTCTGCAGGATGGTCCATCTTCTCAGCCCTGAGCTCGGTGCCTGCGTGGCCCCCGGAGGACGCCTCATTGTAGAATTAGCCCAGTGAGCCAGCGGAGAGCAGGGCGGGGAACTTCCAGGTTGGGGGCGGAAAGCCAGGTCCCCTAACACGCTGCTTCCTGGTTCCAGGTTCCTAGTGGACCTGCGGCAGGAGCAGCTGCAGGGGTTCTCCACCCGGGTCGGGGAGCTAGCACAGGCGGCTGGATTCGCCCCACAGCCGGGGGCCAGGAGCTCGCAGACCTTCGCGCGCTTCTACAAGGCCGGAGACTCTGCTCCCAGCCACAAGGACCCAGCTGTGGGATCTGGGACTCCGCCCCCTGAAGTCCTGGTCCCGCCCCTTGAGGCAACCAACCCTCCCCCCGAGGACCTGACCCAGCCCCTTGAAGGCGGGATCCCACCCTCTGAACCCCTCAAACAGCCTTCAGAGTCTCAGGCTTCACTGTTGGAGGCTTTGGTTCCACCCACAGGGAGTCAGACCCCCAAACCAGAGAGTCTGACTCTACCTCCGGAGACCAACTCCCCAATCCCTAACTTCTAAAGTCGGGCCCTAGAATCAGAACGCGCCTCTAGAATACTCAATTATACTCCCAGCATTCTCAGCGCCAGAGGTGTCGCTAGAATTTCAGATTCCATTCCTGGGATTCTATTATTCTAGGAATTCTATTATTCCTAGAATTCTAGATTGTTCTCTTGAGTTCTACATTCCACTCCCAAGACTCTAAAACCAGCCTGGAGATCCGGCCCTGGGGCTCAGGCCCTCTGCGTGGTCCCCTCATCCCCAGGCATCCCATTCCTAACTAGGGGCTGGGGGTGTCTCCTCTCACAGGCTGGTCAACACTAGGGTGGTCCAAGTAAAGAGAGCCAGATCCTCTTCTCCGTGTGTCCGTGTGTCTTTCCTGCCCTCAGTCTGTCTCCAAGGGCTGGGAGAGGGGAGGGGCAGGAGTGTTCAAGAGAAGAGACTCGAGACCAGATTTCTGGGTTCCCAAGAGGGCTAGGGGTGAATTTCTCCGTGCTGCCTGCTGAGAGCCTGGGCACCCCACACCTGGATTCTCAAATAAATCAGCAAAATTTATGGATTGGCTAACAGGTTTGGGGCACTGAAACTGACCATAACATGGTAAAAAAAAGTTCTAGCCCTCAAGGAGAATTACAATTTAGTGAGGGGGCGGGGCCTAGACTCCTGGGTCTGAGGGAGGAGGACGTTGGGGGTCCGAACTCTTGTGTCAGAGGGAAGAGGGGCTGGGGGCCTGGACTCCTGTGTCAGAAGGAGGAGGGTTTTGGGGGCCTGGACACCCATCGGGGTCTGAGGATGGAGAGGTTGGGGGTCTGGACTCCTAGGTGGGAGGAGGGAGGGGCTGGATTCCCAGGCCGCCAAGGTGGAGAGGTGATCCAGCTGGAGCATGGCCCGCCCCAGCCCTCACGCGCCCCGTTATCTCGAATCCTGGGCAGGGAGGGGAGGGGGCAGCAATATATTTAGTCTCTGTCCTCGCCCTTTATCTCAGTGTCCTCAGTGAGGCTTGAGCAGACCGGACGAGACAGAAGCCCCAGGGGCCTTCAAGGTCACTCCGGACGCCCCCTCACTGACCCTCCAAGAGCCCCTTGTCCCCTGCTCTGCCTTCCGCAACCCCTGGCTTGAGACTCAGCATGGCGGACCGGTGAGTAATTGGTAACCGGGACTCCTGAGAACCGAGGCAGTGGCGGATAGGGGGGTGATCCCTTGGGTTCCTGTGAGGGGTGAGAGCTGCGAGGTTGGATTCCAGGCCTGAGAAGGGAGGTAGGGACAGGACTCCTGGGCATCGGAATGAGGTAAGAGTCTGGGAATCCGACCCAGAGGAGCCGAGAAGCGGCAGCTGGCGGGCCGGACCTGTCGGTCAGAGGGGCCTCTGGGGTCCCTTAGGACACGGCGTGGACAGGACCCAGGCCTACCATTAATCCCCTTTTCCTGGTTTCTCTCCCTCCAGGAGCGGCGATGCGGTGAGAGTCGGCGTGGGCTGGACCCGCCTGGCCGGGGAGGGCGCTGCCGGGAGGGCTCTGGGGCGAGAGGCTGCAGCCCTGGAAGACTGCATGGAGAGGGGCTGGGGAGGGGGGGTCCCTGTGATAACTCAGCTCCGTTCCCCAAATCCCAGGCGGAGGACCCGCCTCCCGCGCCACCCCCTGTACGACGCCGCTCCTCAGCCAACTACCGCGCCTACGCCACGGAGCCGCACGCCAAGGTGAGGGCGGGGCCAGCGCGGTGGGCGGAGCCGGGCGGGACTTCGCGGGATCTGGATTCGGATTCTTAGGTTACCCGCGGCTGGGGGAGGAGAGGCGGAGCCAGGGCCTTTACCGGACTTTGGTCGAGGGCGGAGCCCAAGCGGATGAGGCGCTTCAGGGGCGGAGTTTATCAGAGGGCTGGGCTCTGTTTGGTGAGAGCTTGCCTATGGGCGGAGTCCCGCTGCCCGTGGGAACTGAGATTGCTTAGAGATGGTGGGGGGAGGTGCGTAGCCAGAGACAGCACATTGGTGGATGGGAATGAGGGGCGTGGCTTCCCGTAGACTGAAGGCTGGAGTTGGAGGCGGGACTAAATCTGGACCCGGCTTGAGGGGGCGGGTTCTGAAGCTCCTCCCGGCGTCCTCCTTCGGATCCTCCTCGCTCATCCTTCCTTGCTCTGTCTCACCCCGGCAGAAAAAGTCTAAGATCTCCGCCTCGAGAAAACTGCAGCTGAAGGTGCGATGCGCCTGGGGAGAGCGCCTAGGTGTCTTCAGGGGGCGGGGCTTGGAAGTTGGGTGGGGCTTCGGAAGAGCAGGTGGGCGGGAGGCCCTGAAAGGGAGGGGCGGGGCCTTGGAATGATGGACATCAACCTTGGGGGGTTCAGGTCTCTGGAAGCAGGCCTGGGATTAGAGGACGGGGCCCGGCGGGGGTGGCTATCCCGCTCTGTCCTCATCCCCATACCTGTGCTGCCATACCCGTCGTGCCCTCCCCAGACCCTGATGCTGCAGATTGCGAAACAGGAGCTGGAGCGTGAAGCAGAGGAGCGGCGAGGAGAGAAGGGGCGTGTTCTGAGCACGCGGTGCCAGCCTCTGGAGCTGGCCGGGCTGGGCTTCGCGGATCTGCAGGTACCGGCTCCAATCAGGGACTCCTGCCTAGCCCGGCATCTGAGTTTCCTACTGTCCGGTCTTGCATCCCTTAGGACTCAGGGGTACAGTTACTATGCCCCCTTTCTGCTCAGGACCTTCGGGTACACTTTCCCAATTCTTACCCTCAGGAGTTCAGAAATGTGGCCTGCAGCTGCCTACAATCTCAAAACCCAGAGGTCGGTTCCTCCAACCCACTCCAGTCCAGATTCTCAGAACACCTGGCTCTGGAGTTCTGCTTTGTTCGCAGTCCCCCAGGGTCTGGCTTCAATCTACTCCTCCAGGACCAGATGTCCAGGTCCCCAGCTCCTCCTCCCTCAGACCCCAGGAGTCCAGAACCCCAGCCTTCCCCCCACCACGCACACTACATTCCTCCACCAGGACTTGTGCCGACAGCTCCACGCCCGCGTGGACAAGGTGGATGAGGAGAGATACGACGTGGAGGTGAAAGTCACTAAGAACATCACAGAGGTGGGAGACACTGGGCCATCTGGGTCGCTTCAGGATGGGAGGTGATGCCTGGGGCTCTGGTCTCAGCCTGGACCCTTGCAGCTGCTTAGACACCAGGAGACCAAGGACAACTCTGTGAGCCTGGCAGGGAGGGGGCAGAAGGATGAGTACAATACGGTCAGGGAATGCTGTTCTAGGCAGAGGGAACAGCACATGCAAAACCCAAGAGGTGGGAAAGCGGAAAATATGTTTGTGAAAATGTGTGGCTGGAGCCTCAAGTGTTGGTAAGTGAGTTCAGGTGTGGGCCAGGGAACTGTGAGATGCATGTAGCTGGACTGGGATGTGTCAGTAGTTTTCAGAGATGAGGGTGGGGCAGATCAGGTTCCAATTTCAGGATGGGGAGCTTGGATTTTGTCTCGAAGGTGGTAGGAGCCTAAGCTAGGTAGAACCTGGATCGGGATAGGAGGGAAGTGCAGGGTGGAAGAGTGAGGCAAGGAGGAAGTGGAAGGAGGGGTCTCCACCTCTCTTTATGGCTGCTACCAGATCGCAGATCTGACCCAGAAGATCTTTGACCTTCGGGGCAAGTTTAAGCGGCCCACTCTGCGTAGAGTGCGGATCTCTGCAGATGCCATGATGCAGGCACTGCTGGGGACCAGGGCTAAGGAGTCCTTAGACCTGCGGGCCCACCTCAAGCAGGTGAAGAAGGAGGACACGGAGAAGGTGAGTGTGGCTACAGGTCCAGGAAAGGGGGTGCTTAGGGGAGAAGGGGTGTATGTGTGAGCAATTCTAGGGACTAGCCTGAGGGCAGGTGGCAGTTGGAGTTGTGGGGAGAAGTATCTGGTAAGGGTCTTCCACAGGAAGTACAGGAGGGGCACAGGAAATGCAAGAGGAAGACAGAATGTAGAAGTGGAAGACAGGAAGTGCATTAGGGAGAATGGAAATGGCAAGGAGTCAGGAAGTGCATGATGTCTGCAGGATGTTTGTGAGAGAAAAGGAGTGCAGGAGGGAGATAGGAAGTCCAAGAGGGAAACGGGAAGCACAGGAGGAAGACAGGAAGTGCAGGAGGGACACAGGAAATGCAGAGGGGAGACAGGAAGTGCAGGAGGGACACAGGAAATGCAGAGGGGAGACAGGAAGTGCAGGAGGGACACAGGAAATGCAGAGAGGAGACAGGAAGTGCAGGAAGGACACAGGAAGTCCAAGAGGGAGACAGGAAGTACAGCAGGGAGACAGGAAGTGGGGCAAATTGGAAGGGATCTTCTGAGGGGACAAGAAGTGTTCCAGAACCAGACTGTGTGATGGGCGTCCAGAATAGAGTGGCCCAGCAGGCGGGAGGGCAAGTGGAGGATATCTGAGAGCCTGTAGACCAGGAAGACACCCTAACCTCTGACCCATTCCTCCAGGAAAACCGGGAGGTAGGAGACTGGCGCAAGAACATCGATGCGCTCAGTGGAATGGAAGGCCGCAAGAAAAAGTTTGAGGGCTGAGCCGGCCTGTGCACAGCCCTGGCCCTGGCCCTGAGGATGGCCCCGAGGAATAAAGCTTCTCTCTGAGCTGGGAGTGGCTGTGTGTCTATTACCAGGGGCGCTTAGGTGTGAGAGAGGCGGGAGAACTGAGGGCCAGGCTCCCCCAAAGCCACAGCACACATCAGGAGCAGAGCTGGGTCTCCACGTGGAGCTGCACAGAGGTGCCGAGACCAGGGCCCAAAGGCAGACACACAGAGACACGGACAGACTGTCAGTGACCCCGAGAGAGAGAGCCAGACCCAAAGGGAGAGGAAAAACAGGCGGAGATTCATGGGAAGAAGTGCACAGAAAGGGGAAACAGACAGAAATACACAGAGAGACAGAGATGACCTCGCCCTGGAAGAGACAGAAATAAGGACCCACAGAGGGAGAACTGCAGATACAAAGAGACACCCCCCCACCACCACACACACACACACACACACAAGAACTAGAAAGATAAAAACAGACACAGAGCTAAAGACACAGAAACCGAGTCACAGAGAAGCACAGGGACACCTGGAGACACAGACCAATAGCCAGACATCAAGAGAGGCAGATACGCAGAGACACCCGCGGAAATGCAGAGAGAAAAACTGGCGGCACAGAGACGGGCAGAGTGAAGAACTCAGAGACAGAGATGGAGAGAGAGCCCCAAAGCCAACCCCTGAGAAATGCATAGAATGAGAAATGCGGAGAGAGACAGACACTGGCACGGAGGGGTGAGGAAGCCCCTAGAGTTCAAGGTTGTGGATTGGCTGGGAAGGGGGAGGGGCTACCAAAAAAGATCGGTGCCCGATGGAGGTGGGGAGTGTGAGGTCCTGTGGGCCGGACACACCCCCTCCCCCTCCCCTCCTCCTCCCCCTCACACACCTGTTTCCCTGCTTTAGCGTCTGTTGTCACCAGGGTGGAATCCTGGTGGCAGACAAAGGGATGGGGGTGGGGAGGGGGGACAGAGAGATGGACAGAGACAGAGGTGGGGAGACGGAGAAGCTGAGACAGACACACACAGAGAAACACAGACGAAGAGTCACAGAGACAAAAGAGAGATAGAGACAGGGAAACGGGGTATGGGAAGTGGAGGCCCAGAGAGACACAGAGAAAGGGACCCCTTCATGGAGCGAGAAGGGGTCCCTTGTACCCTTCTCATCAATAAGCATTCTCCAAGGGGCTTCGGAGCAGAGTGTGCCGTGTGATCTGGGAGATGTGGAGCCCGAGGGTGGCCTGACCCAGCCCGGGGTTCCTGGACAATGCTTTTGGGATGGAGGAGAGGCCTTGGAACAGCCAGGAGGTGCCTCTATCCCGAAAGTGGAGCCAGAGTGGGGGCAGGGCAGCCTCTGAGTGTGAGGAAAGGAATTCTCTACCCCTCCCTCTCCCCCTGGGGCGGGGCTGAGCCTCCCACTATAAACTGGGGGTGCTTCAGCCTGCCCAGCAAGACTGCCCCACCGCTCACACCTCTGCAGACGCAGCCTCAGGTAAGAGTCCCAGAGGAACTGGGGATGGAAGGGAACGTATTAGGACTTGGGGGTTACAGAGCTGGGAGTGCAGGGTTTGGGGGTCCCAGAATATAACACCTTAGGACCTCGGAGGTCTGAGTCTGAGGGAATCTCAGAAACTGGGAGTCCCTGGGCTTGGATGACAGACAGTCTGGGTGTCAGAACTGGGGGGCAGTGTCTCAGAATCTGACGATTTAGGAATTGAGGTCACGGAATCTCATGTCTCATGATGGGAGGTATTAGAATTTGTAATGTCATATTTGGGGGTTTCATGAATCAGTCCCCTGAGTTTATGCATCCAGATTTTGGGGTCTCACAGTCCCGAGGTTTCAGAATTTAGGGGATGTCAAGACCTAGGGGGTCAAGATTTTAGGGCACGCATAATCGGGAGTCTCGACAGTTGGAGTCTCAGAATCTGGAGAGATGAGGAGTTACTGTTTTTCAGAATTCAAAAATTGGGGTCTGTGGGTATGGGGATTTCGTGGGGTCTCTCAACCTGGGTGCCTTGGGGATCTCAGAGATTGGGGAGTCTTAGTATTTAGGGGTCAGGATGAGGTCTGGGGACAGAAGCTGCTCTTATGTGTCCTGTCCCCTCCATGGCAGTGGGTGAAGGTGAAAGGAGGCGACAGGTGGGCAGATGACCAGCCAAAGGGGAGGGGACCTGGGGGGGGAGAGGGCAGCGGGTATGATGAATTCTCCTAGAACCCCCCCTCCACGAATACTTCTCAAGAGATGTCCTCGGTGTCACCCTCTACGACATCCCCCCAAAATAGACCCTGGGGGTGGGGCAGCTATTGTCTTCGGACCACTGTCCCTTCCCAAATACCTCCTCCTAATGCCTACTCAGATCAGGTTCCTACGGACTTGTCATAAGACAAAAGGGGACAGCTGTGGTCAGGGGGCGGGGGCTGCAGCCTTGGGGCTCTGCCCGGACCGTATCTCCCAATGAGCTGTCTTCACCCTCGGTTTAGGAGTCTTTAGGAGTTTGAGGTCCCCAGCCCCTCCCCCCTCAGACCCAGGGGTCCAGGCCCCCAGCCCCTCCTCCCTCAGACCCAGGACTCCAGGCCCTCAGCCCCTCCTCCCTCAGACCCAGGGGTCCAGGCCCCCAGCCCCTCCCCCCTCAGACCCAGGATCCAGGCCCCCGGCCCCTCCTCCCTCAGACCCAGGACTCCAGGCCCCCGGCCCCTCCTCCCTCAGACCCAGGATCCAGGCCCCCAGCCCTCCCCCCTCAGACCCTGGATCCAGGCCCCCAGCTCCTCCTCCTCTGGACCCCACCCCACTCCGCCTGTTCTCTGCTTTTCATAGGTTGCAGCAGGACACCAGGATGTCGGACGCCGAAGAGCAGGAATATGAGGAGTGAGTGATGCTGGCAGGCGGGCTGGGGCCCTGGAGCGGTGGAGACACCTCCCACCTCCAAGGCGCCTAACTCTCCCCCTCCCTCTTTCCTTCCCTCCCGGGTCCTCAGGGAGCAGCCTGAAGGTGAGTGGAGAGTGGGATGGCCTTGGGGGGGAGGGGAGGTGGGGACACCTTGGCGCATCTTAGCCCACCCTGCCCTACGCCCACCCTCCTGGTCCGCACAGCCCGTGGGAAAAGCTCAGTGGGCCCACTTGCAGCTGAGGCCCAGAGGGGTCCCCCCGTCTAGATGAGACTCGAACCTGAACGCGGGTCTCTGCGCACTCACGCACTCTTCCCCGCATCTGAAGCCCCTGCCGTCCCCCCGACCCCGGGCTCCTCACGCCTCCTCTTGTCTCCCCCACCCCTTCCAGAAGAGGAGGCTGCTGAGGAGGAGGAGGAAGGTGAGGCCCTGGACTCCGCAGGTCTGGAGCTGGACGCGGCGCCGGGGGGCTGGTGCGGTGGGGACGCTAGTCCCCGGGTGCAGGCTGGGCGGGGGCGGGGATCTCGATGGTCTCGGCCTCAGCTCCTTTAACAGCCTCTCCCCTCTCTCCCCTCTCTCCCCTTCCCGCATCCGGGCATGGCTGCTCCCCTCCCCCGGCTCCCCAAATCCTAGCTTCTCCTCCCGCCCCCTCCCCAGCCCCCGAGGAGCCGGAGCCGTTGGCTGACCGAGGTAACCGCGGCTGCTTCGCTTCCTGAGGCCGATTTCGGGGGTCCTCAGGGCCCTGACCTCCAAGATGACTCCCTCCCCGCTCCCGTAACCCGTCCCCGTAACCCGTCCCAGGCCCGGTCCTTTAAGCCCCGGAGAGCTCTCGCGCTCTCCAGTGGCCAAGAAGGGAAACAGCCTCGCAATGGCTTTAACCCGTTCCCTTCCTTCTTAAAGGGACCAACACCCAAGCCTTCTTCCCCAGTCTGGAGGAATACTTATAGAAGGGTTGGATGTTTGCGGAGAGGCACCCCTCCCCCCTCATCTTCGCCTGTCTGTTACTTGTCTCCTTCATATACATTCAAAGGTTGGGGCGTGGGTTGTAGAAGGGACTAGCAGTGGGCGTCTGTATTCCTCTGTCCCCAAGGGGGAGGGGCTGGGGACACAACTCCCGGAGTGAAGAGGGGGCTTGGGGCCTCCCTGCACTGCTAGATCTTGATGGAGGGCAGGAGCTCTGGGTATGTAGAACGAGGGTCTGAGGGTTTGTTTGTTTTTTCTCCTTATGGTCTGGCGGTTTGGACACCTGGGTTCCCAGAGAAATGGGAGGGGGATCCCCACACCAGTTCTGAATGTATATCTGATGCATGTGACCCTCTCCCTCCTTTATGGCCACCCCGATTTCCCTTATCCTCTTCCCCCCCCATACCCTTCCCCCAGAGCTGTAGGGGAAGGGAACTGGGCTTGTGGGGACCAAGGCTTGGAGGTGGGTCCCTCCTTTGGATGTGTCATGCCCACCCCACGAACTCTTGCTAATTATCTTTTTGTATCCCTCCACCAGAAGAGGAGCGCCCCAAACCAAGGTGAGATCCTGGGGGGTGGGGCTCCCAATCATGTCCTCTTAAATATATCACCCACCTCCAGAGATAGGCTGCAAGAAAGGCAGAGAAGGAGAGTGGGGAAATGGAAACATAGAAAAGGACAGTGACTCCTCCTTTCCACAAACATTTCTGGTGAACTTCCCACTGTGTTTGGCAAGAGTCAGACTCTTGCCGTCCTGTTGGTGTAACAGACCCAGATACAACAATGGTAGTGCAGAAGAGGGCCCTATCTGTGCCCTAGAATATCAAGGAAGGCTTCCCAGGGGAGGTGATGCCGAGTCCTGAGGGCGGAAGAGTTTGCTAGCTGAAGGAAGTAGAGGGGAGATTGTAGATGACGCAGCGGACTGGTGTGTGCAAGGTCCAGTAGCTGGATCTTGGCCAGTGTTTCAGGGAACAGAGGCAGACACAGGTCATTCTGATGAGAAAGATCCAAACTAGGCAGACCAGGGAAGACTGTGAGAGCTCACCCTGGAGGGTGTGACACTGGGGACAAAGCTTGGAGATGCAAGGAGGCAGCAATTGAGCATGAGATGCAGAAATTCTCTGGGACACCGGGGAGCCATGGAAGGGTTCTGAGCAGAGGGGGCCGAGGATCAGATCTGGCTGAGAGCACAGGGGCACAGGAAAGCACAGGTGTGCTTCAGTGTCAGGGAAAGCTTGTTGGAGGAGGGAAGGTCTCAGGGGTGGAGTATATCAGGGGAAGGGCATTGTAGGGCAGAGCAAACAGAGTGTGCAAAGGCCCGGGGGCACAAAGGCACAAGACATGGCCAGGGAACTGTAGGATGTGGTGAGTTTTCAAGGGGAAAAGGCCTAAGCTGGAGCAGAGGGCATAGGGTAGAAAGGGGCCACAGACTGAGAGACCCACAGGTTAATGAGCTCAGTTGGGGCAGGGTGTGTGCAAAGGCAGGAAATGTTCAGGAAGCATCTGTTTACTGGAGTCTGGGGTTTGGGAGAGAGTCTGGGCTGGAGACAGAGTTGGTGAATCCTCGGTAATTGATGATAATCGAAGTCACAGGAGTGAATGACATTAATCACAAGAGTGTCCCACGAATGAATCAAAGGGCAAAGCTCTCTTAATTTGGTTAATAGAAATTGTTGCTTTTTATTAAGCCAGGAAAGATGAAGCATAATTTGTTTAAAATTCTCTTTGATCATTGAATGACCAAAAAAGGAAATAAAGAGTCAAATATATGAGGGATTTTTTCATTCCTTAAGTTAAACTTTAAAGCTGTATTTAAGAAATCAAATCTTACAAAATCCTGGAAGGTTTTGGTAATGATGATGATAATTTCAAGGAAATTAATAAAATAGCTATTGATTTTAAAGTGTATTTTATTCAATAGTTTTGGTATCTTGCCATGGAGGATACTAGCCCAGACTAGCAGAAACATGCAATATGTAGAGTGTATTTTGACATTTTAAAAGTTATATTCCATAACCATTTTGAAATGCTGGGCAAACATAAAAAAAAATCCCATACAAAGTTATTTGCATTTAATTCAATTAGGCAATTTGAAAGCTAATTGATTAAAACACTAATATGATTGAAATTCTATAACATTTTAATGTTATTTTTACTCTACTGTTAAAAGTTTTTTATACGATAGATATACACACCCTAGTTTATTTTTGTGTCTTAGTGTGGACTTATAAATTTACTACAGGTATCTTGAGCCAGGAACACATCAGGTTTCAGGCCAGTTTGATACTGGCTTTTCTTAATTTTCATATGAGTGTAGGACTTCAAACCAAATGTTATGTCAGTGGGACTCTGCTGTCTGTGCAAGTTAATAAATTACATGATCATTTTCTTCAGACTGGAAGGAGAGTGATAAATAAGATTTGGAGTCGCAAGATACTGATGTACAATTTAAGGATTCAAGTCTCTTATAAATCAATTGTGAACAATGAATTATTAAAAAATGTTGACTTCCTAGTATAAAACTGCAAGAATAAAAATAAATTCTCCAGCTTAAAAAAGAAAGTAAGAAAGAAAGAAAGAAACCAAAGGAAGAGAAAATTCCAAGAAGCGGGAGTGCCCAGGGCAGTCCCCCAAAACAGCACCACCCAATACAAATACAATGCAAGCCACATATGTAATAACTTAAGAAACACTTTTTTTTTTTTACTAGCAGCCTTTTAAGAAGTAAACCCAAACAGGACAAATCAATCCCAATAGCGTATTTTACTCAACCTGTCATAGCCAAAATCTCAGAATTTCAACATGAATCCATATAAAACGTTATTAGTAAAATATTTTACATTCAGCAGGGAGGTCAGACTACTCAGTGTTTCTTCTCTTCTGTCCACTCAGCCGGCCCTTGGTACCTCCGCTGATCCCCCCAAAGATCCCAGAGGGGGAACGTGTGGACTTCGATGTAAGTAACAGACATCCCATCCCAGGAGGGGCTGCTAGCCTATAGGGTGCAAATTAGGAAAAGGTGCCCCTCCCTAGCCACTGTTTTTTGTTTGTTTGTTTCCTACCCGCTTCTTTTGGAATTGTGTCTTGGCAGCCCCTTAGTTTAGTGTCAGAATACGATGCTTTGCTGCCATCTGCTGGAAACACAGTGCATGGCAGACGTCTGTCCCAGCTGTCAACCCCACCAATTCTTTTTTTTTTTTTAATTTATTTTTGCCTGCGCTGGGTCTCCGTTGCTCCGCGCGGGCTTTCTCTCGTTGCAGAGCGAGCGGGGGCTACTCTTCGTTGCGGTGCGCAGGCTTCTCATTGCAGTGGCTTCTCTTGTTGCGGCGCACGGGCTCTAGGCGCACGGGCTTCAGGAGTTGTGGCTCGCGGGCTCCAGAGTGCAGGCTCAGTAGTTGTGGCGCACGGGCTTAGTTGCTCTGTGGCATGTGGTATCTTCCCAGACTAGGGCTCAAACATGTGTGCCCTGCATTGGCAGGCGGATCCTTAACCATTGCGCCACCAGGGAAGCCCAACCGCACCAATTCTTGCTGCAAAGGGCTCCCCCTCCTGATGCTTCTCAGAAGTGCTGAGAGGTTGGCACCCTCTTGGGGCACCACCTGGGGAATGACCGTGCTCCCACCCTCTGTCCCCTAGGACATCCACCGGAAGCGCATGGAAAAAGATCTGCTGGAGCTGCAGACGCTCATTGACGTGCATTTTGAACAGCGGAAGAAAGAGGAAGAGGAGCTCGTGGCGCTAAAAGAGCGTATTGTGAGTCAAGGGAGGTGGGGTTCCCCAAATTCTTCTCCCTCCTTCCATCCTTTGGGCCTTGGGAGATACGTTCCCGTCCACTACAGACCCAAGGCTGAAACTTTTGGGAAAGTACCCAAGTTGGTGCCCATCACCACTCTTGACCTACCCTGGGAAGTGATAAAGGGGGTGCGTGGTGGTCCCTGCACCCCCTCATTCTTCTCTCTCCCCCAGGAGCGGCGCCGGGCGGAGAGAGCTGAGCAACAGCGCTTCAGAACCGAGAAGGAGCGCGAGCGTCAGGCTAAGCTGGTGGTGGGTGTTTCCCCTCCTCCCAGAGCCCAAATGTTACTTTCTCAGCTGGACACTGCAATTTTCCACTCATGACATTCTCTGTGATCCCATAACAGTCCTCATGCTGTATTATTCAAGGGTCTTTCTGTTGGAAGGGACAGAAACTCCAACCCAAACTGAACTTAGCAGAAAGAGAACTTTATTGGCTCATGTAACTAAAAGGTCTAGGGCATGGCTTGCTTCAGGCATGGCTGGATCAAGGGACTCACATAATATCACAAAGACCCAGCTTTTATCTTCCCATCTTGGCCAATATTTCTGTGGACAGTGTGTCCAGGAGGGTGAGCAACTCATCCTGGTTTGCCTGGCACCTTCCTGGTCTGAGCCCTGAAAATCCTGCATCCCATCAGTCCCAGGCAAACCAGATGGTTCCCAGGCAGGGGTGGCAAACGGCCACCAGCAGCTCTGGCTTAAACTCCTCTTTTCTCTGTCTCCTGCACAAATCCTGGGATGTTTTCAAATTGTTCACCTGTCCACTGTGGAGTGAATCACTGGCTAGTTGGGAGAGAGGGGCTAGAATGCTCCCATTGGTTTAACCCTTGAAAACATGACCTGACTTGGCATCAGGAGTGGCTCACTCAAACCACTTTTTTTTGTTTTTGTTGTTTTGCCATGCTGCGCGGCACGTGGGATCTTAGTTCCCCGACCAGGGATTGAACCCATGACCCCTCACAGAGTCCTAACCACTGGACCACCAGCAAAGTCCCTCAAACCACTTTATTTATTTATTTATTTGTTTATTTATTTATTTTTAGCTGCGTTGGGTCTTCGTTGCTGCTGGCGCGGGCTTTCTCTAGTTGCGGCGAGCGGGGGCTACTCTTCGTTGCTGTGCGCGGGCTTCTCATTGTGGTGGCTTCTCTTGTTTCAGAGCACGGGCTCTAGACATGTGGGCTTCACTAGTTGTGGCATGCAGGCTCAGTAGCTGTGGCTCGCGGGCTCCAGAGCACAGGCTCAGTAGTTGTGGCGCACGGGCTTAGTTGCTCCGTGACATGTGGGATCTTCCCGGACCAGGGCTCGAACCTGTGTCCCCTGCATTGGCAGGTGGATTCTTAACCACTGTGCCACCAGGGAAGCCCCCTGAAACCACTTTTAAAGAACAGGAAATGGGTGGTGTGGTACGCAAAGGACTGGTCTCCCAAAGATGTCCACATCCTAGTTCCCAGAGACTATGAATATGGGAACCTGCCTGGCAAAAGGGACTTTGTAGGTATGATTAAGTTAAAGATCTTGAGATCAGGAGATTCTCCTGGATTTCCTGGGTGAGCCCAGTGTTATCACAAGGGTCCGTAAACAAGGGAGGACCTTTGAAGATGGGGGAAGTGGCCCTGAGCCAAGGGATGCAGGCGGCCCCTAGAAGCCGGAAGAGCAAAGGGAGTGAATCTCCCCTAATGCCTCCAGAAGGACCCAACCCTGTCCATACCTTGACTTAGCTCATGAGACCCATTTCAGACTTTTGACCTGCAGAACTATAAGCTGATAAACTTTCATTGTTTTAAGCCATTCTGTTTGCAAATTACAGCAGCGAGAGGAAATTAATTCAGGTGGGGAATCCTGGGCAAGTGAAATACCATCATGCCCATCTCACCTGCCTCTCCAGTGGGGATGGGGCTTTGGTCTGGACAAGCCACTAATTCTGGAACATGCAGTGCAGACTTTCTGGATGTGGTAATGCCTTAGTGAAGGCATTCTAGAACCTCTTCCTCAGGCTCAAGGCCAAGAGCCTCTTTACTGCCCCAAGCCCCCCGACTCCCATCACAAGTTACCTTCCATGACCCTCTGAGGACAGTCATTCTCCTCTCATGAGACTAAGGAAGAGTAAGTCCCAGAGAGGGTACGTGCCTGCACTGAGGCCACACAGCAAAGATCACCATTGGCCATTTCAGGCTGGAACATGCAGAAAAAAGCAAGCACGTCCCTCCACTAGTTTAATATTTTCCTTGGGGGTGGTATATAAAGTCTCAAAGAGGAGGAAGGACTTGCAGGTGGTCACACAGCCGGGCCTGGAAAGGTGAGGAGGGGACCGTCAGCATCCTTGCCTGTTCTGATATTGACCTTGTTTTATGCTTGGGTCTGATTGATCCCTGCTTCGCTCAGTGCAGAAGAGGGCCCCCTCCCACGTGCCCATCTCAGACCCCCTCCCCTCTCAGTCCAGGGTGCTGGAGGGAGGCCCAGGAATTAACCCCTTTCTTCCCACAGGAGGAGAAGATGCGGAAGGAAGAGGAAGAGGCCAAGAAGCGAGCTGAGGATGACGCCAAAAAGAAGAAGGTTCTGTCCAACATGGGGGCCCATTTTGGGGGTTACCTGGTCAAGGTGAGTTCAGCCTGCTAGGGCCTGAACAGGAAACAGGTAGTGTGGTACGCAAAGGACTGGTCTCCCAAAGATGTGGGAGGAGGGGCTGGGGGCCCGGACCCCTGCGTCGGACGGGGGAAGCACTGAGGCCTGGACCCCTGGGTCTCTGGGGAGAGGGGCTGGGGTTCTGGGCTGAGGGAGGAGGGGGCTGGGGCCCGGACCCCTGAGTCTGAAGTGGGAAGAAATAGGGGCAGGACTCCTGGGTCTGCGGGGGGAGGGGCTGGGTGTCTGGGCTGAGGTGCTGGGGGCCTGGATCCTTGGCTCGGAGGGGGGTGGGGCTGGGGGCCGGGACCCCTGGGTGTGAGGGGGGAGGGGCTGGGAGTCTGGGCTAAGGGAGGTGGGGATGTGGGCCCCGACCCCTGAGTGTGATTGGGAGGGGTTGGGGGCCCGGACCCCTGGTTCTGAGGGAGGTGGGTCTGGGGGGTCTGGGCTGAGGGAGGATGGGCTGGGAACCCAGACCCCTGGGTCTGAGGGAGGAGGGGCTGGTGGCCCGGACCCCTGGGTCTGAGTGGGGAGGCGTTGGGGGCCCGGACCCCTGGGTCTGAGGGAGGAGGGGCTGGGGGCCCGGACCCCTGGGTCTGAGCGAGGAGGGCTCGGGGCCTGGACCCCTGGGTCCTGATGTGCGGAGCCATCCGGTGGACCCATCCCCTAGTTCACGATGTCCTTTCCAACCGTCAGGCAGAACAGAAGCGGGGTAAGCGCCAGACAGGGCGTGAGATGAAACTGCGCATCTTGTCGGAGCGTAAAAAGCCTCTGAACATCGACCACATGGGAGAAGAACAGCTCCGGTAGGTGGGAGGGGCCTGGGTATGAGACAGGCAGATAAGGGGACGCCTGACCCAGATCCGAGTGGGCGGAAGCCCTGGTGCTGTGTGCCTTTGGGCAAGTGTCTCTCCCTCTCTGCGCCCCTGTAGACTCCCCTGTGGAATGTTTCACTGATATAGGCCCCACGTTTTGTGGGTGCCGAGACCTGTAGAGTCTGGGTGATAATACGGAAGCCAGACAACAGATCTGACCTAAATTTAGAAGATGATGGTGTTTTGATGGCCCCTGGGAACTCTGAATGGGCCCCATCTTTTACGTGAATTAAAGCCAGATGCACTGGCAACAGTTTTCCAGCCACATCTCTTCCGGGTGGGGCTCTATCTTGCCCTTCACAGCTCACTGTCTGCATAGCCTGCATCACGTGGTAAAGCCACCTGAGGGGAGGCCGGGGAGGGTCTTCCCTTCAGGGCCCTCGCCTGCGTCTTGACATTATCTGGCCCAGGCACAGAGTTTAAAGTCAGAAACATCCACCACCTCATAGGCTGCACAGTGATGGGGTTTGGAGCTCAACATCTGAAACCACTTGCCAGGGGCTCAGTGCCGGCTTCACCACTTACAGCTGGGTGACCTGAGGCACGGGGTTTACCTTCTGTGAGCCTTGCTTAACTCACTGGTAAAATGAGGCGATGATGACAAGATGTACATCACAGAGCAGTGAAAGGTCAGTATGGCAGCAGCAGCCCCCTGTGGAGGGCTTCCAACCCTATGAGGTAGACACCCTCAAGCAACTGGAACATTAAAAAACAAAAAAAGAAAGAGCAACCCTAGGCACAGAGAGGTTAAGTAAACTTTCCAGGGTTGCACACCTTGCAAGTGGGAGAGTGGGGATTTGAACCCAGGCAGTCTGGTGCAGTAGTCTGTGCTCTTCATCACTCTTTTACAAAGTGGTGTGATGGTAAATGTTTACCAAGTGGATCTCCAGGGCCTAAAAGTCCACATCTTAGCATTTGCTCATTTCCACGGTGTAAATACTCCCACCATGCTGATGTCAAACTACCAGCGTGAGAACTGTGCACTCGGAGTCGGAGTCGGGAAAGGATGCGCGGATTTGGCTCCAGCCCAGCACTGGCGATGTGCCATCCTTCCCCAGTCACGTTATCACAGGGCCTTGCACTAAGTAACATGTCGTGGAAGTTCCTTCTTCCTCCTCTTTCCTTCCCTCACCACACGTCCACTCATAATGTGGATCTACTAATATTTTTTGAGGATCTCAAGTTATTTCAGTTTTATTTATTAGATAGAGGTCATATGATGGTCTCTAAAATTTTAAAGTAAAACACACCATGGAAGAGACAGCCTTTGAAGACCATTAGCTGGCAAAAGACAACAAAGACTGCTAGTAAGAATAAAAAGAATGGTAACAACTAGCTTTGTCGAGTGTTTAGCACGTGCCAGGTATTTTATACCTATCCTCTCATTCTATAACAGTTCAAGGCAGTAGATTTTTAACAGTTCGGAATAAGTTTGGCCTCTAATAACTGAGATCTGACTATAGCAGCCTAAAATATAGAGGTTTGTTTTCTCACATAGAAGAAATCGGTAGTCCATAGCTGGTATTTGAACCAAGGCTTTCTGACTCCAGGGCCTAGGCCCTTAACCATGCTCGTTCTCCCTTAGAGAAATGTGAGCTCTCTGTTTTGGATATGGAGAAGTGGGCAGAGATCTTAAAACCCCTTGCTGCAATTCACTTTGAATACGGTGGCCTCAAATATTAACAAAATAGCACCAATAATGTCGAACTCAGAGACTCGCTGTGTGGCTTTGAACAATTCCCTCAACCTCTCTGGGCTCGTGGCCTGGCCTGGCTCCCTTCCATGACAGCCCTTCTGCCCTGCCAGGGAGAAGGCCCAGGAACTGTCGGACTGGATCCACCAGTTGGAGTCAGAGAAGTTTGACCTGATGGAGAAGATGAAGCAGCAGAAATATGAGGTGAGACCCATCTCTGCTGGAGGCCAGGCTGGGCTGGGGATGGCCGGGTGGGGGGCTGGGCTGGGGCTGGGTAGGCGGTGAGCAGGCCTGTCCCTCTGGCAGTGCCCGAATCTCCCTCCTGTCTCTGCAGATCAATGTTCTCTACAATCGCATCAGCCACGCCCAGAAGTTGTAAGTGTGAACCCGGCCCTGAGCCCCATGCCCTCCATCTGACCCTTGGGGCCTCTCTTTCCTTTCCTCTGGCTGTCCCTTACTCTGAGTTTCAGTTCTCCACCCCTTCTTGGGGGCTCTGTCTTTATCCCTCTTTCTCTGGGACGGTCTCATAATGTGTCCTTTCCTCTCCACCCTCCAGCTCTCTTCTGGGGTCTCGATCCCTGTTTCTATGTCCTTCTAAATCACTGGTTCTCGGGGCGGGGGTGACCTTGCCTCTGACCCCGGGGACATCGGGGGATGTCTCGAACCTGTTTGGGGAGGGGGATGCTACTGGCACCTGGTGGGTGGAGCCCAGGGCTGCTGTTCCACATCCTACAACGCACAGGACAGCCCTCACCACAGAATGATCCGGCTCCCGAATGTCGCTGGTGCTGAGGTTGAGAAGCCCGGCTTTTCCTCTGTTTCTTGTTCTGTCTCCCCTGTGTCTCCTTCCCTCCCTCCCTCCCCTCTGCCTTCTGTTCATCTTCTCTCTCCATCTCACTTTCCATCTTTCTGTCTCTTTCACCCCAGCCTCCCCGACCCTCTCTCAGTCACTCACCCTTTCCTTTCCCCATCCCTGTACCCATAAATATTTATCAGTGCCCATATGAACATCCTGAGCTCACCCGCTGACATCAACTCCTGCCCGCCTGTGGGCCTGTGACCACTAATCACGCCACCAGGCAGTGAACCCAATGAGAAGGCACTTGCCGGCCTCTTCCTCTGGCTGGGAGGGCGGGGATTTGCGGGGATGGACTCCCTGAATTGAGGACAGGGACCCATCTCAGAGGTTGGTCAGGGAGGCCTACCTTTCTGACACCCCTCCTTCTCCTACAGCCGGAAGGGGGCCGGGAAGGGCCGCGTTGGAGGCCGCTGGAAGTGAGGATCTGGGCACTGCCCCCCACCCCCCTCCAGGCACCCGGGAGCCCTTGGAGTGTGTGTCCCATCTGTGGCTTGAAATAAATGCTCCCCCTGCAGCACCTGCTGTTCTTTGATTGTTATTATTAGAATCTTCAACAATCATGACGGTGATGTGTAAGGTTGAACCCTCACACACAGCCGGCAGGAATGTAAAATGGGGCTGCCACTTTGGAAAACATTCCAGCGGTCCCTCAAAAAGTTAAACGTAGAGTTACCATAGGACCCAGCAATTCTGCCCCGATAGAACTGAAAATCTCTGTCCTCACAAAAACTTGTACAGGAATCCTGGCAGCATTACTCATGATAGCCAAGAGGTGGAAACAACCCAAACGTCCGTCCACTGGTGAAAGGATACAAGGGAATATCCTTCAGCCATAAAAACGAATGAGGCTCTGACACAGGCTACAATGTAGATGAGTGTCCAAATCATAACTAAAGAAGCCAGACACAAAAGGCCACGCATTGTGTGATGCCACTGATAGGAAATTTCTAGAAGGCAAATCCATAGAGGCAGGGAGTACAGTCGTGGTGGTCTCCAGGGCCTCAGGGGAAGGAAGGAATGAGGGGTTATGGCTAAAAGGAATGGTGTTTCTTTTTGGGGGTGATGGGAGTGTTCTGGAATTAGACAGTAGTGATGGTTGCACAACCTTGTCAATAGACTAAAAAAAAAACAAACCCACTGATCACACTGCTATATATAAGATAGATAACCAACAAGGACCTACTGTAGAGCACAGAGAACTATACTCAATATTTTGTAATAGGGTGGTTCAGTGGTTAGGATTTCACTGCCGGGGTCCTGGGTTCGATCCCTGGTTGGGGAACTAAGATCCCACAAGCTGCAGGGCGTAGCCTAAAAAACAATTGTAATAACCTATAGGAGAAAAGAATCTTAATAATAATAATAAATATATATATATATATATATAAAATAACTGAGTCACTTTGCTGTACACCTGAAACTAACACAACATTGTAAATTAACTGTACTTCAATTTTTAAAAATGCTTAAATAAAGGCACTGTGGCTCTTGAAAACAAAACAAAACAAAAACAGAAAGCCAAAAGTGGATAAACCTAAAAAAAAAAAAAAACTGCCATCGGAAAAAACAACAACAAAAACAAACAAACAAAAAAAACCTGCCATCGGGAACCGAGATGCCACCCGCCTTTCTGTTCTGCGTCGTCTGTGAGGTCATAGATGGGTCACAATGTGATTTCTGGCTCCGGGACTGCTATCCCCTTTGTGTCCATCCCGACGGTCTCCAGGCCTCACGGGATTTGTAGTTTATTATAATAATAATAATTATTATTTTTGCACAAGCCCAGGGACTTCAGAGTGGGTAGGGCTGCTCTGACATCCCTTGGGAAAAAAGAATCTTGCTTCTGTTTGGATTTCAGCGCCGTTATGCTGAAACGTTTGCGCTTTTTATGGGTCTTTGTTCCGGTCTAAAAGTGCCTGCCTCTTTCCCAATGAGGATTTAAGTGCAGAGTGCTTAACATAAGGATTATTTCATGCTTTATGATGCTATGTATGAGGCAATTCACCCTCCACATCTGTTCGATCTCCTCGCCCTGGACTACAAATCCCAGCATGGCTTGCGAGGATGTAGAGCCCGGACTACATTTCCCAGCGTGCTCCACGTCCCAAGGAGACAGTCAGTAGCGGGGAGGGCCAGTGAAGGCTCCGGGGGAGCTGTCATTGTGGACCCCGTCTCTTCGGTTCCTTTCCCGATGTGACCCAGGGGTTCTATCAGGGACTTGGGGTGCTTTGGGACTCTGCCTAGGACCAACTGTGCCTTTAGGGGCGTGGCCCCGAGGACTACGTTTCCCAGCGGCCGATCGCCGTGACCTTTGTACCGCAATCTTTACTTCCCAGCATGCCCCGGGAGGTCACCCAGGGATTGTCTTGGTCTAAGGGTTGCGGACTAAATTTCCCGTAGTGTCCTGACGTTTCCCACGACCTAGGTAATCCATTCATTCATTCATCCAAAATACTATTTCCGATCGCGTTTTATTAGGTTCAGGTCTTGGCACTGGGAGCAAGTAGTGCACACGGAAGACAAAAATTCCTGTCCTCCTGGGGCTTATTTCTAGATGAAGCGAGCAGACTTTTAGGACTTTTAGTCCTTTTAGGACTCCCGGGCTGTCAAGTCCATTTCCTACTAGGTCCCCAGGGGACAGTTCTTCGTCCTTTTGATGCTGTGAACTACATTTCGTAGCATGCCCTGGGGGGCACACCTGTAGCCTTTAGACTCCATTTCCCAGCACTCGCAGGAGAATCCTCTCAATCATGTTTCCTTTCGACACCTCGGAGCTGCGAACTTCCCAGTGTGCCTCGGGGCCGATCGAGGCCGGAGCGTTGCCAAGAGCAATTTCCGCTTATGGACTCCATTTCCCAGAGCTCCCCGCGGCCTTCCGTGAGGCGGTTGCCATTCCCCTCTCCAGGCTGAGGACTCCATTTCCCAGAGCGCCCCGGGACGGCGGGGTGACGTCACGCGCCGGGCGGGGGCCAGTGGATCCTTGGGCGGCGCGGGGCGGCGCGGGACGGTGCTGGGCGGGCGGTAGATCCCGGCGGCCCGTGGGCGGGCGGCGGCAGCTCAGGGCTCGGAGCTCGGCGCTCGCTCGCTCGCTCGTTCGCTCACGGGCTGGCGGTGCGATGTCGGGCGAGGATGGCCCGGGGGCGGGCTCCGGGGCGGCGGCGGCAGCGGCCCGCGAGCGGCGGCGGGAGCAGCTGCGGCAGTGGGGGGCGCGGGCGGGCGCCGAACCGGGCCCCGGGGAGCGGCGCGCCCGCACCGTGCGCTTCGAGCGCGCCGCCGAGTTCCTGGCGGCCTGCGCGGGCGGCGATCTGGACGAGGCGCGCCTGATGCTGCGCGCGGCCGACCCCGGCCCGGGCGCCGAGCTCGACCCTGCTGCCCCGCCGCCCGCCCGCGCAGTGCTGGACTCCACCAACGCCGACGGCATCAGCGCCTTGCACCAGGTCAGCGCCCCCGCCCGGGCCCGTCCCGGGGACCTGAATCGCCCTGGGTCTGCGCCACCTCGAGCACCCTCCCTCCCCTGTCCGAAGTCACCGTTGCTAGTCCTGGTCTGCGCCGTTGCTGCTGCTCCGGTTCCTGCCATCCCGTGCTGGCCCTCTTTTCCGCCCACCCACCTCGAGCTCCCTTCTTCCGACCCTGAGACACTTGAACTGACCCTGGTCTTTGCCACCCTGCGCCGCCCTCTCCCTGGACCCGAGCCATTGTTGACGGCCTCAGTCCAGTCCCTCCTAGTCTCGTCACTTCGCGCTGCTCTTTCCCGACCTTGAGCTCTCTTTACTAGTCTCGCCTGTGCCACCTCCACTGGTTCCACCTCTACTTTGTCATCTAATGCTGGACCTCTTTCCTGAGTCGGTGACACTTACAGCTCTACCGCTGCCCACAGTTTCCCCCTTCCAGGCAGGTATCACTTTCCTGGAGCATCCTCCTCCTCTTTCTTGGGCCTGTGCTGCTTCCCCCCTTGGTCTCTGGGCTGGGCCACCTCTTTGGCTAGGCCCAGCGCCTTCCACGCCACTTCTTTCATCCTTGGTCTGTGCCATCTGTTGCTGTCTAAGGATGCTTTTTCCTGAGCCCCTGCCTTCAAGGCTCTGTATTCTTTTTTTGGCCGTGGCTCGCAGCACGTGGGATCTCAGTTCCCTGACCAGGAATCGAACCCATGCCCCCTGCAGTGGAAGCGTGGAGTCCTAACCACTGGACCCCCAGGGAATTCCAGCTCTGTATTCTTGAAGGGGATGCTCCCCGGGTCTGGGTCACCTCATGCTGTCTCCCCGCCCCCCTTCACCCTCATGGCCTCTTCATTCTCCTTCTGCGGGCTGTGCCACCTCTTGTCTCCCACTGTAGGCCTTCTCTCAGAGATGTTTCTTCTTCTCCAGGCACCTCCTCTCTGCCTCTCCTCTTGCCTTGGCCAGACCTGCATCATCACCCTTTTTTTCTGGGAACACTCAAAGCACCCACCTCTTCCTGGCTTCGGGACACTTCTCTGTCCTTTGGTCACCTTGCTTTCGCTGCCTGGATCCCCTCCTGTGGATCTGGGCAGGTTCTTTCTCCCGTAGCATGTGCCATTTCTCCCAGCCCCTCATCGTATCACCTTCCCAAGGGGTCTAGCACCCTGTTTCTCCTCTCTGTCCACCCTGGGGCCCCCATGCCATTCCAAAACACTCTGATTGCTGTCTCCAGGGTTCCTCTGAACTAGGGCCCCCCAAATGTCCCACAACTAGAGTTCTCTCTAGTTCTGCGTGCTTTTATCACTCCCCACCCCCCTCCAGTGGGACCACCAGGCACAAGCCACAGAAGAGCTCTGTCCCCTCCCTCTGTCCCTGAGGCTGTCTGCCTCCTAGTCTCCTCGAATTGGTCCAGTCCCCAGCCCTCTTCTGTGCTGGAACCGCTAGGGTTTGGTTACTTTGGGGCCAGAGAGGACCCTGGGAAGGAAACCTTGGAAGGGGGCAGAGGAGTGGGGTGGAGGCAGGAAGAGGCCCACTTCTCAGGTTCCCAGGAAGAGGAGAGGTTCAGCAAAGCAGAGTAGTCCTGACTTCTGATCTCAGCTGCTCGACTTTGTGATCTCGGATTAGTGTCTTCTCTCTCTGTGCCTCAGGTTTCTTATCTGTTAATGGGGCCAGTAGTCAGCCCCTCCCTGGCAGGGCTCTGGCAAAGGAGGAAAAACACCCTTCAGGAAGCAGCTGTGGGCATCCAGTTGGGGAGTTGCAGCCCCTGGTCCAAGTACTACCCCTCCCCCCTTTCCCTTTCCCTACCCCCAGGCCTGTGCCCTGCAGAGGCCCTAGTGCTTTCTGGGACATTTTCCTCCATCTAGAGGAGGGTCTCAGAGCTTGGCACGCCCAGGAAAGGGGCCTCAGGTTTCATTGTCCCCCTTCCTCCGCCATTGTCCCTGCCCCTGGCTCCCCTCGACCTTCCCGAAGGGGTTCTTGGCCCTGCGTTGCAGGCCAAGCCCCATTCCCCGCCCTCTCCCTTGGCCCAGACCCTGCAGAAGACCACCCCGGCCTGGCCTGTTAGGTGGGACCCCTCTCCCACTCCCGCTACAGGCGAGCACTCGGTACACTCCCTTGCCAGGACTTTGCAGGAGGCATGAAGGATTAGGGCATCTGAGGTTCAGAGAGGGGAAGTCCCCGCCTAGGGTCACACAGCCAGCAAGCAGGGGTGCGGGGGCTTGGGTCAGGTCTGGGCGTCTGCGGACCAACCCGTGTTGCTCTGCTGAAGACTGGCCTGGTTTTAGCACTGAAAGTCCCAGGTCCCAGGAAGCCCCCAGACAGGCAAACCGGAGCAGTTGCCCACGCTATCTGGGTGAGTCCTGCGGCTGTGGCTTCTGTTCTGCATGGAGCAGGTCCCCAGGCATCAGCTCCCTGCTCTGGTCGGGTCCCTAGGCGTTCTCGAGCCTCAGCCCCAACCTCAGGCTGGTGTGTCAACTGCTAGACGAGGCTGGTATATTCTGCCCCCTCCCTAAAATTACCTTGTAATAGTGGCCAGGGGTCTGGGGTCTGGAATAGGAAAGACTGTGAGCCAGGATTCTTAGTTCTCAACAGGGAGGGGCGGGGGAGTCTGGACCCCTGAGTCTGAGGGAGGGGGGGCTGGGGGCCTGGATTCTTGGATCCCTGGTGCCCAGGCCGCAGGCATCTTTCACATGGATGCCTGTGCCCGGCCAGGTCCTTGAAAGGGAAAGGCCCATCTCCCTCCTTGCCCCCCTCCCCCATCACCATGACAACCAAATGGAAATAAACGGAGCCCAGAGTTCATCCCGTTCCCAGGGCACGTGTGGCCCCCCTTTCACAGCCTGAGTTTCCATGACTTCATGCTCTTGGCCCTTGTAGCTCCCTCCCCCTTCTCCAGATGGATGGTTTTGGAGAGGTGAGGGAGCTGGAGGTTAACCTACCCTGAGGACCTGGGAGTCCAGGTCCACTCCTGTCCCTCAGCCCTTGCTCAGGTCCCAGCGCCCACCCAGTGTCCACACGCGCCCGGGGCTGAATCCCTTCTCTGGCCCCCACTTGGTGTGAGTGCTTGTCTCCTGGAGCTTTGATTCTTCCTCCATCAAACAGGACCCTGACAGCCGTAGGATTGGGGAAGATGCCCGTGCAAGCCCCTTGGTGCAGTGCCCTGTGCCTAGGAGACCCTCGGTGCAGGGGAGCTGCCTCTCCTCGGGCCCCAGGTCCCGGGCACACGCTAACTCAGTCATGTCTCCCAGTGGAGGAGGCCTGCCCAGGACCCTCACTCTGTCCCAGGTTTCCAGGGACCTGGTGACTTTACCAGCTCTGCACAGCCTTGGGCCCCAGGGGTCCAGCAGTCTCCCCTCCAGGTACAAGGCAGGGCCATGGTCAGTTCTTGTAGAGTATCTGTTGGATCTGAGGGAGGGGCTGGGGCCCTGGACCCCTGGGTCTGAGGGAGGAGGGGCTGGGCCTCCTCCCTTTGGTTCATCACTGGAAGCCCCATCCTTCGGTAGTGACTGTGGGTGTGTCTCATCTAACAAGCACCGTTCAGGATTCCTACACCTGGGTGTGAAGCCCCCCTCTCTTCTCTGTCCAGTTCCTCCTCTCATGGTCTCCAGTAAGCCCCAGATGCCTGGCTGACCTAACCACTGGGAAGCCGGGGGGTTTTAAACAGCTGGATGGCTGGAGGGGCCTCCGGGGACAGGGTTGGTGTTTTCCAGAGCCATCTGGGTCTTCTCCTTGATTGTCAGGGCCGCTTGGCCCTGCATCTGCCTAGCGGTCCCTGCCAGGGGTCCTGCCGGCAGGGCATGCAGGGTCTGGACCAGGTGAAGGTGACAGCCTGTCCCTCCCCCCAGGCCTGCATCGACGAGAACCTGGAGGTGGTGCGCTTCCTGGTGGAGCAGGGTGCCACGGTGAACCAGGCAGATAATGAGGGCTGGACACCCCTGCACGTGGCCGCCTCCTGTGGTTACCTGGACATCGCCAGGTGAGGCGGGGAGGGTGGGCGGGGCCTGATGAGAACCGGCCGGACCCTTCCGCTCTGACCTCGCCCTGCCCCCAGGTACCTACTGAGCCACGGGGCCAACATCGCCGCGGTGAACAGTGATGGGGACCTGCCCCTGGACCTGGCCGAGTCTGACGCCATGGAGGGGCTGCTGAAGGTGGAGATTGCCCGCCGAGGTGGGCCTCGGGGGCTGCTGCGGGGCGGGCCCTCCGTTCCCGAGGACCCTGACTCTCTGGGCCTCAGTCCCTACATGGGAAGCGGGGTGTGAGTACCTACCCCCAGGGTTTTCCAGAGTAATTGGAGGAAGTGCTGGGCACAGAATAAGAGCGCAAACCGCTGTTGGCCTGCAGTGTCACCTTATCCTCGAGTGACTGTGGAAGTTGAGGTAGAGGCTTGTCCAGGGGTTCGTTGCGTGATTGCAGGTGATAGGAATTCTGCTGAGGTGTGGGTAGGGGAATGCACAGGCTTCTGGGGACCTGGTCTGTCCCGTGCTCAGGATCACTGAGCCCAGTGTCCTTAATATGGGGCCCAGGACCCCTCAAAGCTCTGTCTGGCCATGCTCATTTTTCTAGGGGGAGTGTGTATTACTTCTAGCAGGTTCTCACCTTCCCCCTGCCCCGCTACAAATAGCCGTCTGGGGCCAGTTGGTGTGCCGTGTGCGTGGCTGAGCTGGGGGCGGAGGACACGGGGCAGGTCAGGTGGGGGATGGCCAGCAGCTTCACCGCTTCACCCAGTCTCCCGCCGGAGCCCTGGGTCACAGCCCAGCTGTGGAGGTGACTGTCTCATCCGCAGAGCGAGGGTGGCAGCAGCAGTACCTCGCGGGTGGTCAGGGCTCAGTGGGTGGGAAGGTGTGAGTGAGCGCAGGGCCAGTGGGCCTGGCAGGTCTGGAGGGCTGCACAGGAGGTGCGGGCAGGCTGGTGAAAAGTAGATGCCGGGGCGTCCGAGATGACGCCCAGACGGCCGGCTTGGCTCTGGGTGGGAGGGGCAAGGGCCCGCCCTTGGGCAGCTGTGTGTCGGTGGTCGTGAGAGCCACGCAGGGTATGGAAGTGCTGGTGGGCGAGCCGAGGTGGGCAGCTGAGGTCCAGGAGCCCTGCTTTGGTTCAGGTGGAGGGGAGTGGGAAGCAAAGGAAAGACAGAACCGGGGTTTTCTCCCTCCCCTTCTCCACCTTTGTATCTCAAAAAACTTCAAACTCAGAGGCAGGTTTTGATAGCAGTCCGATGAGTGCCCACACGACCTTCACTGAGATCTACCAGGGCTTTTCAGCAGCTTCATGGAGATACAATTCACAGTATGTACAGTTCACCCTTTGGAAGTGTGCGATCTGGTGTTTGTTTTTAGTGTATTCACACTAAATGTTGTGCATCCAACACCACATCGATTTTATTTTATTTTTTAAATTTTTATTATTTTTTAAAATTTTATTTATTTAGTTTTGGCTGCGCGGGCTTCAGCAGTTGTAGCACGTGGGCTCGGTAGTTGTGGCACGTGGGCTCTAGAGTGCAGGCTCAGTAGTTGTGGCGCTCGGGCTTAGTTGTTCCGCGGCATGTGGGATCTTCCCGGACCAGGGCCCGAACCCATGTCCCCTGCATTGGCAGGCAGATTCTTAACCACTGCGCCACCAGGGAAGTCCCCACATCGATTTTAGATGATTTTGATCACTCCAAGAGAAATCCCACACCCCAGAGCTGTCATCCCCAGCCCTGCATCCCTCTCATTGGCTTTGTGTCTCTAGCTTTGCCTGTTCTGGACGTTTTGTATACGTGGAATCGTAAAGTATGGACTCAGGGATTTTTCACTTTTTGGCATGATTGCCCGTGTTCCCTCCCTCTCCTCTAGGGGTGGACCTCCCTGGGTCTCTCCCTGCACCTGGTTCTCATGTCACATCCAGCTCCCTCCACCTGGATCAGCCTTCGCCCTCCTCACCCTCCCTTGTTTCACACACAGGTCCCTCAGCTTGGACCTGGCTGTTTCTTCAGTTCTGCAGTTTTGGCAGGAACTTCTTAGCGAGTCCCTCCGGGAGACAGGCTCTGTCTCTCTGCCCCGTTACTGGTGATGTTAACCTTGAACCTCGTTCGGGGGGTTGCCCAGGTGACTCTACCGTGGAGGCATCTTCCTCCCTTTGTAGTTAAAAAGTAGTCTGAGATGGGGCTGGACACATAATACACTAATATGTATAAAATAGATAACTAATAAGAACCTGCTGTATAAAAAATAAATTAAATAAAATTTAAAAATTAAAAAAAAAAAGTAGTCTGCAGGGCAATGCGTGGAGGCCACCAGGGGGTGGGTGGTCTCTCGGACATCCTGTGTGTTTCTGCAGGAAATGCCCAGAGCTCACAACACCTTCTCACAGCAGCCCATGTTCCCCTTTTGCGGGGCGAAGGTTGGGGGATGTTGGCTTGTAGGGCCGACCAGGCACAAAGGCCTGTGGTCCTACTGGGAGGACGCTCTGCTGCACTGCTGGGGGTGGGAGGCACCTGCCAACAGCACTGCAGCCACCGCCTCCGGAGTCGGGCGGCTCCTGCCCCACGGCTCCGCGATGCTCGCCTTCACACGGAAGCCTCAGCGGAGCGTGGTCGGCAGAGTCTCTGTATTTTACCACAGTTTAAAAAAGAAGGGCTTCCCTGGTGGCGCAGTGGTTGAGAGTCCGCCTGCCGATGCAGGGGACACAGGTTCGTGCCCCGGTCCGGGAAGATCCCACATGCCACGGAGCGGCTGGGCCCGTGAGCCATGGCCGCTGAGCCTGCGCGTCCGGAGCCTGTGCTCCGCAACGGGAGAGGCCACAACAGTGAGAGGCCCGCGTACCGCAAAAAGAAAAAAATAAATAAATAAAATAAAATAAAAAAGAAGACAAATTATGGGCTTAGGTGACCGCGGTCTAGGAGTTATATGGACTTGAGGCGTGGTTTGATCGAGGTGCACAGAGTGAAAAGAATCCCTCCATCACTGCTGAACTCTGTGTTGACGTCATTCTTAGACAGCTTCTCTCCGTGAGGTATTGGTTCTGAGCATGGCTGCTAGCAGTGCAGGCTGATGCCCCAGCAGAGCTAGAACTCAACTCCTCCGTAGTCCCATCCACAGTCCTCTGCCTGACGCTCTTAGGGCCACCTTGGTCACAAGCTTGCCCCTGAGCCAGTCACGGTGGCAAGGAGGATGGTCAGGCCTGGTGAAGTGGCCACCCATGGAGCCGGGCTGTGGGCTCAGCCACGTCGGCTGAAAGCAGGGGTCAGGAAAAGGCAGAAGTCTTCATGGAGGCGGGAGACTGGATGCCTGCAGGTCCAAGCAACAGCTCCACTGCAGATGCTCTTCCCATGGCCCGGGCCACAGGGACACAGTCCAAGCACAGGACTCTCTGGCCGCTTGCTCAGAAGGGCCATGGTCGGACCCACAGGGACTTGGAACTGGGCAGGGAGGACACGTAAAGTGTTTCTGAAGCATTTGAAGCAATCACTTGGAATCCTAACATCAGGACAGTGGACGTGGGGCAGTTATTCTCAGAGACGGGCAGCTCTGACAGTCAGTTCCAGTGATGGCAAGGCAGAGCACTCTTATCTCTGGCCGGCAGGAGTGCGGGTGATTCCAGCCACTGTGGGAACCAGCATGGATTACAGCTGGAGATCCACATTCCCAGTGTTCCGGCACTCCTAGGCCACCCGATGGAGGCTTCAGTGTTGAGAGGATGTGGCCGACACCCAAGGGCGAACGGATCAGTCAGTAATCTATAAATGAGTGATCCAAGCAGTGGTCGGCAAACGTTTTAGGCAGTAAATTTTTTTTTTTTTTTTTAGCCACACTACATGGCATGTGGAACTTCCCCGACCAGGGATTGAACCCAGGCCCCCTGCCATGGAAGCTCAGAGTCTTAACCACTGGACCACTGGGGAAGTCTGTAAATATTTTAGGCTTTGCGGGACTTGCTGTCAGGTTGCAAGCACTCTACCCTGCTGCTGTGGTGGGGAAAACAGCCAGGGAGGATATGTAAATGAATGGGTGTGGCTGTGTTCCAATAAAACTTTACTTACAAACACAGGTGGCTGTCCAGAAGAGGCAAGTCCGCAGTGACAGGAAGGGGATTGGTGGTTGCCAGGGGCTGGGGAGGCACTGCTTAATGGGGTACGAGGTTTCCATTTGGGGTGATGAGAAAGTTGAGGTACAGATAGGGTCAGTGGTTGCACGTTGTGAAAGTCCTAAAAGCCACTGAGTAGTACGCTTTAAAATAGTGAAATTGGGCTTCCCTGGTGGTGCAGTGGTTGAGAATCTGCCTGCCGATGCAGGGGACACAGGTTCGAGCCCTGGTCTGGGAAGATCCCACATGCCGCGGAGCAACTAGGCCCATGAGCCACAACTACTGAGCCTGCGCGTCTGGAGCCTGTGCTCTGCAACAAGAGAGGCTGCGATAGTGAGAGGCCCGCATACCGCGATGAAGAGTGGCCCCCACTTGCCGCAGCTAGAGAAAGCCCTCGCACAGAAACGAAGACCCAACACAGCAAAATTAAATAAAATAAATACATAAATAAAATAGTGAAATTGGTAAATTTTATGTTAACCAAACTGGTGGCCCGCACGTGCAGGCTGTAGTTTGCCAACCCCCATGAGGAGCTCTGTTAATAAACATGGGCAAATCTCGGCAAAGAGCAAAGCTGCAGAAGGATGCGTTTGAACACGCAGGATACTAACTGTGGTTGCTGAATAAAAGATTGGCAAACTCTGCCCTTCCCTGCCCGCAGCAAGGCGCCTGCATCTATAATAGGACTGAATGTAGGTGATTCCCTTTAAGGAGATCGGGGAGGAGGGGGTGGGGTCCCTGAGTCCCTGGCACTCTCCTGGCCTCCACCCCAGCCTGGGCCTGCGGGATGGGCCCTAGCCAGCCAGACATTCCTGGAATAGCTGCCCCTGGGAGTCCCCGCCAGCCAGGGGACCCTAAGGTAATCCATTGGAGTTTAGTCCGAGGGCCCAGGTGCCACCGGGTGCGCCAGTGCGCAGCTGGACCCGGCCAGATTTGGTCCCGGCGGGGATTGCGTTTCTGGGATCCTCCGGGTAGCCCCGGGGCAGCATTTCCAACCTGCAGTAAGGGTGTAACCAGTTTCCCGTTCAGGAAAGCAGATTGATGAAGGTGGTTACCTCTGGGGCCGCGGGGAGGGGCACCCTGTCATGGCCTCTGTCGCCTTGTACTGCTTGGCCGTACACCGCACCGTCGCCAGTGCTGTCCAGTGGAAAGCCAGAGTCAGCCACAAGCGTAACTGAGAATTTCCAAGTAGGTGCGCGGAAAAACAAAAACAGTTGAAACTAATTATAGTAATATAGTTATTTAATCCAGTACGTCCGAGACATTATCATTTCAATATGTAATCAATATGAAAAACTATGCGTGAGCTGCCGCACACTCTTTTTTCTGTGCTTCGAAATCCAGTGTATTTTACGTTTACAAGGCGTCTCAGTGGGAAGTAGCCACAGTTCAGGGGCTCCGTAGCTGCATTGCTGACGGCTGTTCAGCAGGGCGGCTCAACTCTGTGCAGCGCTTGGGTGAGTGAGAAATTTCACAATCGAAAAACTAACAGCCAGTAATACACTTCCCAGGAGAGAGAGTACACATGCCCTAGAAGAGACTGTTTTTGACTCCCGTCTCAATAGTTCATAACGTGCAAAGTACAGATTCTCAGTGACAGTCTAAAGGTAGTATTCCAGCCTCAACAAGGCTGCCCGTTTTGATCCACAGTCAACGTATGTTTAAAGTCATAACTTGCCTTTTGCATCCATAAATGCAGTACAGTTTTCCATGAGACCAGTTGACTACAGTGAAATTGGCGAGTGAGGAAGCATGCTTGCCTCGTACAGATTGTGCAGGTGACAGCAGGGAACAGCAGCTGGTGGGAAGGTGCCGCTGCCCCAAGGTACGGGCACTGTTTAGTGGCTTTTTGCCTGGTTTATCCTACTCATGAGTGATAACGGTGACAAAACACACAAAGATGCTGGGCTAAGGACTGTATCTGTAGTGACAGGAAGTGTAAGATGTAAGATTCCTGCGCCCTCCATCCTCCCAGCCCCCAGCAGTGACTCAGAGACCCTTAGTGGACCCCAGGGCTTCACGGAGCATGGTTGGGAAGTAACAGAGCTAGTTCAGAGCTAGTCCTCCCAGAGGAGGCTCAGAGCAGAGGGACCAGGCCAGGTGCCACTCTGTGCTTCCTGGGTCTCAGGGTGGGAGTCCCACCTATCCCCCCCTTCTCGTCCTCCCAGGTGTGGATGTGGAAGCAGCCAAACGGGCCGAGGAGGAGTTGCTGCTTCACGACACAAGGTGCTGGCTGAACGGGGGCGCCATGCCAGAGGCCCGGCACCCCCGCACGGGGGCCTCTGCCCTGCACGTGGCCGCTGCCAAGGGCTACATCGAAGTGATGAGGTGAGCTGGGCCGGTGTAGACCCTCCCTCTTCCCCTGCCCCTTGCACTGGGCCAGCCTGTTGCTTCTCACTGTCTTACACCTTCTTGTGGATTTTGTCCATTCCCTCCCTTTTCTAATTTATGTACCTAAGGCCATGCATTTCCCTCTAAATACAGCCTTAGCTGCATCCATAAGTCTTGATGTGCAGGCTTCTCCCTGTCCTTCAGTTTAAAACGTTTTCCAACCTGTAGTCTTCCTTGACCCAGGGATCATTTAGAAGTATGTCGTTAATTTCCAAATACATGGGATTTTCTAGTCGTAGTTGAATTACACGTATACCTCATTTTATTGTGCTTCGCCAATAGCGTTTTTTTGTTTTTTTGTTTTTTTTTTTTACAAATTGAAGATCTGTGGCAACCCTACGTTGTCAGATGAAGGCGAACGTTTTTTAGCAATAAAGTGTTTTTTAATGTATGTACATTTTTTTAAAGACATAATGCTGTACACATAACAGACTTAACTTTTATATGCACTGGCAAACCAAAAACTCAATGTGACTCTCTTTATTTCAACATTTGCTTTGTTTCGGTGGTCTGGAACCAGATCCTCAATATCTCCGAGATCTGCCTGTACTCACTTCCTGGCTCACTTGCACTGTGGTCAGAGAACAGGTTCTCTGTGATTCCAGATTTCTGGAATTCATTGAGGTTTGCTTCACACCCCAGTCTGTGTAAGCTGGAATGCTTCATAACCTAGTCCGTAAGCTGGAAAAGAATTGTGTTGTTAAGTACAGTGTCCTATATAGGTTATTAGGTCCACTTTGTACTCATGCTATTTAAATCTTCTGTATCCGTAGTGATTTTTTTCCCCCATCTGCTTATTCTCTCAGTTGCTGTGAGAAGTGCAGTAAAACGTCTCACGATGATTGTGGATTTTTGCTGTTTCTCCTCGTAGTTGTGTCAGGTTTTGTGCTGCATATTTCAAGGCCAGGTTATTTGGTGCATCTATATTTTAAATTGTTGCAGCGTGTACTCTCTGCTTCTCATCCTCACCTTGGTCTTGTCCATTTCTGAGTGCCTCACCCCTTCCTGTCAGTAGTTGGTTCTACTTCTTATCATCAGACTCCCCTGTTCTCTCTTTATTTTTTCCCTCTCTCTCATGTGACGTTATACTTTATATTTAGTATATAAACAGAGTCCAGATGAATCTCTCCATCTCTGCTCACCTCTGTGTTAATGAATTTTTAGAAAGGTCTTCCAGGGGAATTCCCTGGTGGCCTAGTGGTTAGGATGCTGGGCTTTCATTGCCGTGGCCCAGGTTCAGTACCTGGTCGGGAAACTGAGATTCCGAAAGCTGCACAGTGAGGCTGGGGAAGAGAAAAAAAAAGGAAGCTTTTCAGTGAGGAGCTTAAGATGACGCCTAACAGCTCCAGCCTCATGTCCTGGTTGCTTCCCCTAATTCAGAGGTAGAGTGCCTCGTCCTCCGTAGTTCCAGCGAAAGTCCTGGGTCTGATACTCACTGGGCTGCCTGGCACACCTGCTCATCCCAGGGCTGGTCCCTGTGGCAAGGAGGGTGGGACGGTCGGGCCCGGTGATGTGCCCAGCCCTGGAAGCTGTGCCCTCTTCTACCCGTGGCTTCCACCCCTGAGTCTCAGGTGGCTGCTTCAGCTCCTGCCCTTGAATCTGTGTCCCAGCCAGCAGGAAAAAGCAGGGGGCAGAAGGAGCAAATGTCCATGTCTTTTAAAAGGACAGTCCAGAAGCGGCGTACACACTGAATACTGACATCCCATTTGCCAGACCCTTCTCGGCTGGCCACTCGTAGCTGTGAGGGAGACTGGGAGATTCTGCTTCAGCAGGCAACCCCCTGAAAGCTGGGCGCCATGTTTTTTTTTTTTAGAAGCGTCTTCCCAGAGCAGGGGGCCTCATCTTCATTCGGGGCTCTGCAGTGGCTCCCCGCCTATTTATTTATTTATTTGGCTGCACCGGGTCTTAGATGCAGCACACGGGATCCAGTTCCCTGACCAGGGATTGAACCCAACCCGGGCCCCCTGCATTGGGAGCACAGTGTCTTAACCACTGGACCACCGGGGAGGTCCCTGGGTGCCATGATTAAAGGTGGAAGGAGAGTGGATATGCATGGACAGCCTCATTCTCTGCCACAGAACTGAAACGCTTTGGCCTTAGAGATACTCACTGACTGTAATTTCATTTCCGCCCCTTAGTATGGGTTTACAACCAGATCTATCTACGGACTGCGTTTTTGGAAGAATGTAGCTGACATTCTCCTCGTTAAAGATGAGTGGCAGGGTAAAGGTGTACATTTCTTTGATGCTGTTCACTCAACACTTACTGAGCACCTGCTGTGTGCCAGGCCATCTTTTAGGTACTGGGGATATAGCAGCAAACGAGACAGATCTGGGCCCATGTGCAGTTCGTAGCCTTGTCGAGGAGACAGACAGACAAGTGACTGAGGAAGCCGGTCACATCACATGGCCCTGAGTGCTCAGAGAGGGGTCCTCAGCCTCCACCCTGGTGACGTGGGGCTGGATAACCCCGGGGGCCTGTCCTGTTCATGGGGGTGGGACACTGACCTCCACCCACTCCACACCCCACCGCAGTCACGACAACCAGGCACATCTCTGGGCGTTGCCCAACGTCCCTTGGGGGTCAGCGTCGTCCCCAGTTGAGAACCACTGGTCCAGAGGGATATAAACAGGGCAGTGGGGGAGAGCGAGTGTGGTGGGGAGGTCCCCTTCGAGATTCGGGGAGGAGGTTGTGACGACCGAGAGGGTGGCCGCGTGAAAGGCACTGATGCCTCGAGAACGTTCACTGGGCAGAGAGAACAGCGGAGCCCAAGGTGGGCGCGTGCTTGGGGGAGGAGCGGACGCCCGCACGGCTGGAGCAGATGAGCTGGGGGCCCCGCAGAGGCGCTTTTGTTTAAAATGGCTCTTTACAAGGTACCTCGTCTCTCCGCCTCTCCCGCCTTGCTTCCGCTCTTTCTCACTGACACGCAACCTAAATGCCGTTCTCTAAAAGCCCGCGTGTCTACCCTACGCTGAGTTTGCAGAATTGCCCTGGACCAGATCGTGTGGTCTAAGGTGGTGATTATCTCACGGGAAAGAACCGTCTAAGCCAGGGGTTCTGTCTCGGCACCGGTGGCATTTGGACCAGATCGTTCCTGGCTGTGGGCGCATCCTCTGTGCTGTGGGTTGTTTAGCAGCATCCCTGGTGCCGACCCACTGATGCTTCTGGCTCCCACCCCTACGTTGTGACATCCAGAAACATCTCCAGACACGGCCAGACGTCCCCAGGCGGCTATGTGGTCCTGGTTGAGAACCACTGCTCTGAGCCAGAGGGGTCCTGGAAGAGTGCTGCCCCCAGGCCGCCCCTTCTGGGGTCTCATCCTTTCTCTAGGCTTGGGTGCTGGGGAACCCCTGCCCTCACCTCCCCTGGAGCTGTCTCACAACCAGGGGTGATGCTCAGAAGAGTTGAGCACTGCAGGTACAAGAAGCAGGGTTCCAGAGGCCACCTGCTAGGCCAGGGGAGGAGTCAAAGCGGTGGCAGAGAGGGTCACTTCCGGGAGGGGGCGCCTTGGGGCCATGACGCTTCACCCCCTGGCCCAGGACCGGTTTCGGTACTGTCACAGCTGGTACTGCCACCACAGCACAGCTGGCCGACCTTAGCTCTTGGCCCTGAGCCCCTGTCCTGGTCCTTGACCTGAGCCTCCCTGGCCCCCAGGCTGCTGCTTCAGGCCGGCTACGACCCGGAGCTGCGGGATGGGGACGGCTGGACGCCCCTGCACGCCGCAGCCCACTGGGGCGTGGAGGACGCCTGCCGCCTGCTGGCGGAGCACGGCGGGGGCATGGACTCGCTGACGCACGCGGTGAGGGCCGGTCCGGGGCCCGGGGACCGGTGGGGGGTGGGGGGTGGGAGGGCGCGTCCACCAACTCCTCACCTGCCTTTTCCCCTCCCCACCCAGGGGCAGCGTCCCTGTGATCTAGCGGATGAGGAGGTGCTGAGCCTGCTGGAGGAGCTGGCCCGGAAGCAGGAGGACGTGAGTGTCTGTCTGCAGCCAGGAGGGAGGGCCTCCACGTCCCTGGGGACCTGCCCTTCCCTGGCCGGTGACCTGGGCCCAGTGGGGAGCCAGGAGGAGGGGCACAGTTGGGCACTAGGGGGAGGCGGGGCCTTGGGCCCCAGGGGACCTTGGGATGCAGATGGCAGTCATCTATCCAGGTTTGGGCTGGGCCTCGTCACCCCTGGGACGCCCCCCCCCGCCAGCACTGGGCCAGGCCTTGTTGCTGGAAAAACGCAGAATGAAGGGGTGAACGGTGCGGACTCGGGGTCTGAATCCCAGCTCTGCCATGGATTTGCTGTGTGAGCTCAGGCCAGTCGCTTAACCTCTTTGGGCCTCAGTTACCTCATCTGTAAAATGGGGATAGTACGGCGCACTTTGAGTTACATGTTCTGTTACGTGGAGTACGTATTATGCTATGAGTGGTATGTATGTAACTAAACAAAAGCATTCAGAACACTGCCTGGCACACAGTAAGCACTCTTAGGTGGCAAGAAACATCTCCTGAGGCCTTCTGGGGGCCAGGCCCTCTGCCTGGAGCTTCTGGCGAGTGGCAGGTAGACAGGACCAGACCCCGTGTTTACAGCTTGGCTGTGGCAACACTGAGGGAGACGGTCCTGTTTCCGGCTTGGCGGACTTGGGCAGCTTCCTGGGGACCAGGGCTCGCACACTGTTGAGGGAGCAGTACGTGCAAAGGCTCAGGGGTGGGGAGTCATATGGTACCCGGAATTTGGAGAGGGGCAGACCCTGAAGGGCCTTGAATGCCAGGTGAGGAGGCTGGGGGCTCTGGGAGGGCGTTTAGTGGGTGAAGCAGGGTCTCTGAGAGGTGGGGGCACAGACGAGGCCTGGGGGTGTCTGGGAAGGGACACCTGCAGCACAAGGGGTTTGCTAGGAGGGGCGGGGGAACTGCTGTGCAGGCTCCGAGGTGTGAAGATACAGCAGTCGGGGAACTGCGCCCTGAGATGCCATTTGGGGGCTGGGCCTGACAGCGAGCCTTAAGGGAGGAGGCCGGGCCTGGCAGCCCGTGTCCAGTGTGCTGAGGTGTTGGGGAGAAGTTTGGGTAGCTCGCCCCTGGGAGGTAGAGGCCAGGAAGCCTGGGGGCCCCTGAGTACTGGACGACTCATTTGAGACCCAGGGCTCCATGTCTAGGAAAACTCAGCGAGTGCACAAATCATCCCATTCCCCCCTGTACCACCTCCACCCCGGCACAGTTGTATGTGGGACCCAGGAGGGTCTGCGTGTTCTGCCCCTCCCCAGTGGCCCCCTTCCCCCTTTCAGCTTCGGAACCAAAAGGAAGCTTCCCAGAGCAGGGGCCAGGAGCCCCAGGGGCCCTCCAGCAGCAAACACCGAAGGTAGGGGAGAAGCGCCTGGAGGGTGGGTGGGCTGGAGGTTCCCCAGGGCTTGGACCCCAACGCCCTCCCCTTCCCACCAGGAGCTCTGTATGTCGTCTGAGCAGCCGTGAGAAGATCTCCCTCCAGGACTTGTCCAAGGAGCGCCGGCCTGGTGGGGCAGGGGGGCCCCCAATCCGGGACGAGGATGAGGGAGAAGAAGGCCCCTCAGGTGAGGGGCTGGGGGGCTGGGGTCCTGAATCTGGAGAGGAGGGGGCTGCGGGAGGAAGGGCTGGTGCTCAGAGACCTCTCCTGCTTCCCACGCTGTAGAGCCACCCCCTGCAGAATCCAGAACGCTCAACGGGGTCTCCTCCCCGCCACCCTCCAGCCCCAGGAGCCCCGTGGTGAGTCTGGGTTCCCGGAGGCCGTGCTGGCCCGGGAGGTTGTGGGGGGCGTAGCCATAAAGCCTGTGAACCTCCTGTCAGGGCAGGTGGGGTGAAGACTACAGTTCCCAGAATCCTCTGGGACAACTGACTGCCTTTTCCTGACTGTACCTGTCCTCCCCACCCCCCAGTTGTAGTTTGTGGTGGTCCTTTTGGGGGTAACACTTGAAGTTCTTGAGAAGTAGGACCCTCTCCCTGTAACTGATACCCTTCCCTTCTCCAGACCCCCGACGAGGCCCCCTTCTCCACGCGCTTTGGCCTCCAGAAGACGGGGAGCTCTGGGGCCCTAGGCCCTGCGGAGAGGCGGGGCGCCGAGGGTGCCTCGGGGGCTGGGCTGCAGCGCTCCGCCTCCTCCTCGCGGCTGGAAGGGACCTACACTCAGGTGAGCAGGGTGAGGGGCAGGGGACCAGACCCTGCCTAGTCAAGGAGAATAGCCCCCTCCTCTCCTCTCCCCGCAGGCCAGGGAGCCCCGTCTTGCCAGAATTACCCCCACCCCCTCCCGGAAGGTGCCGGAGTCCTCTGCCCCGTGAGTCTGACGGCCCGGGTCCCGCCGGGAGTGGGGCAGGTCTGGGCCCCTGTCTTGTCAGCCTTTGCTCTCTGGGGTCTGGTCCCTGCCTCCCACTCTTGGCCTCAGTTTCCCTTTTGGTGCATCAAGTAAAAGCTCACAGTCAAACTCCAAGGCCACCGTGATCCGGCCTCCGGCGGCCCCCACCCCCCTCTCCAGCCCTCCGCCCTCCTTTCTGACGCGGGCTCGCTCCTGCCCGGGCCCTTCGCTGTGGCTCCCCACTCACCCCCACAGGGCTTCCTTCCTCCCTCTCTCAGGTTTGTTTGAATGTCAGCTTCTCAGGGAGGCCCACCAGCCCCACTGCACTCACTGCCCCAGCCTCCGGACGCGCACACCTCCGGTCTCCTGTGCCTGCTCTGTCTTTTCTTCTCCAGGGTGCTTCATTCTTCCGGCGCCGCGCGGTGTCCTGAGCTTTCTGTGGTTATCCTCTCTTTTGCTTGCATCTCTTCTGCTCAGATTCGACTCATCGGGGCAGAGACGATTTGTTTCTTTTTCTTGTGCTTCTTGCTGTATGTGTGGTACCTGCCACGTAACGCAAGCTTGAGTAACATTTGCTGATTGAATGCGTTCACACAGGTCTGAGATCTCCAGGCCTCCTCCTCCCTTGGGTAACTCCACTCCTGCCTCCAGGATTCCGGAGCCTGAATCCCCAGTGAAGCCAAATGTCCCCGTAGCCTCTGCAGCGCCCCCAGCGGACTCCCGCGACCGCCGGAGGTGAGGTGAAGTGGCCTGGGGGCAGGAAGCAGCTGTCTCCCCAGCTGGGAGACAGCTGCCTTACCCAGGAGTCCCAGGGTTGGCGCTGAGGTCCTCTGGCCGAACTTGACTCCCCCAGAGAGTGTCAACCATGGGATGGGACAGGGTCCAAAGGAGCCCTCTCTGAGGTCGGGGCCCTTCGCTCAGGTCCTACCAGATGCCTGTACGGGACGAGGAGTCTGAATCTCAGCGGAAAGCTCGCTCTCGCCTCATGCGCCAGTCTCGGAGGTCCACGCAGGTGTGGGATGGGGGCCTGGACCCCTGGGTCCGCGGGAGGAGGGCCTGGGGGCCTAGACTGTCCTGAAGGGGCTGGGCCCTGAGTCCTGGACCCCCTGACTGCCCCCTTCTCCGTGCCAGGGTGTGACTCTGACAGACCTTAAAGAAGCAGAGAAGGCTGCAGGAAAGGCCCCAGAGCCAGAGAAGTCGTGCCTGCAAAGCCTGGTGAGAGGGTTCAGGTGCCCGGGCAGGGGGTGGTACAAGATGCCCTCGTCCTCTGACCCCCGTGCCCCTCTCCCACAGGACCCTTCCCGGCGACCCCGAGTCCCCGGGGTCGAGAACTCTGATGGCCCTGCCCAGAGAGGTGAGGTCTGGTCTCTGGGAGGTGGTCAACCTGGGCCCACCGGCTCCCTCCTGCTACAGTCTTACTGTTTTCCTGGGGGTTGGGCCCAGAGACCCTGACCCTGCAGAGGGGACCCCTCCACAGATCACTGGGCTGACTCCTGCCCCTCCCCCAGCAGAGGCGCCTGACGGCCAAGGGCAAGGACCACAGGCCGCCAAGGAGCACCGCAGAGTCAGCAAGGAGTGGCGGGGACCTGCCGAGGTGCGGGGCGGGGCCCAGGCGGGCCGAGCTGGGGCTGTGGGCCGGCCTTGGAGGTGGGCTGGGGGTGGAGCCAAGCTGAACCCCACCTCCGCCCACAGGGGGAGGAGGCGGAGCCGGCGCCTGCAGACCGCAGCCCAGGATCCAGGTACAGGGTGGGCAGGAAGGGTTTGGGCTGTCTGTGGGGCCGTGGGCGCGCCCCATGACGCCCTCCTTGCCCTCACCCCAGCACTCCCGAGGGCGGCCCCTCTTCCCGCAGGCAGCGGGACCTCAACCCAGAACCAGAGCCAGAATCAGAAGAGCCTGATGGAGGCTTCAGGAAGGTTCGCGATCCCACCCCACGATCCTGCCATTAACCCCCACTTGCTGGCTTTTATATACCTGCCCTCCTGCCCCCTACTTAGTGGCTCTACCTGACCGATCCGGGCATCCTGCTCTTTTCCGGCCCCACCTGAGCCACAGTCACCCCCTTTCCCTGCAAACATGCGGCATCTCAGCCGGCAAGCCTGACCCCCGTGTCCCTCCTCTTGGGGCCCCCAGCTGTATGCAGAGCTGCGCAGTGAGAACGAACGACTTCGCGAGGCCCTGACCGAGACCACACTGCAGCTGGCGCAGCTCAAGGTGGAGCTGGAGCGTGCCACGCAGGTGAGGACGCCGCGGCCCTGGAGGTGGTGGGAATTGGCCGGCGTGCCAGTGCTGGCTCCGGATCCCTGGGAGGTAGGGCCAGAGCGTCGAGGGGAGGGGCCTGAGTGGTGGGGGTACTAGGACCCTTGGGAGGAGGAGCGTGGGCAATGAGGGGCGAATGAGGGGCAGAGCTAAGATCTCGGAGGCGGAGCCTGGCCCAAGAGGGGCTGGGCTTGTCCTGAGCAGTGGGTGGGGCGGTCTGGGCCAGCCAGGAGTCTGCCTTTCCCCCTCTCACTGCTGGTTTCCCCCTTCTGGCCATTGCGGTTTGGACGCTTCTCAGAGCCCTGCTCTTTTTGTGTCCTCACCAGAGGCAGGAGCGATTTGCAGAGAGGCCCGCCCTTCTGGAGCTGGAGAGATTCGTGAGTAAGGGTAGCTGGAGCGGGGCCAGCTGTGTCCCCAGCCTTACAAGCTCAGGCGGGTCTGGATGAAGAGGGCCACACTGACCTTCTAACGTGCCCCTCTGCCCATTCCCCGCCTCTCCCAGCCATACTTGACCTCCGGCCCTCCCCGACCCCCGGTCCCTCGTCCTCACCTTCCCGTTTATTCCAGGAGCGCAGGGCCCTGGAGCGGAAGGCAGCGGAGCTGGAGGAGGAGCTGAAGGTGAATGCTAATGGGGAGCTGAGGGCAGAGCGAGGGTGGGCAGTGGGTGCAGCCTGCCCAGGGCCACCTGGCTGACCCGTCCCACCTCGCAGGCCCTGTCCGACCTCCGGGCTGACAACCAGCGACTCAAGGATGAGAACGCAGCCCTGATTCGCGTCATCAGCAAACTCTCCAAGTGACTCTGGAGGAGGCCCTTCCCCCACACCCATATTTATACAGCTGCTTCTGCCACATGCACCCCTTCCTTTGCGTGAACACGAGTGACAGGGCTCCCGGGGAGTCTCTGAGAAGCCATAACCTCCCCTCGGGACCTCCAGACTGGGAGGGGAGTACAGAGTCCCCAGGAGCCAAGGGGGGCCATCCGAGGCCAGGATGGAGGCGGAGGCCGAGCCAGGTAGGGGGACGTCGCTGAGGGGGGACGGGCTGGAGGCGGGACCAGGAAGGAACCGAGGACCAAGAAGCGCCAGGACCAGAGTGGCCGCCCAGAGGTCCCCCCTCACGTGTGATGCCACCCTCATCACCCCTCCCACTCGTGAACAGGGATCCGAGAATGTGCCAATAGTCCCTCCGGCCTCGGCCAGGTGGGCCTGTGTATAGGGTCCGTGTGCAATAGGGAGGGATGTCTTCTATTTTTTGCTGCCCCCTCGCGGCCCACTGTCTGGGGCAGGGGGAGAAGGTATTTTCGAGATAAAGCACAGGCACCACAAATAAAAGTCGTGAAGTTGCCACTCAGTGGCTGCGTCCTTGGCTGGAGGTGGGGCGCTGCTTCCCATTCCCGTGCTGGGGCTGTGCCTGCCCGTCACGGGGTGGGACAGGGCTTCAGGAAGAGCGGTCAGTTGGAACAGAGGTCCCAATCCAGGGCCCACGTGGTCACAAGTTGGCTTGGTACAGAGCAGGAAGGGTCAGCCGGGCGAGGGGTAGGGGCTGTGAATATTGGGTTGGGGAGCTTGGGTCTTGCCATCACTGCTTTTGAAACAAATTTGAGTCAGTTGCCAACATTTAAAACTTGGGGTAGTTCACGTATAAAAGTCCGGGGTTTTGACTTTTCTGAATAAACAGGACTCTGACAGTGCGAGCTGTTCAGTCCTGCACGGCAGCACTTGGCTGGAGCCAAGTAGGAGCTGTCCTCCAAGTTGGGGCATTCATTCATTCACTCGCCCGTTCATGGTCCTGTTCTCCTTGCCTGGCCCTGTCCTACGTGTTGGTGGTACAGTAGTGCATGAGACAGGTAAAGATCCGATACATTTCAGGAGGAGAGGCATGAGGCACCCAGTGACAAAATAAATGCGTTGCCAGTGGTAGTGCTGCGGAGAGAAAGCAGAGGGGGCGGCAGGGGTTAGGGAGGCTGGTGTGCGCGTGTGCAGGAGTGCGTGCCTGGCGGAACACTCTGATTGGCCCAGAGGGGGCGTGGCAGACCACGGGGGGTCCGGGATTGGTCCAAAACTGGGGCGTGTCTGATTGCAACACCGAATGTCAGGCTGTGACATTTTGTACAGGGTGGTCAGAATAGACCTTACTGGAAAGCTGGCACTGGCAGGTACTTGAAGGCGTCTGGGAACGAGCCATGTGGGTATTTGAGAAGTCTTCCGGATGAGAACAGCGTGGGCAAAGGGATAAAAACGTGCCTGAAATGTAGGAAAGTAGCAGGGGATGAGGTTGGAGAAGTAAGGGCTGGCCTCGTAGGAGTGTGGCCCTGGTAAGGACTTCTTTTTTTTTGGCTGTGCTGCGTGGCCTGCGGGATCTAAGCTCCCCGACCAGGGGTTGAATTTGTGCCCCCTGCAGTGGAAGCGCAGCGTCCTGACCACTGGACCCCCAGGGAAGTCCCAGGGGAAAACTTTTGTTTTGGGGAACTGCTTGCTTCTGTGGTTCTTTGGTTAGAAACAGGGGCTGGGGCAGCAGGCAAGAGGCTGAAAGACGATTAGACACCTGCTAGGGCTGAGAGTATTCCGGGTGAAACGAACAGCATGAACTGAGGCGTGGAGACAGGAAGAGGGAAGCAGAGCACTGTGCTCGAGAAGCTTGTATGCTAGGCAGGCTACAGGCCCTCAGCTGCCGAGCCGCATCGTGGATTTTATCTGGTGGGACATGGGGAGCCTGCGGAGGTGTGTGAGCAGGGCAGAGGGTGGGGTTGAGATGGGAAGGGATCTTGGAGAGATGATGTGTCTGGTTCCCGAAGGAAGCAGAGGCGTGAGGGCGGCAAATAGGGGCTGAGGACCAGCTCCTGCCTGCCTAGGGCTGTGCCTCTGGTCCCTTCCGATCTGGTTTTGGAGGGCGCCATCTGGTGGCTCGGCTGGAAGCTGACTGAGCTCCGGGGGAGAGGCCAGCAGGAATTGGTTGGGGTGGGGAGGGGAGCTTGTCAGGGGGCATTCTGGGGAAGCAGAAGCGTCCAAGCTGAACCAGGTTGGGATCCAGAGAAAACCAGTCCCAAACCAGCCTCGCCAGCCACCCAGATGACGGGAAAAAGTTGCTGGCTGGCCAGAGGGAAAAGGAGCTGTTGCTGAGGAGGTAGGAAGTTCCTGTTAGGCCGTCGTCTCACAGGATGAAGAGTGGCCAGGAAGCCTGTGACACATTCAGGAGGCAGCCACTTCTCCGTAGCTGGACCCCTGGCTGGAGGTGGAGAACAAGATGTAAAAGTGGATGCTGGGAGACTAACCTAGGGGATGAGGGCAGGCTTTTCCAAAGAGGGTATTTGAGCTGGGTCAGGACAGCTGAACAGGACTTCAACAGGCAGAGAATCGTTCCAGCCAGCAGAAACCAGCCATTGTTAAAACTCCAGTGGTTGAAGGGGTTTGGGGAGTGTGTGGAGAAGGGCAGGATCAGAATGCACTGGGGATGAGGAGGTGAGGACGAGGTTGGAGATGTAGGGACCAAACCTCTCAGGGCCTCGAATGCCAGGCTATGGGGCTAAGACGGCGACGGGGAGCCAGAAAAGGATTTTGAGCAAGGGGTGGACTGGGACCTCGGGTGTTCAGAAGATCCCTCTGGAGTGAACTAGAGGACAGACTGGAGGCTGGGAGGTCAGGAGGAAGCCTGAGTTGGGAGGATTCAGAGAAAGAAACTAAAGAGAGTGGGGACATCTGCTAGATTCCTTTCCTGTGAGGCTGTTGCTGGGGTGAGGGGCAGGTTCCTGGCCCCTGGTACCCGGGTAGAAAAGGGACAGCAGTTGACATCGCCTGCTAAGAGGAGGCTGTTTATAGACTGGGTAGCATTATCACAATACACAGGGCTCCCGAGCGCAAGCACTTGCCCTAAATTGTCTCAGTGCCCGTTCTCGGCCAATAAGAGAGCACTTCTCAGGAGACTCCATTAAGGACGGGCCGATTTATCTAACCGGACGGGGTAAGACCAAGGCTGGAACAGGTCGGCGATCCCTGGAGGGATCTACTTCCGTTGGTGGGGGCAGTCTGCAGAGTCCGTTCTCCCGCGGGGCTGCTTCCTGGAAACTTAGTGGAGGGGCGGGGAAGGATCAAATGACTTCCGTTTCCACCTCGTCTTCCATCCTCTTCTTTTGCTTCTTCATTACCGCCTCCAGCTCTGACACTTTCTCTTTGTCCTGGAGTGGGGGTGGGGGTGGAAAATCAGGACCTTGGAGGCAGAGACCTCAGCCCCCTCCCCAGTCCGGGCTCGGGGACGAGCGCCCGCCTCACCTCCAGCAGCGAGCGCTGCACTGTGATCTGGCTGTACACGCGCGCCCCCTCCTCGGGGCTCAGCGCCCGAAACTTATCTTTCTGCAGTGAGAATAGCTGCGCGCCGCTCAGTGCGCCTAGCGCGGCCACGGTCCTGAGCAGGGGCATCCAGGGCACAGTCAGGCCTGTTGGCCAATCACGGCTCAAGCCTCCTCAGCCCCACCAACCACTTTACGCCCGCTTAGCCCTTTGTCCAATCTGAGCAGCATTCTAGCTCTCAAGCCGGGGGGCGGCCGCTGCTGATGGCTCCTGAATCCCCATCCACCAATCATAGCGCGCCGTGGGGGGGGGCTGCCTTCCAAGGGAGGCGGGGCTTTCCTAGAGACTCCAATCGGAGCCTGGAAAAACATGGCAATCGCAGCCCGACAGTCACAGTTGCTATCAGACAGACCCCCTTTTTGGACCAATCCCGGTCTCCCGTGGTCTGCCATGCCCCTTCTGGGCCAATCGGAGCGCTCCGCCCCTAGCCCCGGTATCTCAGGGTCCCCTAGCCGGCACCTGCCACACTCACCCTGAACTAAAGCCCTTGCCCTGCAGCCAGGCGCGGACCTCCGAAGCGTTGGAGCGCGGGCTGAGCTGCGGCTCCGGGGCGCGGGGCTCCGGGGCGCGGGGCCCCGGGGCTGCGCGGCTGGGGCCCGTGAGGCCCTGGGCCAGGCGTGCCTGCAGCTCCTCGTTGATACTGAGCATCTGGGAGAATTTCTCTGCAGGCGGGAAACCGGGAGGGAGGGCGGACTCAGGGCGAAGGGCCCTGGGCTCAGAGGTCGGGGACTTCCAGCGTCCTCGTGATGGGTCTCCGTTTACTCTTTCTGAGCCTCGGTTTCTCTGCCTGGAAAGCGAGGACAAGGACCACTCCTTCGAAGGGGTCCCCACCACTCACCCTTCTTGCCGGAGTCCAAGTTGTTGAGGCTCTCGCAGCTGTCCCTGGGAGACCGAGACGGAGACGGAGCCTGGGTCCGCGCTGGTCGGGCACCGGGAGCTGGAGCCAGGGTCGGCACTGGTGCGGGAGGGGGCGGGGGGGGAGGAGCCGGGGCCGAGGCTGACGGGGGAGGGGGAGCCGGAGCCAGGGCGGACGCTGGTGGGGGGTGGGGAGCCGGAGCCACGGCCGGCGCTGGTGGTGGAGGGGGAGAGGGAGTGCTGTTCTCCTGGAGAGGGGAAAAAGAGGAGAGCACCTGGATCGGAAAGAGGACTGGGTCCCAGTCCCCTTCGCCTGGAGGTGAATTTTCGAATCCTCAGCCACTTCCTCTGCCAGTGACTTTGACCCCTTATGCCTCACGCCTCTTGTTCCCAGGACCCAGGATCTGAGCCCAGCCCCTCTTCCCTCAAGACCCAGGAGTCTGCCCTGGCTCACCAGGCTGGGGCCCCCCTGCGGCCCCGGGTGGGGTGTCAGGATATTATAGGGTACATATCCCTCCTGCCCGCTCTGGTCCCGAACCTTCCACCACTTGCGCTGGTCATCCAGGACCTGGAAGAGGGAAGGGTTCAGAGGCTGTGTCTGTAGCTAGGGCTGGGTGGACTCCAACCCCCCAGCCCCACACCCCGTCCCCCACTCCTCTGACCTCCAATATGTCCCACTGCTTGACGGACAGCTCGCTGCTATTGCGCGCCTGGAAGTCATAATTACATAGGACCCACTTTCCCGCCGGCTCCAGCCCCTGGGGCTCAGCTTCTGGTTCCTGGTCTTGGTGACTGGGGAGAAGGGGAAAGGGTTGCGGGGTAAGGAGGTAGCCAGCTCCACTGCTCTGGACTGTAGGGTGTTGGTGTGAGCTGGGGTTAAAGCCAAGCAGGGGTCAAGGCAGGGGAGGCCAGTTAATACTGTTAACAGAGGTTTGAAATTGTAATACCGGTTTGAATATATTGTGTTCCTTATGTGCCTGGCACCATGCAGTAGGCACATGACATGAGTACTAGCATCAGCTCCATTTTATAGATGAGAACATTCAGGCTCAGAGAAACGGAATGACTCTCCCCAGATTACACAGCTAGAGACAGCTGCTGTTTATTGAGCATCTACTGTGTACTTGACTCGTGTATAATGATAACTCATAAACATAATAAAAACAATAATTAACACTTATATAGCACTTATTACATGCCAGACACTGTTCAAAGTCTGCTACATGTATTAGCTGATTTGATGCTAGAGACAACACTTGGTAGAACCATGAGTTTGGACCCCCTAGTTCCTTCCTCCCTCCAGAGACCCAATTATTATCTCCATTTTACAGGAAAGGAACAGTGATATCAAGTGACACGGTGATGTAAAGGTCACAGAGCAAGAAAGAGGTGTAGTCAGGCTGGGACCCGGGCAGGCTGGCCCCAGAGCTCATGTCCTGAGTAATTCCATTCTACTTGCACACAGCTGGATGTGAACCTGCGTGTTCCCATGACCCTGAGCTCCTGACTGCTAGCCTGTACAAACTCACAGACTTCTCCCTCTTTCAGGGAGGGATTATTATTATTTCCATTCCCCTCCTGCCCTCCGCAAAGAACTTGAAGCGCAAAAAAAAGGTGAGTTAAAAGCTGTGGGTGTCAAGCTCAAGGTTCAGAAGCGCACCGAGAGGGGGGTCCGCTAGACCAGGCAGCTGGGGGGAGGGGAGCAGACTTTTAGCTCTGACAACCCAGTAAAAGGCACCTCAGCCCAGATCAGGCCTACCTGTGCAAGGGAGAGGGGAGTCTTCAGGGCCGAGGCACCCCCTGTGTGGGGCCGGCGGCAGCTCCCAGCACGCCGCCGTCTCTGCTGAGACTCTCTGCCCAAGCCCTCACCCAGACCCCCTTCTGCTCCTCCAGACCTGCGGCTTTGTTGTCTTCTCATCCCACGCAGCTTCCCTCCCATCTGCCCCCCGACTTGCCCAAGGAATCCTAGCTCCTCTAGGCCCTTCTTCCCCCGGGACCCAAGAGTCTGCACCACCATTGCTTGTTGGAACTATGAATTTGCACCCCCAGTTCTTTCCTCCTCCAGAGACCTAGGAGTCCAGATCTCAAGCTTTAATTTCCTCGACCTTTTAATGTTTAAAAGGTCCCAGTGTGACACCCAGCAGGGACTGAGACAATTGCTCTAGAGCCTTGGGAAAGCAAGGGTCCAGCCTCCCAGCCTTTACCTCTCTCAGGAGCCCAGAGATACTACCACTTCCTAACTTTCCCAGAAACTTGCCCCTTGGTCCTTTAAGTCCCAAGCCTACTTCCCTGGGTCTCCAAGGTCCCAAGCACCAGACTTGAGCTCTTCTTCAAAACCCAATATCTAATTCCCCAGCCTCTTCTCTCCAACACCCAGGACTCTGTCCATATAGGGACCCAGGCAGGGAGCTTCCCAGGCCCTGGGAAACCAAACTGCCTTCTTCCAGACCTTTGGGGATCTAGAGGTCCCTCTCAGACTTTACCCACTCCCAGCACCCTCCTCCCTTAGACCCTGGAATCTGGGCCTCCAGTTCCCTCCTCCCTAGAACCCAGAAGTCTGGGCCCCACTCCCTCCCTCGTTGATCCTCCCCCCGTCCCAGCCCAGGCCCCTGCCTCATCGCCACCTCACCCACCTTTGAAGAGCCGGGAAGACAAAAGGAAAAAGAAAAAAGGGGAAGCGGAGTCAGCGCTGGGACCCCCCAGGACGCACCCCTCCTGGACCCCACCTGACCCGACTCACCCATTGACACTTACCCATTGACAGCGACCTGAGGAGTGCTTTGCTGCAGGAGATGAGAGCAATAGATCAGGTGGGGCCCGGCCTGCGCCCCAGAATTCCCAGTCACGGCCCCCCTGTGTCACCTGGGGGAGCTTAAGCCTTAGCCTCACCTGCCGGCGGCGCCGCTCGTGCTGTAGCTGTTTCTCTACCGGGTCCTCCCAGGCGCGGCCCTGTGGGTCCGTGGCTGTGGGCTCCCAGCCGCTGTAGAACTCAGGTCTGTATGGGGGTCCCTCCTCTGAGGGTAGCTCTATCCTGCAGCCAAGGAGGGGCAAGGGATCCTCAGGGATCCTGGTATGACCTCCCTGTCAGTAACTTCATGAAGTTCTCCCCCTCCCCTTAAGCCTCGTTCTATTCTAACAATTATAATCCTGCCCCCTTTTGCCAGGCCCTGCCCTTGCCTCTAAGCTGCATCCACGACATCAACTATATTTGTAAATACCCTGATTCCATTCATGCTCCGCCCTGGCCTCTGAATCTCACCTCTGATTCCAAACCGTGTTTCTAGCTACGCACATCCCGTCCCTTTCCCCTAAGTCCAGCAGCTAGCTCTGCACCTACTCCCCTGAAGCTTTCAGCCTCCAAGCGCAAAGACTGCTCCCCCTTTCCAAAACCACAGACCAAACGTTTCCTAAGCCCGCCTCTTCGGCATAGCCTCACTCCATTCCTCTAAGTCCTGCCTTTTATTCCGGTTTGAGTTTTTTTTTTTTTTTTTTAAATCATGCTATGAAAAACCTAACTACCTAACTTTAAGATTTATTTTTGCAACTTTTTTAAACAGAGAAAACAACACACTCCTTGGGGAAAGGTGAGTGACTAAGAGGACAGGTCCTGGGTACAAATTACTACCAGAGCCTGGAGTTGACAGGCCTGCCTAGGAGAGAACCACCGGCACTGCCACACCACCAAAGGGGGTAGCTGCTGTCTGAGGCTCAGCAGACAGTTTCATACGCCACGCAAGGCTGCTCGCCTTCCCTCATCGGATCGTGGCATTTGACCTAGTTCCACCTGAACTTCAATTTCTTTGGCGACACCCTCTAGCTAAGCCCCACAACTAACCTACCCTCCTAGCCTCATCTTTCCAACAGCCCCGCCACTTCCTCCCAACCCCACCCCTAAATTACCACGCCTCCTGCTTCCCAGCCCTGTCCCTCCAATCACCACGCTCCCAGCCACCCCCCCCCCCGCCCCCCGCCCCGGTCCGCCCCTGGATCACCACGCCTCCTGCCTTTCAGGCCTGTCTCTCCAATCACCACGACCCCAGCCCCCCCGCCCCGCCCCTGAATCACCACGCCTCCTGCCTTCCAGGCCTCTCTCTCCAATCACCACGACCCCAGCCTCCCAGCCCCGCCCCTAAATTGCCACTCCTCCAGCCTCCCAGCCCCGCCCCTTACCCCGGGCGGGTCCAAGAGTCCCCCAACGAGGTCCAGAGCGTGTTTTCAAGTTGGGTGACGTTGTCCCACAGCAGCGCCACAGCCTCGGAAGTCAGATGCGGCCGCCGCACGCAGCTCGCGAACTGGGGGCCGCCCGAGGTGTCCACAATCTGGCAGCGGCGCAAGAGTGGGCAAGCTATCAGACCTTGAAGTGGAACCCTCCTGCTGCAGGCAGCCCTCAGGCCGGGGGTGTCTCACCATTTGCAGAGGTCCGAACAGGAAGTGCAGCAGTTCTGGGGAGGAGGGGTTGGCGATGTTGCTGCGCAGCCGGGCCTGTGGAGCCGGGGAGGTGCTGGTATTAGTGCGCGGACAGGTCAGGTTTGTTATTCCCCTCGCCCCCTGACGCCCCGGGATGAACGCGTCCTCACCAGCAAGCTGAAGGCGTACTTGATTTTCTGAAGCACATCAATGAACTCGGCCTCTGAGGGCGGCTTGGCCCGCAGCGTCAGGAGGCCCTCTGTGGGTAGAGAGGCAGGCGCGGTGATGGGGCACATGCAGACAGCGTCAGGCAGGGTCGAAGAGAGAGGCAGAGACCCAGTGAGATCGCGATAGGGAGTCAAACTGGCAGGGGGTGCAAGGGGAGACCCAAGGGAGAGGGTGGATATTTGGGAGTGGCCAGGAAGGGGGTGTTCAGGATTGCCACTCGGTGGCGCCTCCTCACCCCCGGCCTCCCGGTGCCGGGTCCTGCGGCTGCGCTCTCGGTGCTCCAGCACTCGGGTCGCCTCGGCGGACTTCTGCAGCCTTGATACGAAGGTCTCCACGTCGTCGAACACGTGGTTCAGGATGTCCTGGGGGGCAGAGCAGGGGGATACGTGGGACCCCTGAATCTTGGACCCTCATCACCCCTGTCCAAGCCCTCTCAAACCAAGAGCGCTTAGGCACATTTAGGCCAGGCTACGCCCTCTGATGCTTGACTCTGCCCCCATTCTGTCCCCTCCGGCCACCCCCCCAGAAGTCTGACCAAGTCCCCAGAACCAAGCCCCACCCCCTGACAGAAGATTCACACCTGCAGCCAGTCCCGCCCCGGCCCTAGCCCCGCCTCACTCACCACTTCCCGCTCCGCCTGCAGACTGGCCAGGTCTGGGCCGCAGGGGCCCAGGTCCCGAGAGGTCGGGTCAGCGCTGCTGCAGACCTCCGCCCGGCCCGGCCTCCGCATCTCTGCAGTCTCTGGGATGGGGTCCGCCCGGGGTCGCCCGCGGCCCGCGGCCGGCTCCACCGTGTTGATCGCGGCGCGGACCGTCGGGCGGTGCTGCAGGGGCGCGGTCTCGGCGGCGGGCGAGGGGTGGCACTGCAGCTCCTTTCGCGTAGCCCTGCGGGGGAAGAAGGGGAAACTAAGGCTGGGCACACCGAGGGGTCCGGGGAGGGGAGAAATTCGGGGCTTCAATCTGAAACACTGTGGCCCAAAGGGGTCAAACTTAGGCTCTCAGTGGTAGGGAGAAATCCGATATATGGGGGATGGGAGAGCACCTCTCCGGAGGGAAACTGAGGCAGAGGGAGGAGAAACCGAGGGGAGGGGAGTACACTTGGTACAGGGTTTGCTTGACTCCATTTAAAACTCGTTCTGCTCTAGGCTAGTGGTATCCACCGATTTCTCGGTTGGGGAAACTAAGGCCCGAAGAGGGGAGCCGGCTCCCCAGAGACCTCCCCGTCGTCTCTTCTCCCCAGCTTCCAGCCCGACCCCCTTACCTGAGCGCCGCCGCCCTGCGCTCCCCGCGGCCCGAGCGATAGTTGTGCAGAGCGCCCTGGATGTCCTCTCGGATCAGCTCCGCCTGTCAATCACGCCGTCAGGCCACGACCGCAACCCACCCACTGCCCGCCCAGGCGGCTCTCCGAATCGATTCCTCAGCTCGGCCCCAGACCACGTCCAGTCATAGCTCACGCACTGCGCCCACGCACGTCCACGCCCTGAACTCACACCCTGGCTCTTAAACTGTCCCTGCCTTAGGCCCCTCCCCCAAGCACGGAGGCCCCGTCCACATGGCGCTTCGCCCCTGACCACACTCACTCCCATCCTAGTTCTGGCTGCTCCCCCAGACCCTCACTTCCATGTTCTGTCCACGTTCTGTCCGAGCTCTTAGCTCTTAGCCTCCGTCTCCATTCGGCCCTGTAGTTCCTTCTCGACCCTACGTTCAATCTGTTCTCAAATCCCCCTCCCTCCCAGAATTCCTTTACAGGTCACGCCCCCTCCGCTGGCCCCGACCCCGCCTTTGCCGTACACCGTGCCCCCCGTCTTAGAGGCCCCGCCCCGTTGGAGGTCCGGCTCCGGACTCCGCCCAGTTTCAGCTCCGCGCCCGGATTCCGCAGGGTCTCAGTCTGTGGCCCCGACCCCCGCTCGCTCACCCCCAGACGCAGGCCCTGGAAGAAGTGCACGTCGGGCTGCGTGCGCTCGGGCTCCTGGCACACGAGCAGCAGCAGTGAGCAGCTCTGGCCCGGCGGTATCACCGTGTCGCAACGCACGATGGCGCTCAGCGGGTAAGACTCCAGCTCCTCCTGTGGGGTGGAGGGTGGGACAGCGGGTAAACTGAGACCCTGAGCCAAGGATACTCCTAAGTGGTGCCAGCAGTGCCAGCAGTGCCAGCACGTACAGGCACTGCGCAGGGCAACCTCCACCCCAAGTTGAGGGGCCAGGGATAACACCCCTGTTTAATAGATGAGGCTAATGAGGTTCAAAAAGGGGGCGGGGGTCCCTAGCCAAAGTTCCTAGAGGAAGAACGTGCAGGAATCAAGATTCACACTCAGATCCCTGAGGTCCCTAGGGCTCTCCATGCCTTGGTGGGCTCAGTCCAAGCTGCTCCTTCCACCCGTGTGCCCCGTGGCACCTTGGAGACTGGGTCCAGCAGCGCAACGTGTGTGGGAGACACGCGCAGCAGCATGTCCTGGGCCCAGACGCGGCCTTGGCTGTCCATGAGGGCCAGCTTCCGCGAGGCGTCCTCCACCGTGTGCACGCCATCCTCCTCACCCAGGCAGAAGGTCACCAGGTGCTGGAGAAAGCAGTGAGTCCCAGGATGAAGCCAGGTGGGCTGAGAAGCCCCTGGCATCAGCCTTATAGCCTGCGACTACGCACACCTCCTCTGGGAAGCCTTCTCTGATCACCTGCTCCACCTCCTCCCAGTGCCCTTTGTGTGTCTTCCCTGGGTCTAGCTCTCCAGCTAGACCCCTTGAAGGCAGAGAATGGTCTGGATTATATCTAGTTCCTTCTAAGCAGCTCTACCTCCGTTAGAGCACCTGGCAATTTTGCTGGTACCTCTGGACCTTGTCTGACCCCTACTCATCCAGGATTGCATCTGATTTGTCCCTGTGGTCCAGCTATCCAGCACAGGAGCTGGTCCAGAGGAAAAGTTGGCAGATTCAAGTGGAATTGAGTTCCTCCACTGAGTACCCACATCTGAGGCAAGGCAGAAGGAGTCCACTTTGCAGATGAGCAAACTGAGTTTCCCAAGTTCTTGCTGCTTGGAGGTCCAACTGCTTTCAACTCCCCCATCTCCTCAGGCCTGCCTTGCCTCCTGCAAGACTCCCCGTGGCAACACAGACCCCAGACTCACATTGACTGGATATTGGGAAACATCGGCCATAACCTCGGTGGAGTAACGCTTCCTCTGTTCTGTGGGGGAAGAAGGAGAATGGCTGCAGGAGACCCAGCTCCCAGCCCCTTCCCCCTCAGACTCAGGAGTCCAGCCCCCCAGCCCCCTCCCCTCCAGACCCAGGAGTCCAGACCCCCAGCCCCTCGTCCCTCAGAAAAGGAGTCAAGACCCCCAAACCCTTCCCCCGTCAGATCCAGGAGTTCGGGTCCTCAGTTACCTCCTCCCTCAGACCTAGTTTCTCTTGGCCTGGGTCTTCCTTGCCCCTCAACTCACCATAGATAGACTTGGCACTCCGTTTGAGAGAAGCTTCTGGACTAGTGAAGGAAAAGAGGGGTGAGAGGGGCCATGGGAATTGGGGGCAGATCATGGGAGTTTTGAGTGCCCAGCAGAGCTTGTGGGGGCGGTGGGGAGCCATGGAGGGTTTTGAGCAGGGGAGGGCAGGGCCAGAGCTGGACTTTAACGAGACAAGTATGGCAGTGGTACTGGCTCGTGGTGGCGAGTGTGGTCTCTACTGTCACCCAGACCTGGGTTCAAATCCCCTGTCAGCGACTGCTTTGTCATAAGACCCCGGGTGGGAGACGATCTCTCCTGCTTCAGTTTCCCTTTCCATAAGACAGGGGTTAGTTACCCTATAGTGTCTGTCTGGTAGGTCTGTTGGGCGAATTCAATGAGATGATGCAGTTGGAATGTTGTGCAGCCTTAGTAACTGTTATTATCATTATTAAGATGATGCAAAGGGCTTAACACACAGTAGTTGCTCAATAAATGGGATTTTTTTTTTCTTTTTTTGTGGCCGCGCTGTGCTGCGTGGCTTGCAGGATCTCAGTTCCCCGACCAGGGATTGAACCTGGGCCACAGCACTGAAAGCGCCAAATCCTAACCACTAGACCACCAGGGAACTCCCAATAAATGGGATTTTTTACAATAGCTTTAGTATTGGGAGTAGATGGAAAGTTATCTTCTTCCCCTCCTACCCCCACGGGCCAGGTTCTTTTCAGCCAGATCTTTCTCTGAGAATTCTCGAGTCCCCATTTCCACAGAAATAACAGCTCAGAGCTTGGTTGGGGTCGGAGATGAGAGATGAAGGATGAGAAACTCTTTTAGTCAAACCTCTGCTCCTCTTCCTGCCCTTGTCAGTCAAATCTCCCCACAATTTGTTTACCTCTGGGCTGGAGAACTCACTCCCTTCCATCTCCCATGCAGCTATTCCCACGCTTCTCTCTTTATCCTTCTCCCTGCTTACTCCAGGAGACTTGACCCTTCATTATAAACAGTCCTGAGCTTTTAGCAAAGGGTCAATATTTAATAATAAGATATAACAACTGGGAATTCCCTGGAGGTCCAGTGGTTAGGACTCGGTGCTTTCAGTGCCGTGGACCCAGGTTCCATCCCTGGTTGGGGAACTAAGATCCCAGATGCCACGCAGCGCAGCCAAAAAAAGAAAAAGGAAAAAGGTAAGAGCGATGGCCTAGCAGCTCTCATGAGTTGAACACCTGCTGTTGGTCAGATGCTCTGCTAGGTGCTGTATGTGCATTAGCCTATCAGAATTGTCCCTGTTTCACGGAGGAGGGACTGAGGCTTGAAGAGGTGATGTCCTTTGGCCAGGGCCACACCACTGCTGAAAGTTAGCGCCTGGATTTGGACCCGGGTCTGTCTGCTTGGCAGCAGGAGGGAGGCAGCTCAGGTGGTCCTCAGAGTGTCCAGGCTGCGGGTGTGGCTGAAAGGGTCGGGGGGGGGAAGGGCGGGGCGGCCGGGGGACCCGGTGGGCGGGGGTACTTACCCAGTGGTGGAGCTCATGGTGCCGAGAATGGGGAGCTCCTGCCACCTGGAGCCCTGGGAGCCAGCAAAGAGGTGAGGCCGGACCAGATCGCAGGACCTATGGTTCCTGCCCCAGCACCTCCCCGCTCAGACCAGGAATCCGGGCCCCCAGCCCCTCCTCCCTCAGACCCAGATGTCCAGGCCCTCAGGCCGTCGTTTCTCAGACCAGGAATCTAGACCCGCAAGCCCTCCCCCCTCACACCTAGTACACTGCCGCACCCCCAGTTCCTCAGGGCTCCATGCATTCAGCTCCCTAACCTGTGTGTACCCCATTTTCCTTCCTCTACCCAGGGATCCTGTCTCCCTGTCTTCTAGCCTTTTCTCAGGGGCCCAGGAGTCCAGAACTCAGAGCTCCTTGTCCCTTGGAGCTAAAGGGTTTGGACGCCAAGTCTCCTCAGAGAACATTCATCCAATCCCTCAGCCCCTACGACCCCATGGTCTTCCCTTAGGTGTTCGGGTCCGATCTCCAGCCCCCAGCTCTTCAGAACTAGACTTTAGTTCCCCCAGCCTTTCCTGTGTCTGGACCCAGGAGTCTGGGCCCCCTGCTCTCCTCCCCCAGACCCAGGAGTCCCCACCTCCCGTCCCTCCTCGCTAGGACCCAGCTCTCTTCCCTGGGCCCCCTCCTCACCTGCTGCTCAAGCAGTGTCAGACGGGAGGCTCTGAGCTCTTCTCTCCCTTCCCTACAGGGGCCTCTCCTTCCTGCTCACTCCCAGGGCCCTCCCTCCTCCGCATACCTGAGCACTCACCTGGTACAGCCTGCTGGCGTGGCCCCTGGGCGGGGCTGGCTGACAGACCCAGGGCGCCGGCTGGGATGTCCTCAGGGGAGCCAGAAAGCTTATTGTCTCCATCACAACAGGAGAAACTACAGTAATTCGATGTCAAACTCCTTCACGCGTCAGAAATACCCGCTTCGAATTCTCCTGGTATCTCTGCGATTCTCCTGGTATCTCTGTGAAGTTGATTGCCGCTTGTTCATGGTCAATGTGGAAGGGTGGGCTTTGAACCCGGAGCCACCTTTCCATCTCCAGGGCTGGTGTCCATCCCTGCTCTGTGCACACCTCCTGTCTGGCGTTCCTATCTCCACCGGTGCCCTCGGCCCCCAGCCCTCCCCTTCCCTCCTCCTTTGGAAATGTCCCTCAGTAATTCCTGATAACGATGACAGCTAAGACTCAATGCCCAACACTGCTCCAAGGGCATCACAAAAATGAACAGGCTCCCCAGGCATGAAAATCTCCTTTCGAGAACTTCCCCTGTGCCATGGACCTCGCTAACTGAGTTATACACACCGCTTCTTCCCCGAACCCAGTGAAGTGAGTGTTGGGGTGTCTCCATTTGGCAGATGAGGAAACTGAGGCTCACAAGGGCTCAGAGACTTGCTCAGAGTTACACATGCAGTGAGTGGTCTCCCTGCCGTCTTCCTCCCCAGTCCGGTCTCAATGCATGGACCCCATAGAAACCTAAGTCAGCTTACGTCACTCCACTCTCAAAAGGCTTCGGTGGCTCCCCATTTCTCTGGATAAAAGAGAAGACCTTCTACAAGGCCTTAAGTGATGGTACCCTACCTCATCTCTTCCTTTGCTCCTCGAGTACCCAGATGCCATTCTGCCTCAGGGCCTTTGCACTTGCTGTATCCGCTGCCTGGAAAGCTCTTCTCATATCCTCCGATGAGAAGAGGCTTGCTCCCTCATCTTCTTCAGGTCTTTCCTTAATGGCAGCACCTCGGGAGGCCTGGCTGGCAACCTTAAGTTTAACATGGCAGCACCTCTGACCCGTCCCTCCTTCAGAGTCTCTTCCCCCTCCCCCAACATTTAGTTTCTCTCCAGATCATTTATCACCCTGTAGCTCACTATATTACCTGTTTATTTTGTCTGTTTTATGTCCTCCCCATTAGAATGTAAGGCTTCATGACAACAAAGACTATTGTATGCTCCGTCCCCCAGTGTACCTGCAGCATATAGAATAGGGGCTTGTACGTAGTAAGTGCTGGAGGGACGTTTGTTGAATTACTGAGTTTTTGCATTTGGTGCACTCGTGTGCATTATTGCTTCACTGAACACATGTTGACCCCACAGTCTCTACTAAGAGAGGCTGGAAACCGAGAAGGCACATCCTTGTCCTGGATTGATGGGGAAGAAAGAACAGACAGAAAGAGAGATGATCCTATTGTGTGGTGTGATCATAAAGAGCCCAGGTGGGTGTGGGTTCGAGTCCTGGCTTTGCCACCTAATAATTTTGGTAATACTTATTGTGTGCTCATATCCTCTTCTGAGCACCTTGTGTGTGTGTGTGTGTGTGTGTGTGTGTGTGTGTGTGTTTGTATAAACCTCACAACGTCCTAGGAAATGGGTTCAATTATCCCCATTTTTACATGAAGAAACCAAGACATATTAAAGTTAAGTAACGTGTCTATAATCACACAGCTAATAAGTGGTAGAGATGGTTGAACCCAGGCCATACAGTTCAGACACTGCATCTTGGTTGTTACCCCGTGCTACCACCTCACGGTCCAGGCCCCTATCTAGCTGTGTGACCCTGGGCAAATTACTTAACCTCTCTGTGCCCCAGTCCCCCATCTGTAAAATGGGGATAACAGCACTGGGAAGATTAAAGGAGGTTACGGAGAGGTCTTAGTACAGTACTCAACGAAGAGAAAATCCTAGGGAAGAAGTGTTAGCAACCACATCGATGATGTCTTTCTTTCCACAGGTCCTATAATGGCAGATGCTAAGGGTGCCTCGGAAGCCTGGAAGCGGCTCCTCAGAGGGTCAGGGCAGGCTTCCTGAAGGAGGAGGGGTGGGGTGGCCAGAGCTAAACCTGAAGGGCAAGTTTGGCAGCCCCAGGTGGCCTGGAGGATGAGGGAGGAGTGTTCCAGGCCAGGAGCTGCCTGAGCCACGGAGGGGAGGGCCATCTGGCCAAGTCTCAGTGGCTCCGGGCCATGACAAATGCAGATCTGGCTGAGACCAGGCCCTTTCTTCGCGTGCAGGTGGAGAGAAGTGTCCTTGTAAAGGCATTCAGTGGGAGTCGGGGGCCTGGACTCCTGGGTCTGAGGGAGGAGGGGCTGGGGGTCCGGACCCCTGGGTCTGAGGGGGGCGGGGTTGGGGGCCTGGAACCTTGGGTCTGAGGGGGAGGGGCTGGGGGTCTGGACCCCTGGGTCTGAGGGAGGAGGGGCTGGTGGCCTGGTCCCTGGGTCTGAGTGGGGAGGGGCTGGGGACCTGGTCCCTGGGTCTGAGGGAGGAGGGCGGTGGAGCGCAGGCGCCCCCAGGCCCCACCCACAGCAGCTTCTTTGCGCTCCGGAGCAGCAGGTGAGACCAAAACCCAGCCTCCGCCCTGCCCTCGTTCAGAGCCCAGGGCCTCCTTCCTTCTTCCCTGCCACAAAGGAGGCGCCTCCCTCTCTCCAAACCGTAGCACGTGGTTCCCAAATACCAGTGGAGGCTCACACCCCTGCACTGTCTGCCTCAGTAAGCCCTGGGTGGAGGCGCTCACCGGGGGGAACCCGGCACCAAAACGCCCCGACGGTAGAGCGCCTTTTACTGAGTGAACTTTAGGACTCTGTGGGTCTGAATTTGCCTCTGTCCTTGAACTGGGATAGCTTTGTTATTGGGGAACTGGATTGTTTATTCTCTCTTTTGGGAGATCCCAGGAACCAAACAGAATTCTCACTGCTGCTTGTTAAGCCAGAATCCTCTGCATGTCATATCTGAAACCACCCCATCTCTTCCCTCATCCTCCTCGCCCAAGGCACGCCCCCCACATCTGTCCCCCAACTGTAGGATTTGCTGATGAATTCCTAGGACAAGGAGGGAGGTCGAATTCACAAGTCTGGCAGGGCATATAAATAAGATGGGAGCTGGGTCTCAGGGAGATATAGTTACTTACATATTTGTCCATTCGTTCATTCATTCAATAAATGGTCCCTGAGGGCTTCCCTGGTGGCGCAGTGGTTGAGAGTCCGCCTGTTGATGCAGGGGACACGGGTTCGTGCCCCGGTCCGGGAAGATCCCACATGCCACGGAGCGGCTGGGCCCGTGAGCCATGGCCGCTGAGCCTGCGCGTCCGGAGCCTGTGCTCCGCAACAGGAGAGGCCACAACAGAGAGAGGCCCATTACCGCAAAAAAAAAAAAAAAAAAATGGTCCCTGAGACCTAATTGTGCCTCATCCTTTGCCCTCAAGAAGTCAGGTCGATTGGGGAAATAGACCCTGCTGGCACCCACAGTAGCAATTCACAGTGACATGTGCACTGCTGGAGGTGGCAACAGGGCATTGAGTGTCCCCAGAGGAGACACTTATTCCAACTTTGTGGTGGGTATGTGAGGCAGTCAAAGAAGACCACCCAGGTTAAGTGATAACTGGATGGGGTTCTGAAGGGTGAATAGGAGTTCGCCAAGGAAGATGCGGCAAGGAATGATATTCTAAGCTTGGGGAGTGGCGTATGCAAAGTCCCAAAGTCATGTAGTAGCAAATACTCAAGCACCTACTGTGTACCAAGCACGTTCTAAGTGCTAGGCAGACAAAACCCCTGCCCTTGTGTTGTTGTCGTTCTAGCGGGTGTGGTGGGAAGACAGAAGATAAACAGGTAGGGACACACACATGAGTAAGACTTTCAGATTGTGGTAATCTCTGTGGAGGAAATAAATGTGAAGAAATAGAGTCACTGAGGGACAGGCAGGTGTGGCCACTTCTGGTGAGGTAGTCAGGGATGACCTCTCTGACGAGGTGCCATGGGAGCCTTGACCTGAATTTCAAGACGGAGCCAGGAATGCAGAGAGGGTTTTAGGCTGAGGGAACACCTTGGGGAGGCTGGGCAGGTGGGGGTGTGGCTGGCCAGAGGAGATGAGACTGGAGACAGCTATGAGGATGGTCATGATATTGGTGTTGACCATGACAATTGCAAAGGATAGGGTAGCCAAACTTCAACTCAAATGCCCTTGCCCCAAGCCTGAGTCTCAAGAAGCTCCCTGTCTGGGTGGGGAGGTGACTTAAACATGGGTTGCCTGAAACGTGCCATAAACGGAGGT